CAGGCCTGACGACGTTGTCAGTACAGCAGAGACGACTACTATGGTACACACCTCCCATGTCAACGGATGCCCATCCCTTCTACACCAGATATGCTGTTGCGAGGACCCTTGAGAGCAATCCAAGACTGACTCTCGGGGAAAGCCTTGGGAGACGGAACCCCCTCAAATCGTCTCAGTCCATCGTCATTCTCCCAGATCATCTCTGCTAGGGGTTATGGCACAAAAAAGCGCGGCAACGGACCGGCACTGGCACGACGAGGCGGAATGAGATGAGGGCAACCTAGTACGGTTTCTGATTGGCTAAAATGAGAAAAGTGTCCTATTGGCTGGTAGGCGACGCTCGATTATTAAGGTTGCCAAGATCGGCCTCGCCGAACGGAATCGCGGCAGGTGGGGAAATCAAGAGGGAAACGGACAGTGGACCTGGACAGTGGACACGGACCAAGGTGGATACTGAAGTCCACCGCTTGAACCGACCAATGAAAAAACCTCACCGCTACTCCAGTCGAAGTCCGTTTTGAGTCCCGCGGAATGAAGACGCGCGTGGGACATCCCGCTGTCATTCCTTACTCTACCTTACGGATACTGATACCAACTCAGGCCTCGAGTGTGAGTGCGCAACACAACCGTTGACTAATACCAACCTCACAGTTCTCGAATGTCGATGCCGCTGTTGGAATGCCCTTCTGGCTGAGAATCGAACCACCGCAGTTGCAGCCATGCAGCATAATCTCACGGACAAGTCACCAGTGCAGAACGGACCGAGGCAGAGCGTGCATCTCCAACATCGTTCCCCAGCCTCTCCCATGATCTCCCGCTAGAATTCTCTCGCGATCAACAACGGCATCAGATCACTGGTCGTCAAACGAACTGCCGTGCCGCATCTCGCAGTATTGCCCTTACAGGCATGTCTTGCTCGCCAACATGATTCACGGGGGTCATGCCCATAAACGCGAGCGGGGATTAGGTCATTGGGCCCAAGGCAGCAACACTGGCCGTTATTGCTTTTCTGTATCGAATAAACAAGATCCAACTTCTGCAAAAACGACGGACGACGCTAGCCAGACCGAATGCCTGCTCCGGTGGTGCTTTCCCCTCCCGTCCAAAGACACACACACACACACACACACACACACACACACACACGCGCGCGCGCGCGCATGCCTGGGTCACGCTTGATGAACGGCAGGGTTTGGGGAAGCGAATCGAGCGGCGGCGGATCCGTTTCTCTGGATTCCGCAGATCTCACATGGCAGGACCCTGCCTTACGGAATGGAGAAGACACGCTTGCTTGAAAGGAGAAATGGTAAACGAGAATGCCCAGGAGCCAGCCCGAAACGGCCTAGGACGGGCTGTCTTGGTCGACGGGGAACTTGGGAAGAGAAGCGGACAGGGCGGGGCGGGAGGGATATTGGCGGCCTGCACTAACCACAGACGACTTCGTGACGCGCCCTGCCCTGTCCCGTTTGTCGACACCCTCAATGCTGAGCACAGCGGTCTTGACTTGACGAAGGTCAGGCAAATCCGTTGCGACGTCGGCCAAGTCTAGGTTGCTGGCCTAACTCCTGATCGTGTTATGGCATAAGGACCACCGCCGTGTGATCTGGAGGCTAGAGGCTAGAGGCTAGAGGCTGCCCGAGGCTGGAGCCTGACGATCCAGGGCGATGGTTCGGACGATGTGCACTCTGTACGGAGTACTTCGTACTTTGCTATGCAAACACCAAACACACTCGCTCACAATGCCAGGGTCAACGGTTTTGCCCGTGCCGCGATGGCTTTGGACGGACCGGCGGCATCTACGCAAGCTGCCAAATTAAGCGGCGGGACATGGCGCGCAGCAACCAGATTCCTGGGACGACGGTTTGGCTGCGACCCCCTTTGAGCGATGCGGCGGGCTCGCACCAGTGGACGAACCGTCTCTGGCAATGCTGTCCTAGGGCCACCTGGGGGCTACGTCCAGGACACATAGTACAAAACACAGTCGAAGGCGTTCCGCCTCAAAGCTTCGTCCGCGGCGCCTTGGTTCTCTGGTGGGAGCCCGTGGGAGGGGGGTGGAGTTGTCTTGTCTTGGACTTGCGTAGTAGGAGGCTACACTAGGAGACCCTGATATTTTTCACTTGCGTCTGTTTTCTTCGGGCTTGGACGCCAAGCTCGCCGTCCGTCGAACTGCTAGCTCTGGCTTAGATCAGATGCCAGGTACGTATTTTCCTTAGATAATAAGACACCTTACAAAGCAGGGTGCGTTCCCTCCACTTTCGTCCCCACCTTACTCAAAGATGAGATAGCGGGGCGTTGGACCGGGGGGCGCAGAAGCAAGTGGGGCGGAAGCTACAAGCAAGGAAAGGAGACTGGACGAGGGCGTGGGGTCAGTGTCCTGGAGGCAGCGAAAAATGAAAGAACGAACCCCACACGCGTCAAATCAAGGTTTCTATCTTTAACCCCAAATGAGATAAACTCCGAACACACGCATGACAAGCGCGGGTGATGAAAGTGGATCCCGAGGCGTTTCTTTTCATTCTCTGGATCACCTATACCTAGGTACCATAGTAGTCTTTTCAGAGAGTTTAGCACCTACCATAGTAGGTATGCCGCTGTAGCAGACAACCCCCAAGAAAGCCTCACCTGTTGCAACAACGCATAGAGAACAGCACTAACACTTCACTCAGACACTTCATCTTGTATTGAGTGGCATCAAGACGAACGAACAATGGGACGAAATCTCTTTGCATCGTACACTAAGGTGCGCTGGCTCCAACGCCATCTCATCTTCCCACTAAGACCCCAACCATCATTCTCTTACAGGAAAGCTTGACAACATCACTTGGATAGGAACGAGGTGGGATATCATCGTCCGCGCCTCAACTGTAGACGTCGTCGACACAGGACACTCGCGAGTGGCTAGGTTTCACCTCTGCCTCTCCAAGCTCTCTCAACATACGCCGACGTGTGGGGTGTGTGTGTGTGTGTGTGTGTGGTGTTCGTCCTGAGTTCGTAGCATTGCCTATCTGGTCACCGTCCCGCCATCCAAAACGCTGCCAGGAGTCAAACCCCCGGGACGATACCGGATTGCAAAGGACTGCTTTCGGAGGCCCGGCAGTGTCAGGTAAGGGAGGAAAGGCGGCAGATACCGCGTGGTTGGAAATTCTATGAACCCCCTCCGTTTGCACACACACACACACACACACACACACATATCCTCCTACATCCGTCCGCACCCTCGTCGTCTTTCGTGATAGGCCGGCCGCGGGAGATTTGTCTCGCCGGCCGAGCTAATTGCAGTATGCAGGCTTTCCCAACCGGGTATGGTATATTTGCAAGTTGCGAGCTGACAAGCAGGGATGCGGCCCCCCTGTCCCGTCCTCCACCCCCTGCGCTATGGAATCATGAAAGCCCTCTGTAGATCCAGATACGACGTCAAACATTTGCGTTGGATGCTGATCGACATATCAAACATGATGCCCCTTCGAGCAGACGGGACGGCATGATGCGGTTGTGAGCTGGACATGGGGCAGAATAGATACATCATGATCGCCCGAATTCGACTTCTCACACCGACGGCGATTCCCTGTTTCTCCCTGCAGTCGCGGCTCTGATCCGCCGGACGACACGACACGACACGAGGCCTGGCCGTTCGTCACATCGACCCTTTGCTTGGGGTAATCAGCAGCAAAATTCACCTGAATCCGGGCTTGGCCAGGCATGCCAGGCTCACCAAGACCTGGTATTGCTATCGATTCGAGCCTCACTTGTTGAGACCAGGGCGAGGCCCCTCCTGGGTGACGATAGCTGCCAGCCTTGCGCTCAACACTACCGTGACTGCCACGACTCTCTGGTGTGGGTGTTTGGGCATCGTATCCTCCGCCGCCAATTCCCCATCCAAGTCGTTGCGATGCGGGAAGCCGCCGTGAAACCACACCACCCGGAGCGGGAGCAATCGACATGGATCGCCCGCGCGGGCCCTTTTGTAATCTCCCCGTAGAGCCTGTTTTTAGACTTCTGAGGCCGATACTGATAGTCACCGTCCTCCCTTGTGCCTCTCACAATGACATCTGTTATGTGGCGTTCATGTTTCCAAGGGACGGATCTTGATGGCAAGATTACACGGATTATCGCCCATTGCCGCCCATCCCGTAGATTCCAACCCTTTACAAGCTTGTCGCAGGCAGGCGGTGATGAATGTGACAATTCTTCTCGACCACCTCACCCATGATGACCTGGTCTAGAGTCTACTAGCACGCGCCGGAGTCAACCGCCATCAGATCCTGCCGTGACTTTACAACGGTTGTCGATGTCGAAACCACCGAAAACCTGCCCTAGAGGCAACCTTCGCGGAAAGGGGCGGGTCACTTGGCCATCTGGAGGGGAGTTGCCGGCTCTAAGTGAGCCACCTAGCCCTCCGCGTCCGATTTTCAACAGTCGAGCATACAGCCACCTCGATATAGGGCTGCCCGAAGGGCTGGAGGGCGGCTGGGACATGGGCTGCATCGCGAAATGCAAACTGTTCGGGCGCCAAATCCAGGGTTGTGAAGCTGCCACACTCGCGATACAATGGCTGCATAGGCTGCGCAAGCGCTGAGACCCCGGCTGGCGGCGTATTTGCTCTGTCGGTCTCTCTATCTCTCAGGATGCCGCGGTACGGGTGATTTCTCACCGAGAGTTTGTTGGACGTGGCGCCGGTTCTGCAAGTGTCGTCGCAATGGTGTCTTGTCTTGGCCGAGTCCTCCACGGGTCCGCATTGGAAAGGATCACTTGAACGCAGCGCGAGGCCTAGAAGCGAGGCAGACTGTGACAAGACATCGTCGGTGAGCTTTGGGGTCTCGCTCGGTTGGCTTTGGATGAGACGACAGGACAACGAGACGGAATATCCCACGCCGAGCCGTTGTCAGTACCACTCGCACTTTCTTTGTGAGGCCTCACTCCTCGGTCGAGCCAACCAAGCCCGTATCGAAACGCCTCATTTTTTCCTTGCCACTGCTTCTCCGGTCAACAGTTCGCGACGGTCAGCGTGGTGCTTTGCAGTCGATACTGACCGAGAGGGCAGAAATGCCGCCGTTGGCGAAGAAGGGGTTCACTAGAACCTCAAGTGCAAGTGCGCAAAAATGCCAACAATGCGAGATCCAAGCGTAAACAGCTACTGGCTGCCATACCGAAGTCTTGGGACCATCCAGACCGGCGGGACTGGCCATCCCAGCAGGAGGCGCCGCCATCCTGCAGAACACTAGCCTGTGTGCAGCTCAATAACCTGTTCGCGCGAAAAATGGACCTCCTGTGATGCCGTTGAAGAGGGGGCTAGATTCTAAACGATGCGGTGCTCGACCAAGCCAGGGCGTGTGCATCGTCTGTAAGTCCCGTTGATGTTGCCATCTATGCCTGTGCGAGGCGTCTGGGCGAGGCCTTGGTCTAAGGACGCGCACTCTGCTGGTTAAGACGACGGTGCTAAGAGGCCGGATTTCTTGTTCCCCACAATCAAAAAAAGAGACTTGCGAGGGCGAAAGAGAAAGAAAGAAGAAAACAGAGTCCCAAACGGGTCTCACGGACAAGCCCATTGACCCGACGCAGCGGGTTTCGACCGGCGCCACGCCGCCCCCCCGACGATGGCTCGAGCTGGAGGAAATGCCACACCAGACGGCTCAAGATTGCCCAAAGGATTCTAGATGCGCCCTGTAGCCACGTGTGATGAGAGTGCAAGGGTCGTCGAAGGGGGGTTTAGCGAGAGAGTTGGGTTAGCTCTGAGATGCGGCGGCCCTGAGATATCGTCAACCCGGTGAGGCAGGCCGTCGCGCCGATAGGCCCTCAGACGAGGTATACGGGCATTACCGAGGCAATGGGAAGCTGCCGGTCGCGGATGACGGGATGCAGTCTTCGGACGACAGGTCAGCGAGCGCCGAGGACGGTGGACGTATGGAGGTGATTCTGACGATCTCGAACAAGTTGGATTCAATAGTTTCATCCACTGCACCCACTGCCGATGACAGATACGGGTCCGACTTGCGGGACGGCCAGGCAGCGGCATGGATACAAACAGGATGTCATGATGATCCGGGGCATCGAAGATCACCTTGACAGGCATTGTGTCCGTAGGGTACGGATAGGCAGCCAACTCGCGGCTCCCGGCCAGTGTTCTGGACCCTCGACGAACAGCACTGATTAACAGACGGGGGGCGACGTGTGATGGTTGGCTTTGGAGCGGATGAGTGATCACTGGAGACCAAATGAGGGATGGAAGGGGGAGGGAGGCAAGGGTGTGTTCACGGACGAAATGGCTTCCGAGATTAATTGCTGCAAGCCCACTCACTGCCCAGCCCAGCCAGATGCATGGTCGGCGACCACTTTGGCTCTTCTTCCCCGAAATGCCCACCCTCCACGGCGCCACCCAAGTCCGACTTCAAGTCCAACTCCCTCGCACTTTGGACTGTCACTCGCGCCTGTCAACCTCTTATTCCCTACCGGGAAAGATCAGCACGCCAATGCTGTCATTGTTTTTTCTTCCCGTGCCGGACGTGGTCTTCTCTCTCTCTCTCTCCACCTTGGCGGTAGCCAAACAGAACGCTGCTTTGAAGACATGATGCAGGGGTTTGCTGATGATGTGCTGTCGCATCGAGACCTGCCTCTTTGCCTTTCTTTATTTACACTCCTCGTCTGAGGCAACGGATGGTGACATTGGCCAGGCATGGATCGTGATGTTGATGATGATACCTTCAGACTCGTTCATGGGTTGTCGACAGGGTTCCTATCCGTACTGTCCCCGCCATCCGGTCTGCGTATGATACAGACCTCCCAGGCCGCACACATCCATCGTCTGGCTAGGAAACCCAGCGCCAATCTGGTCCGGGTTGCACAATATGACCCGTGGCAGGCCTGTCTTCCCCATGTTCGTCCTTTCGCTTGTACTACTACGAATAGGTAGGATTGCGCATGCGACATTCCGATACATGTCCCATCTGCAGTTGCATACGGCCGTACCAAACTATGCACATCGGCCGCTCAACACCCATGCTTGCAGCTATCCTGCTTCATCGTACCACGGTCTATGGTCACGGGAGCACAATACATCACATACGACGCATGCCCCTTGGTTGTCAGTGGTGGTGGACCAGATTATTGAGCCTGGCTCGCCTCGGTGTGTCTGTCTCCTGAGTTCTCGCTTATTGCGGAACTAATTCCAGCAGCGGAAACTTGTGTGTAGAGCCTCACGACATCGGATCCGGCAATCGGTTGGTAAACTCGGTTTGACAAGGCGTACTCGCTGCTCGTTGGTGAGGCAGACAGCTCTGGCGGAAGAAAGAACAGGCCTCTCTAGACGGCGATGCGACTTCTTGTAGAAATGTATCGGGCGTCAGACATCCGCGACCTCGCTGCGCCATCCCCATCCGTTTGGCACATCGGCACCGAGCTGTCTCATGCCTGAAGCTTCACATATCTCGATAACGATACCTCTTACAGCTCTTACTTCGTCTACCGACGCCCCTACATTGAGAGCGCCTCGTAGATGGCCTTTCAGTTGTGGATTAACCTGCTGCTATTAGCACAGTTCTGAACTGGCCCGGGCTGACTTACATCCTGCGGTATAAGCCCAGCTATGAGAACGTACGACGTTTCCAACGGAGACAATACGTTGGTGTTGCTCAAAACGTAGCCGTACATCAATCGCGCAGTCAGCCCCAAGTCCTCAGTGCCTGACCTGTCTAGTTGACTCATGATTCGCCTGGATATCTTGCCATAAATGTTGTTCCAGAAGTCATGCCCCCTTTCAAAGATTTTGGATATCGGCGTGTGGTGTATATCCCGATTCCGAGCGGTAGGGGATACGTCAAGTGAACCATTGTTGTCTGGTTCGTCACGAAGATGTTCAGGCGTCACTTTCTTCAACTCCATGAGGGAGTTGATCGTCTGTTCGATGTTAGCGAGAAGTTGCCTTGGCACATTTGGGCCTACCTTGGGCAAGCCTCCAACTGCAGACGCTTTGATGAGAGCCTCTCTCAGCTTTCTTGATACGGTGAGCTGTTCATCCGCCCCAGGCTTGAGATCGTCGGGCCCGACGCCGTGCTTCATAACATGCTTGTAAATTTGCGGTATCTCTTCGGGACGGTTGAGCACTGTCAGTGTTGTGGCCGCAATGAAGTACCACGCATGACTGGGGATGTGCGGCCTGTTTCTAATCGACACAAGAAGCGCCGGTGTAACGATGGGTGTCAATCCGGATGCCATTTCGACTTCCGTGACTGATCTTCATTCTTTGCAGTTTGAAAACAGTTTGTCCATCTTCACTCGACATTCCAACAGAAAATCAAACTGGTACAAGGCACTTTCTCAGTCGTATGGTGTTGTAAGGACATTCGACGCCTGCCATCAATGGAGTGGGGACGGTTTGGTGATGTCGGAGTTCGGCGGCGGCCCGGCCGACGTCGGGTGGTTCTGCCGTCGGAGTCGGCTCAAACTAGTTCCGGGTGATGGAATGATCCCCGCCAGTGAAAGGAACCATCACGTGCTCAGCTTAGCGTCCGCCTGGGGTGTCCTGCGTCACTGCTCAGGTAATCCACCTCAGTTGAGTGGATGCTTGTCACTAACGTGGCATCTACTACGAGCTCCGTCCGACGTGCCAACCAACGCCGCGCGCATCCGGACTTACTTTGGCTTGCATCAACACCATGGGCACTTGAGGGTCTCCCTCACTCCAATCTACGAATACCGTGCTTTCAGCCCATCAGAAATCAAGATGAGGCTCGCGTGGTATGCAGGGGTCAGTCTCTTCCCAAGGAAGTATCGAGCTTCATTCGCATAGCTCCAAAGCCATCGCCGCCCGTCACCTCTCCAACATGCTGACTCTCGACAGGTATCCACGGCCCTGGCGGCCACGGTCGTCGTGTCGGCCTTCCACCAACGAGCCAACTTCTATTCGGCCATGGTATACCTCGCGCAAAGTAACTTTTGCTTGCTAGTTGGTACCCTCAACGATCGCGACGAAGCTCAGCTGACATTTTGCAGGTCCTGGTCAACTTCATCTACCTTATTTACGGCACCATGATATACGGCCTGCAACGACTTCTGTACGGCCCCTTGCGACAAGTCGAGGTCGAGCAGCTCTCAGAAAGAGCATGGTTCGCCATTACCGAAACATGCCTGGCGATGACGATTTTCAGAGAAGAGATTGGTGCATGGTTTCTCGTCATGTTTACCGCTCTGGTGACGGGCAAGGTCTGGGGATGGATCGGTGACGGCCGCGTCGAGGTACTCGAACAGCAGCCACCCACGAACCCGGGCCTCTTCCACACCCGACTTAGCATTTCACTCCTCTTGAGCCTAGTCTACGACACTTGGCTGCTTCGATACACTGTGAACACGGTAATCCAGCAAGCGCGACCCAATATGATGGTTATGTTTCTCTTTGAGTTTGCCGTCTTAGCAACGTGTTCGGCACGGACAGGTATTCGTTACTTGGTTTCGGTGATGGAACAAAATATTGTCAAGACCCAGACGAGGCAGCGTCTAGAGGAGCGACGGAGACAGGTCCGCGAGGAGCGCGAGGAGCTACTCCGACAAAGAGAACAAGACGGTGGCGCAAGCGACGACGCGGACCTCCCGCGCGAGGAGGACATTGACGAAATGGATATTGAGGTTCCGGGATGGGAGGCAAAGGGCCAGTGGATTCTGATTCTCGATCTCATTGCTGGTAAGTTGGACGACCCGACCCCTCATGCATGTATACGCTGACAATTCAGATTGCGTCAAACTCGCCATCTATCTGGTCTTTTTCGGCATCCTACTCACCTTCTACGGCCTCCCTATCCACATTATGCGAGACCTTTTCATGACTGCTCGCTCCGTCATCAAGAGAGGCTCTGCCTTGTGGCGCTACCGCAAGGCCGTAGAGGACATGAACAAGTACCCCGATGCCACGCAAGAGGAGCTCTCGCGGGAAGACACTTGTATCATCTGCAGAGAGGAGATGCGGCCATGGGACCCTAATTCTGGGGCGGTTGAACGTGTGCGCCCCAAGAAGCTGCCTTGTGGACATATCCTTCACTTTGGATGCCTCAAGAGCTGGCTGGAGCGTCAACAAGTGTGTCCGACATGCAGAAGTCCAGTCGTCGTCAACAACAACGCCGCGGCTCCTCAGAACCGCGAAGCCGTACTCGCCAGAATCGGTCTCGGTGGACTCGGCGCCGCGCCTGCGGCTCCCGCCGGACCGCAACCACCTGGAGGCAACGCACCAGCTGCGCCCGGAGTTCAACCCGCTCAGCAGGCTCCCAGAAACGGTGCTGCCCGAGTATTTCAGCTGGGCCCGCTACGCCTCGGTTTCGCTCAGGGTGAGAACATGCAGCAGCTGGCCCAGCAAATGGGTGTTCCGCCTGAAGCAATCCCAACACCTCCTCAAGCAGCGCCAGCTGGGCCGTTTACGCCAGCTGTACAGACGCCGGGCGGTAACAACATGACGGCGATCCGTGGACAGATACAGCAACTCGAGCAAATGATTCAGCGGGAGGTTCTGTCCCTGCAACACATGCATAATGAGCTACAGACGCTCCAGCTCCTGACGGCAGAGCTGGGCCGTATCCGTCGGCTGCAACAGCAACAAGAACAGGTACAGAATATACTGCACAATGCCGGCCAAAATGTCGCCGCCACCACGGCCGTCGATGCTGGAGCCGCGCAGTTTCCGCCTCAGCTGCCCATCCCACCCATGCCATTGGCGCAGTTGCCAATCCAACAGCTGAGGGTTAACGCACCTGTGGTGACGAGACACGGAACGACAACCCAGTCCAACGCGATACCCGCTGGCAGCGCCGAGCTTCCGGAGGGCGTCGTCATCCCGCCGGGATGGTCTCTTCTGCCTCTTCAGCGGCTGGACGGCGCCCCAGTTGCAGCTTCGCCCCAAACCTTCCCGGAGACTGCTCCGTCGACTTCTGGCGACAACCCCGAAGCACTGGCACACACGCAAGCCCAGCCTGCGCCTGTCCAAGTGACCGAGACGAGCAATTCGGCCACGCAGGCCGCCTCCGCCAGCTCGACGTCTCAAGCGAACGAACCGGAGCCCAGGCAGGAAACTGTACAGGGCTCCAATGCCCCGGCAGAACGGGTCGAGTCGCCAACCGTCCTCGCTCCAAACCCGGTACTGCCCAACTGGGGCGGTGCGAACCAGCTGTTCGGTAACGGCCGAGGCTTGTCCGGACTGGGTAACCCGACACCGTCCGAGTCGTCGACCGAGGAGCGCAGACGGGACGAGTCCGCGACCAGAAGCTCGGAGATGGTGGCTTCGGCACAAGAGGAGAGCGCCGAGGACAGCAGCAAGGGGAAGGGCAAGGCCGTCACGGTTGAGGAGGCCGAAGACGACGAGTAAACGAGGTAGACAGCGGGCAGGCATTCAGCGGCGTTATGGGCGGTTTTGGCCTTGGTGTAAAAATCATACCACTTTTTGTAGGAATACTAGCGCATTGTTTACGCAGAAAAGATCGACCGTCAAGAACCCTTCATTACATTAGACTTGCACATTATACGTTCGTTTCAGACCATATGATGAGAATATGTACCATCACGGCTCCTGCTCCACGCTTCCTCGCATCATGCTCCTCGGCACACACTACATGCATGACCTCTGACTCCGGTTCAGTACAGTACTACGGCGTCTCCCCATGCACTCGATCCTAACCCCTCGTATTCGGTATATCGCTGCTGTGTGGATTAGATATTAGAGAGGACTGCTCACGCTTCTTCGCCTAGGTGTCGAGCACATCACGCTCCTCTTCCGTGGGCAACGCGGGCGTCTCCCTCAACGGCACGTCTTCACCCTTTTCCCATGCGGCGCCCGGGCCCTGGTAGGACGGCTCCGGGATGGCCGACGGCGCGGTGCCGGAAGACCGGGGCGCTGTCGAGTGATCCTGCTCACCACCAAGATTGCGCACTATGCTCAAGGCTACGCCGCCTTTTACCGGCTGCGGGCTGAGCACCACCCCTCCAGATGACTGCGCAAAATAAGTAGGTGAAAAAACTCCCTCTGAGCCAAAAGGCATGGGACGTGTTGGGATCTCGCGACTCACACCCTCAGGACCTCCCTCACCGCCAAGCTTCTTCAATAAAGCCTCCGACTGCTGCTTAGCCAGTTTCTGAAGCTGAGCCACAGGATCCTTTTGAGTTTGCAGAACGTTAGTCATGTCGCAAATACAGTCTGCGGGAGTCCGCCGAATTCCATGCACACATACCCAGTCCGACTGCGGCGGCACACCTTGAGCGACCGGCAGATCCTCCTCGTCTTCGCCTTCGCCGGTTCCAGGGCCACCGCCGCCCCAGAACTTCGGCCGACGAATAGGCGCGGGAGTGACTGGAAGACTAGGTCTATCGACTACGCTAGGGAAGTCGGTGAGCTTGAGCCCGTGCTCCTTTGCCGCCTTCCCACCAGGGATTCCCACCGAGCCTTGGCTCTTCCCACGACGATGCTTCTGAAGGCCCTCGACGTAGCGCTCAATCTCGGGCACTTCGTCCCAAGCATTCGTACGTGTGAAGGCGGTCCAAGGGTCTGAAGGGGCAACCTTGATGGTAGGGGTGGATGGGGTGCTGGGCTCGCTCTTTTGACCAGTTGTCGATGATCCTATAAGAGACGGCTCAGCATGAGCCTTGGGTATGGACGGCGCCGTTTTCTCACCAGTCGGTGTGCTCGATGGCTCCTCAGTCGTCGGCTCGGGGTCCGCGATGAAAATTCTGGTCGGCTTGGGTTGGTTCGCCTCCCAGGGAAAGATTGCCCGAGGTTTCTGCGAAGGCTTCTCTTTGGGCACCTCATACCACATGTTTCGTGGCGGGCTCGGGTATCGCTCGGGAGGCACAAACGGAGCGGGATCTTGGGACATCTCGTACACTTGTAAGGGAAAGTTGAGTGCCTCTGGTCTCGAGTCTGCCGGGGGCGGTTGTCTGAGCCAGTTAGTGCGTGTCCCATAGAGGGAGAGAGAATATCAAGACATACCTTTGAGCATCCCATGTTGGCGCGGGGGGAGGGCTTGGCTCTCGCCGCGGCTCCGCGGATGGTGGTGTAGGGCCCCGTTCGTGGTGCGCTGAAACCTGCTCTGGTCTAGCCTCAGTTTGCGTTCCAGCAGAAGCACTAAAGGACTCGCTGAGAGGGGAACATGACGAGGGGCCAGCTTGATACGCGATCTCAGGCTGAGGTCCTTGACCGGGGTTACGGGGCGGCGTTTCATGCTGCGCGTGCGGCTCGAGGGACTGGCCATGGACATCATGGTTCGGAGGGCCATGAGCCTCATGCCCTACATGGAGCGGCACAGGGGAATAGAAGCTACCGCGACCATGGGAAGATAGTGCTCACCGGTTGATGCTAAATGAGGAGCCTGTGGCTGCGGCTGGAATTCCCCCTTAGTAAAGTATTGCACAATCTCCGGAGCTTTGTGTTCGTGTTGCTGGTACGCGTCGTGGGATTGCGAGGGAGGAGCAGATCTCGTTTCCTGATCCAGACGTGAGCCTTTGCTCTGTTGAAGCTCTTTGTGACCCACTGTAGCTCTGTAATGCCTATCGTAGACAGCCCACCATCTGCCGACCATGTCTTCGAAAGGCGAATCGCTCTGACTAGGCTGCCTTCCCTTGAACCAAGGCTTTTCGGGCCCGATGAAGTGCACCATGTTTATGCTCGATTGGAAGTGGCGGTACGCAGGGATGTATTGGTAGTGCGCTGACGGGGTGACGTTGTAGGTGAAGCTGATGCGGTTGTACGTGTTCTTGAAGTGCATGTTCAGTAGACCTTGGTCAGCACCATCGAACGAGATACCTCGCTCGGCCATGGCCATCAGGGCGTAGTAATCGCCCATGTTTGGGCTGAGGACCATGACACCGGTGTTGAAGAGGTCAGGCCAGCCAATGTCAGGGGCCGCGGAAAAGGGCGCGGCAATGTCGAACAGCTCGTCGGGAGCTCGGTAAGCGACGACATCGGCGTCAATGTAGACAATCTTGGAGAACTGGGTTTGTCGCCAGAGGTTGACCTTTGTGAACGCAGAGTGCAGGTCAGGTCGGTTCATGAGATAGAGATTAGCGGGTCGGTCGTTGCGTATTCTGGGGACGGGAATGACATGGTCGTAAACGGCCTGGACGGGACGTATCAGCCTGAAGCTCGCGGAAGCTCAAAAGCGAGCGGAGGTATGGGGTGAGTCTGACCTTGAGTTCGGTGATAACCTCAGCGGAGACGGTATCGAGGGTGACAAGGACCACCAGCTGCTTCGAAGTGCCAGCATCACGCAGAGAATGAGCGAGGACTAATGCGCCTGGTACCAAACGTGTCAGTAATGATGCGAGAAGCGAATTGAGTAGTCAAAACCGACCTGGAAGGTATGTGTCGTTCAACAGAAGCTATACCAATGCGGCCATTAGCTCTTTGTTTACTTTTTTTTCCCGGGGCTTACGATGACAATCGGGCCCACGAACCGTTGCATAGACTTGTTCCCCTCCACGAAGGGCGGCCATTGTGTAAAGGAGGCGTTCCGAGACACGAAGCTAAAGGGACCAAAAGAAAACCAACAAGACAGCGACAACGACAGGTGTCAGCGAATGGCCATGGACGATATAATACAAGTGTCCCGTCAGAATTGGTGGTGTAGCACGGTGGAAGTTGATGTACGGACAGAGGGACGGGCGGAAGAAGGTGTGGCGGGGATGGGAGCCGTGCGTTCCAAGGTAGAGAGGTTCACCTCAGGTCCAGTCCAGGTCCAGGCCCGGTGCGATGGAGTCGAGTGCGGAGAGAGTGAGGAGGCGTGGAGTAGTTAGTGTACAACGCGCAGGTGGACACGCAGAGTAGGCCGGGGTACCTTGCTGTGCTCGTGTTCAGGTGGTGATGCGCAGGTTGGCGTAGTTGGGTATTCGTGGAAGCTCCCAGAAAGAGGACGAGCGAGGCCGGGCTCGAATGAGGAGATATGGAGGAAAACGAGGTTGAAAGGAAGAATTGGGAGGGATGCCACTATTGGTAAGAAAATTGTTAATGGTTCTCGCAAGCAGGGCAGGCATAGGCATGCGTGAAGACTGGACTGATCAGTCAGTTCGTCTGTGGCTCGTAATCATATCATTAGCGGGAAATCCGTGTTAGTCGCGATGCAATGTCATGTTTTTTTCCCGTGAGGAGCTTCAGGTCATGGTGCAGCGAGGCGGGATGTAAGGTAGGTGCGTGTACGTCGTAGCACGAATGAGAGAGACGTACCGCTGCGAAATATCGCCAACAATAGCCAGGTAAGGGCGAAGCAGCCGAGTACTTCTACTTGTTGGAGAGCGATGATGGGTTACCAGGGGTCGAGAAGAGCGGACCCCGGCGGCGATGCAGGTTGGGATAGGACAAGAAGCACGGCGTGGGTCGTGAGTCGCGGGTCGTGGCAAGCAGCACTAGACTAGCAAGGCCATTGCAGCATGGGCAAGAGATTGCGGCGCGACGATGTGCTGGCCAACAAGTCACAAGTCAGCGACGGACGTGGTGGCCTGGATACGAAGAGGCGATAATGATGGCAAGGTATCCATCCGTAGGTAGGGACTCGGTAGGTATCGATAGGATGAGGGATGACGCCGGTCTGTCGCCGCAAAAGAAGACATTAGAGACGACGTTTCGTCACCTCAGCTGAAGATGGAGCTTGGAGCACAAGGTGCCTTATTTCCAGCGGGTCCTTGCGTGTTGTTATCTGCACCTTCCTTGACTCTAACGTCCTTAATCCCTCTCTACCTACCTTATCCCATATGTTCACACAATCTGTCTCAAGGTACCTTAAGGTAGTACGGATACCGATCTGCGTATTCGTTTGATGTCGTATTTTCTGTCTTGCCATATTTTTTATTCTTCCCAATCGATCCCTTTCGAATCGGCGTACAGATTGGAAGAGGGTGGTGGGTGACATTGATTCGCTCAGAAACCCTTGTAACGCGTGAGCCTTTCATTCCCGGGTTCGCGGGATTCAGAGACAGAAAACGACTCAGATATTTCAGACCATTCTTCCGCAGTTGGAGAGTCCTTCTTTGCGCATCGTATCGTGGCATGTCCCACAATCCATCATCGGTCGGTATTCCGCGTCGTCAAACTTGCAGGGTCCAGTGCCTGATGGAGGGGCTTGTTGTGTTGGCCTTCATCAGACAACATTCCGCTGACCAACGTGGAGACACCATTGTTAATTTAGCAAGGCATGTAGACAAACGGAAAAGCCCTTGGGATAGGACTGTGGGACTGCATCTTGGTCTGGCGCGTATGATGATGGTATTGCTGCATAGCAGATGGCATACTGAAGTATGGCCCGAGATGTCCACTTAAGTCGAAATCAAAGCTCAACAGTTTCTTGCCCAACTGTGGTTGTGTTGTCCAGTGTGTTGACACAATGACTGACAGCGACAGCGACAGTGACAGGCGTTGCATAAATCGTCTGATGTAAATCAAGATTCCCATAGTTGGGGCGTGCATAACCATCTCTAACCGCCATGGCCATCCATGTCTGTCTGTGTGCGCGTCGTTGGAGAGGAAAGGCATAAAGAGAAGAGACAGAACCTACATCGTCATCCTTCCGCCACATTACGGCGATACCTTTCGCAGCGCAGCGCAGCACTGGACCTAACTTGGCTTCCTGCCGGCAGTGAGGTCTCGCGTGAGTTTCTTCTGCAAGTCGGTCCAAATTACTATGTGACGGTTACCATGGCCGGATACTTCCATATGTGAGATCTCCTCCGATACCTACCTACCTGTACCTAAGGTAAGGTAGGTAGATAGGCACCTACGCTACAGCGTACCAGCAGGTGAGCCCACCTGTAGGTTCAGTGTCATCCACCCCGATGGAAGCTTCCCCGCACCCGCACCCGCACCCGCACCGGCACCCGCAACCGCCACGGACTCCCGCTGGGTCTTGCCTGCTTCACGTCAGCACTTTTTCACCTGGCATCGACCTAGCACTTGAGGCAAGTCATCCTCGGCTGGAATTGGTTAGAGGAGGGCTGTTGCTTCCCTTTGTCAGAGACGCTCTCATCCGGGCAGTCTCAGAAATAAAGCACTTTGACACTACCTACCCACCTCACCTATCATTACCTACCTTACGCAGTACCTTAGTCGTCTCAGTCTCGGTCTCAGTCTCAAGCTCAGGCTCAAGCTCGGTTCCATACCATCCATCCTTGGACGCCGTACTTTACCTAAGGTAGGGAGGGAAGTAGGCTGGACTGTCTAATGGAATGAAGGCCGACCCCGAGCCGGACGCTCTGGATTAAATCCGCAGTCTCCTCGATCTCGCATCCATCTCTTCCCATCACTCCGGTCGCCTCATTCATCCCTTCCAGTGCCTCCCGTCGCCCGTACCAGGTTCTGCCTCTGCCTCTGCCTCTGCCTCTGCCTCTGCCTCCGCTTCCGCTTCCGCCTCCGCCTCCGCTTCCACCTTTTCCTCCCGTTTGCCCGTTTGCCCGTTTGCCCGTTTGCTGTCGCTGTCGCTGTCGCTGTCGTCGTCGCTGCTGCTCGTTGCCGCCCTCCAATAAGGTAGCCAGGGTCGGGTCCCCAATTCCCCTCTTCACCCGCAAGGTGAGGTCAGTGTCCTGCCGCTCTTCCCCAAAAAGAGGAACGGATATCGCACCCGACCATGACCATGATGGAATCGACTTTACCCCTACTTGGTCACTCGAACCGAGCAATGTCCACCTCCCATCATTCACTCGATTTGCAGCAAACTCGCCTGGTAAGTCCATGCTTGCTTTTCCCCTCCTTCACCTCCTCTCCCCGCTGTCGACACTACCGTCTCATGTCCATACCTACCTTACCTACCAGTCAGTCTTTACCCCATCCTGACTGCACCTCCCACCTCCCACCTCTTGTACCGCCTCTGTATTCATCGCCGGGGATTTATCCCCATCCTCGTTAGCCTTGGGTTCTTTGAGTTCCCCACGATATTCTCAGCACATGGCTGGTCACGAGTGTGGATCGTCCGGGGAAATCGCCCTCATCGCCGCCCAACCTACGTCACCACACCTACACCTGCACCTACACCTGCACACAGCACCACATATCAAAGTCATCAAACCAATATCCAGCTCGCCGCCACCCCGGACCACCTTTGAAGAAGTCAAGTTGCAGCAGCAAAAGATGGGATTCGTGATGCCACCGATCTGCACAAAGGGTCCACCCCGTACAGATACCGTACATCAATGCCGCATCACCAGTCGGCCCAGTCGGCCCAGTCGTCCTAGTGTTCCCGTCATCTCGTCTGCACGTTACCGCGTCTCTTCCGATTTCTGCATGCTTTCCCGGCGAAACCCACCTACCTTTACTCTGGACCTCCAGCCTGGTTGGTGCTGACTGCCTTTTCTTTCCCTGTCTGTAGCCGCTACGTCCTGCCGTCCCGGAACCAGTCCCGCGTCGCCTAACCTTTCTCGATCTCCCTTACGAGCTTCGCCTAGACATCTACGAGCTACTCCTCCTCTCCGCAGAGCCCGTCATAGTCTCCAGCAGCCGCCGCCAGCTTCGCGTCAAGGTTGAGCCGCCGGAGCATCAGAACGCATATCTGCGTGCCCCGCGTCCGACGCCCCGTACAGTGACCCTCAATCACAGGAAGCCCCATGTGGCCCTCCTGCAGACATGCCGCCAGATCAACCGCGAAGCCACACCGCTTCTCTACCGCAAGAATGACTTCATCGTGGGTTTGAAGGTTTGTGCGAGTGGGGAGGCCAGAGTTCATCCAGAAGACCTGGCCTCGTTTTTTCCCTCCCTCCTCCGCCCTTCCACCATCCTCCACCTGCCGTCCATCACCTTCCGCGGTGCCTGTCTCTGCCATCACTGGCTCACTCTCGCGGCCGGCGAAGGTCGCACCATCAACGGCGCAGAGCTGGGCCGTGTATGCGGACACGCCGACGGCGACGTTGCACCAAGTATCCAGAACGCCCAGGCGGCGTATCTGATGCTCAGTGAAGGCCTTTGGGAGATGGAGAAAGGTCGGCAGCCCCTTATCCTCCTTTACGAACATGTGCTAAAGTCTCGTAGACTATGGAAGATTTAGAGCTTGCGCATTTTGCAATGCAAGCTACGGTCAGCGCTGCTTCATCTGGGGATCAGGTTCTTTGGCATTGCGTGCATAGCGAGATACGTCAGTTTGTACGAACTGGGGCGAAGACACGGCATAGACGTTGGATCAGCGGGGGAACCAACTAATTTTAATGGATCAATACTGTATCGATGTGTTCCTCTGTTCGTCGTTACGCGCGAGACTAACACAAACCCTGCGTGATGATGCTGAAAGCCAGGTCTCCAACCTCGATGCGTCCTTCCCACCACTACAGGTCCTTCTTGAAGGTATGCTCGGGTTTGTGAGTGGTCTCGTAGTCGATATGTACATAGGCCCGCTCCACGTCCGGCAGACTTTCCAACTTGACCTGCAGCGCCTCGGCCACGTCGTGCGTCTCGGCGAGCGTGTTCTCGCGGCCCATCACGATGTCCACCTCGGCAATGAGCCGAGGACCGGAATGGTAGACACGGACCGTGTCGATACCCTGGATGGCCGGGGAGTGCGTCAGACAAACATACGTGATGAGCTGCTGCGTCTCGACCGACGCAGTAACGCCCACCAACAACAGAAACTCGGCAATAGCGGTGCGCAGCCAGATGGCCGTGATGATCAAGGACAAGATTGTGGCGCCCATTGGGTCGATCCACCACTTAAGCTTTGATCCACCGACGGACGTGAGGATGCCGAAACCGTTGACGACCAGGTCGTTACGATGGTCGGACCACAGGATGCGTACCTGGGAGTAGCGGTTCCTCAGAGAAAAGCAGTACACAAAGAGGGCGAACTTGGTGGCGAAGGCCACAATGACGGCGATGATGGGCTCCAGGCGGAAGTTGTTCGTCTCTTCCCCCCCTTCTTCCCGCTTCGTGTTGCTGAGGTCGCGCGCGGCAAAGGCGATGATGATCATGGACACCGATATCATCAGGAAACAGAAGATCACGTTGCCTACGGTCTCCAGCCGTGCCTTGCCAGCCGGGAAGCGGCGGGGGTTGACGCTTTTGATGGCGTGCGCGGAAAGGATGAGCGCCAGGTTGCTGAGCGGGTCGAATACTGCGTCGGCCATTGTGGTAATGATGGACAGAGATCCGGTGGTGACGGCGGCGTAGACCTGAAGGACGGTAAGGATGATGTTGGCGACGAATGAGCCCCAGACGGCTATCTTGAACTGGAGGTGGGTGTCGCCTGCCTCCTGGCGCGCCTCTGCGACGTGTTGGTCGACGGACTTGAGCATACGCTCGATGGCGGCGTTCTGTGTTTCGTAGAACTCCTGGACCCTTCTGGGACGGGGTCGGGGGCCTCGTTTCGCATCCTTGCGGTTCCTCTTGCGGGAGCTGTTGGCTTTGATCTGGGCGAGGTCCTCCGGGGTCTTGAAGGCGGAGGACAAACCGTAGGGGTCGGAGTCGGGGCCTGTTCTGGGGGGGCGGGACTGGCTTTCGACATCGGTGGCGGTGGCAGAGTGACGGGGGACGGGTTCGTTCTTCTCGTTGTTCGCTGGGATCACCGTCTCCACGGCGGTGCTAGAAGCATTGGGGGCGATCTCATCGTTGCTTAGGTTCACTGAGCCACGCCGGGACGAGTGCCGCGAAGAGTTGGCGAGATGTGCGGGCGCGTGGAAGCGGAAGGGATGCGGGTGCATAGTGATACTCTTCGAGAGGTCGGGCTCCATGGCGACGTCAGGGTGAGGATGTGAGACCTTGCAGTAAGAAGAATCTATTTTACTGATCAGAACATTTCGAAATTTGGAGGTTTGTATGAAGACTCGGCCATCGGTTGAAGTGAGGAAGTGGCGAGGTCGAGGGAAGGTGTAATCTGTCCTTCGTTATCCTGCCCTCATTTGCGCTGCCGGCCAACGAAGAGGTCTCATCCTGCCCCAGCCTTTACCATAGGAATCAACATGATGGTCGCAAGCTGATCAGACAAGCTTCTCGGGAGCCGGACAAGTGGGCGGTGCGGGGGTAAGCGCGGCGGATGAGAGTCGAGCGGCTGAGTTGTCATTGAGCCATTCGTTGCTTCCTCATCTTAGCTCGTCACACGGGCTTGGAAGGAGAGGTTAGTGTCCACGCGAACTCGCCAGATACACAGCAATCTGAGCCAATCATTTGCCCACGATGGGAACACGACCTATGTTTGCATGGTGGCAGCTACCTGACCTTTCTTTGAAAGACGCGTGCTTCATGCCGGAATGGAGACAAAGACAATGTGTGTAAGACGGTTCCAGTGAGTTACTTAAAGCTTCTGCCTTGGCTGTCTTAAACAAGACTGTCATCGAAGTTGAACGGAAGGAAAACACACGACAGTACGACAGTTCAGCATGTTGCAATGAGTGTCGTAACGACGCGAGCCGCCTGTCAGCCTGTTGAAAGATACAGTTGCAGAGTGTGCTCGACGGCTTCGTGGAGCAGGCTCAGAAAGTGAAGGATGGCTTCATGTTGATTCCTCATCAACGGACCTCGGAGATATAGATCCTTGCCGTGGAATGTGCTCAGAGGCTCGCCGAAGTGGTGGTGATGTTATGCCCAATATGTATTTTCAGGGTCGTTTTGGTGAGGTCTGGGTCGTCTCGAATTCGAGAAGCTTCATAGACCAGGGGTGAAAGGCCACAATTACAATTTCATCGGTGTGGGTAAAGGAGATGACGTTGGGAACTCCGGATCGCGGCTCTACTTATGTTTCGAAACAAACGTCAACTGGAGCCGAGATGCCGGCGTCTTTCCCGGGCCCATTCGGGCGCGACCGAGACCCAGTCTGGTGCACCCGTTTGGTCTCCATCGACCGGTGTCTCATCAAGGCTGTGACGCTAGGGATGATCTGATGAAAGATATTGAACCTGCTTTCAACAAGTGAATACTGCGGTGCGATATATCTGGATAATGAGCCCATTTGGGACGCTATCCATAGAGCATATCTGGCGTCGGAATGGTTAATTATGGCTTTAAGCGTCCGTATTACCAACACTCCGAGGGTTCGACGCGGAATGTAGACGACAGCAGAAAGAGGCAATGAGTGGGAGGCTTGGGCAATAAAAACGACAAAGATGCTGGCAATCTGCCGGATCTATCACTGGAGAGTCTGACAAGACCACCATTACAGTTATGGTAACAACGATGAGTGACTAGGCGAACGCTGTCCAAAGCTTCCTATAGCTTGGATTCAGGTCTCGCAGAGTCACCCGCCCGCTCGAGAATCCAGTCCCCAACGTCCTTAAAGAACTCATCCTTGCAATGATCCGCATGCAACTGATGGTAGGCACCTTCATACGGCTTGTGCGTACAGTCCTCAATGCTCTGCGAGCCATACCAATTCTTGCTCGCATTGAAGCACGTCGTCTTGTCCTCGGTGCCGTGACCCAGCCAGAGGCTCTTGACGTTGGGGCTCAGCTTCAGCTTGCCATGGGCCAACGCGTCTGTCCGCTCAAGCATGCCGGCCAGACCCTCAAGGGTGCCGGTGTTGTGCATCAGCTCATCGTCCTTGATGCTCTGCTGCACAGCCTTGTCCCGGGTCAGGTTTTCGGCGGGGATCTCATTCACAAGCTGCTGCTTAGGGAGAAGGCGGCTGGCGAGCTTTCCAAAGAAAACTTTGAGGAAACTGGGCTCCTCGCCGGGCGTAAAGGCGATGAAGGGGCTCTCGAGGAGCCAGCCGCGGACCTGCTTGACGAGGTCGTCGTACTGGGGATCGCTGGCTAACGCGAGGACTTGACCGCCGCCCATGGAGTGGCCCATCACGAAGAGGGGAACATCGGTGGCAGACGACAGCTTGTCGCGGATGAAGGCGGCGACGTCGGCGAGGACGCGGGACGTCGAACCCGTGAGGCCTCGCTCAGCGGGCTTGGTTACGCTACGACCCCACCCGCGCTGATCCCAGGCGAAGACCTGGATGCCGCGGCCAGCGAGGTTAGGGAAGAGTTCATAGTAGCGTCCAATATGATCGCTGAAGCCGTGGACGAAGACGAGCTTGGCCTTGATGGGGCCTTGAGGCTATCTGATGTCAGTGAACAGGCTCCGAATAGCAGCATGTCTAGAGTAGACTCACTGTCCAGGTCTTGCTGTGGAGCTTCTGTCCATCGACCTCGAAAGTGCCTTCGGTTTCAGTAGCCATGATGTACTTGGCAAATTTCAGACAGATCTGTGAGTCGGGACACGAAGCGCACCTGTGGTTCAAATATCAGTCGTGGAGACTTCGAATTATGATGCCGGACGAAGAAGGAATCTTACTCCCTTGCTGAGACTTTCACGTGCTACCTGCCTTGAGGTTGGAAGGGTACTGAAGTAAGACACAGGTAAGGTACCTAAGGTAGTAGGCTATTTTCAAGTGGCGGAGGCATTGCACCCTTGTGGCGCCTGACATGCTCACTAATAAATTCCGCTTGCGGCAGGGGAGCTGCCCCCCAGCTGGGGGAGCTAGGAGAGCTTTGACACGCAGACTTGGCTTGAAGCAAAGCCGCTGCGAGTAAGTCACTGACTGCCCGACATCTCTCTCAACCTATCTGACTTAACTTTGCGAGTTTTCCGCAGTGGCAATACGACGGTCTATAGAATAACCACCCTGATCAATTATCTCATTTTTTGTTTCAGCAGTCTCCAGACATCGGTAAGATCGAGTGGAGTTGGTCTATGATGCTGTTTAACTGGGAATAAGGTAACTTGTAGTACAGATATGATGACAGCATGAGCTGCCCCGAGCAGCACGCTTCCGCCGTTACTGCGAGCCGCCTCAAATATCGAGCAGCCTTTTGATATAAAACACTAGGAAACGTACCACGCCTTGTCCGACGTCTGCGGGACAATTTCGCGCCTTCATCTTCGCTCATCCTTCACCTTCTCCCCTTGTTGGTTCTCTGCTGGTTCTGCTTCTTCGCCCTCCTCGGCCTCTTCGCCTTCAAGTTCCGATTCAATCTCTTCGTCTTCGGTGATATGACCTCTGTCGCTGCTGCGGGTGTCGGGGATATCACCCCCGCTCATTTGCCACTCCATGAGCTTGCTGAACGCGCTGTCCATGTTGGCCGAGAGCTCCGAGTATTTGCCGATTTCGGCAACCCTGCCATCATTGGAAAGAACAATGATGAGGTCGGATCGCTTGATGGTGGACAGTCGGTGTGCGATTGAGATGGTCGTGTTCTTGCCTTTGAGGAGAGAGGCCAGAGCTGCATTAACGAGAGTCTCGGACTCGGCGTCCAGAGCGGAGGTTGCCTCGTCTAGAATGAGAATATCAGGGTCCTTGATCAATGCCCGCGCAATGGCGATCCGCTGCTTCTGACCTCCAGACAATTGGGAACCACGAGCACCAACTTGGGTGTCCAGGCCAGCAGGAAGGTCGCTGATGAAGTTACAGTTGGCTTTGCGGGCAGCTGCAACGATCTCGGCTCTGGTGGCGGTGGGCTTGCCATAAGAGATGTTGTCGGCAATCGTGCCGGAGAATAAGACGGGCTCCTGAGCGACCATGCCGATGCGGCGCCGCAGCGACTTAATGTTCATCTTGGAAATATCCACTCCATTGATGGTGATGGAGCCGGATGTAGGGTTGTAGAACCTGAGCAACAGTCCCGCGACGGTCGACTTGCCACCGCCAGAAGGTCCAACGACACAGACGTTGCTGCCAGACGGAATTTCAAAGTTAAGATCGTTGAAAATCTTGACAGCCGGGCGTGTAGGGTACGCAAAGGAGACGTTCGAGAATCGGATCGGACCCTGCGCCGATTGTACCTTGAGCCCGACCGTCTGCGAGATTCCTGGCTTCCTGTCCTGTAGCTCGAAGAGGCGGCTGGCAGCGCCAACCCCCTTCATGAGCTCAGAATAGAAAGACGAAAGACCAAACAAACTGGACCCGGCAAATGCGGTGTACATCATGAACGACGTGAGGTCCCCAAGCGTCATGGCACCATTGCGCACAAAGTTACCGCCAACCACGAGCATCGCGAGAATGGTCATGTTGCCGGCCCATCCCGTTGTGGCAAAGAAAGTCGCAGCGACTGTGGATTCCCTCTTGCCGAGGGCAAAAATCTTCTTGACCTGGTTGTTGTAGCGAGCAACCTCCTGGACTTCGCCAACAAACGCCTGGCTGGTCTTGACGTTACCGAGGCGCTCTTCAGCAATCTTGGTCAATGTGCCCAAGTTCTTCTGGATACCCTTGCTGATATTTCTGATTGCACGGCCGTAAAAGAAGGCTCCGACTGCAACAGGCGGCAGCATGATGAGCAGCAGTCCGGTGAGCTTCGGGCTCAGCCAAACCATCACCACAAAGCCTGCTCCTCCGCTGAACAAAGCTCTCAGACCGTCACTGATGTTTTGGGTGATGGATTTGCCGACGATGACGGTATCGGAGCTGAGTCGGGAGATAAGGTCGCCTACCCGGTTCGCATCGAAGAACTCAGCATCTTGAACATAGGTCCTCCTGTATAACTGCGATCGGAGACGAGCAACGACTCTCTCTCCGACAATACGCAGGAGAATGACTCGACCAAAGTTAGCCATGGCACCAACAGTCAGAATGACGCCCAGGGCCACGAAGAACTGTGGCATGGTGAGGCCGAACAAGCGGGCATCTTCTGAGGGGTCCTTGGTTGCGATATCGAGGATTCTGCCGACGGAAAAGGGAATGGACATTGTGACACTGGACGAGATGACTAGGAAGATCATGGCGACCCCAAGCCATCTCAGCTCAGGTCGTGCGATCTTGATCAACCGCCATATCTCTGCGAACCCAGCCTTGCCCTGCGTCTTGCCTTCCTTCGATAGCTTGGCACTTAGGTTGACCTGGGCCGCCTTGGCCGCTCTCTCGCTCTTTTGGAAATCATCGTGTTCGCCATTCTGGGCTGGCTCGGCCTGCTTTGCGTTGTTTTCGTCTTCGCGTGTTCTTGGCACCTGCGTCGTGGTTTGGGGGTCTTTTTGCGCGTGAAATCCGGTCGAGAAATAGCGCAAGATTGAACTCGGCTGGGGTATCTGAGGGTTTCGAAAGGGGATTATCGGTCGCGGGCCGGCTATGTAACCGCGAGCGACAAATGGCGCGGCGACTTGTTTGATATGTTTGGAACTGAAGCGCCTGACGTGCGAAAAGAGGGGGTGCTGTAGGATCGAAGTCGTCGTCGAAGTGCTTCGCAAGCCGGGTAGGGACGCCAGTAGCGAGCCCGCCTGGCTGCTCCCGACGCGGTGCGGGAGCAGCACTGCTGTTCGGGCTGCTCCCGTGGCCATTTCTAAATGGAGTGAATCGAAATTTTCCTATCTCATGGGCGGCGCATAGTTGGGAGGTCGAGTATGGCGTTGCTTCATCATACGAAGGAATTGGGCGAATTGCGCATGAATCCAGCCATCATCTGGCTGTTAAGAGAAAGGATTCCGTCATCGGTCGGGCTTAAAATTTACGGGCTTGGGGTCGCTGACAGTGGACGCGCTGTAAGGTACCTCTGGACCTACCTTATCCGACCTTACCTTAGCCGGGCCACTCGGCGATAGTCGGGCCGACCGCCTCTCGCCGAATGTGCCATTCCGCTTCTGCCGAAGACGGGAACAAGACGGGAGGCCCCTTTGTCAGGCATGCCGTGCTTGAATTGGACCAAAGCGCGTCTACAGGTCTTGCACTCGAATCGGTCGGAATGCTTGGCAGTTCTTGGTGATCTATACTCCGCTTCCTTTACGTATATACCGTGAGGCTGCCACGGGGCCCGATCTGGTCGATCGCCAATCGGGCCCGCGTGCAGGCGGCCCCAGATAGCTCCCTGCATGAAGCTCCAGCAGTGCTGTCGTCTTACCCCCCAAACAGATCCCAAATGCGCAAAAATTCAAGTACCCGTCCCGTAATTGGCCTGTACTGAACCCAGTCTTTGACCACGGTCGTAGTAGCCAAGACGCCTCCCAAGTGCGGTCTAAAGTAGTATTACATGCCTTCCTGATGCCATCGCCCTCAAGTGGTCCCGAGACTTTTACATAGCGGACTGTCCGCGACAAAGACGTCCTCAAGGATTGCCGTTGCTGTCCTTGCGCAGCATTTCCGCCACATCGGCGTCGATTCCGTCGTCATTACCGAGGTCAGGAAAATCGTCCCCGTCAACTCGACGCCTCTTATTAGACCCGTTAGCAGAGACCGGGATGGACTGATATTGAGATGCAAGGTTTGACAGCATCTCGATGCCAGTAGCGGGAGGCGGCTGGAATCCCTGACTCGACGCTGATCTCGCGCGGTCCGCTTCAGGGTGCTCGTGGATGGGTGGCTCATCATGAATTGCTGGAGGCGTCAGGGCTTCCACGGACGGCGGCGTGAAAGTTTCCATGGCCGGCGGCGTGAGCGCTTCGACCTCTGGTCTCTCCGGCTCCGGGCTCGCAGATGCCCCATTTCCCGGCGACTGCGAGGCCTCGTGCGTCGGCAGTCCGCGCATGATGGCGAGCTCGACCTCGCGTCTTTTCTCCTCGGTCTCCGCCTTTCGCGACGTCAACTCGGCGTACTGCTTCTCATCATTCGCCAACGCCTCTTGGTTTGCACTCAGAAGTTTCTCCAGCTCGCCGATGAGGCCTTTGCGAGCCTTGACGCACTCAGCAACGGCGCCCTCTGCGCTGGCCAGACTCTTAAGGAGGCCATTCAAGCGTGCGGCGTAGACTGGGGCTGACGGCACAGGTGTCGAAGGATCCGTGAGCTTCTCGAAGTCCTGGTTGGCGGTACTTATGGCCGTCTTCGTGGGCAGATTGAGCTTCGACACGTTTTGGAACGAGGTGGCGATGGGAGTGAGCTCGGCCGGCACGGAGGGGCCGCTACCCATGGCAGGGCCACCAAAGCTTGCCTTGGCTGTCCCACGAGCCTTGTCAAGTTCTGTTTTTCTTCGTCAGTATGATACCGCATTACTCAGGGGAACAACAGACCATCAATTCGTGCTTCAATGGCCTGCTGAATCGGTGGCTCAAAGATGAAGCGGTCCTTCCAGACGTCGATCACTCTTCTGAGCTTGTTCTGAATCTCGGCCGGCGCGCCCTTGTACGCTAATGCCGTGGCCTCTGCAATGACGGGCGAGAAAGCTACCAGGAAGTCTTCCTTGTGACGCGCCTTGGACTGCTGAGTGACCTCTGCAACGTGTTAGACAAGTTGGCGCATAAGGAAATGTCTACTTACCGTTTGCAAGGTAAACCAGGCTCAGTCGCTTGGTGCTTGATGAGTCCCGCAGGCGCTGAAGCCAAAGCTGAACTGTGCGATCGGCGTGTCTCCTAAAGGTCGGCGTGTCAGCTCGCCGAAACTATTCAGCCAAATCAGGAAAGCTTACTTGTGAAACATTATCCATTGCGCTGCGGTAGCAATGCTGTCGTGACTTTCATTCAGAGCTGATAGCTTAGCCAGCACGGCGTCGTCGTTGTATGCCATGATGGCCGAGGGCACAGCGCGGACGTGTTTGCGATGGACAGGAGATTGATTGGACGCGCAAGTGTGGCTGCAAACACAACCTAGGTTGGCCGAATGAACCAGATCTCCGTCGCGAGTTGAACCGGTCCTCTTGCAGCTGACTTATAGCACTAATTGCAGTCTGGGATTTGAGGTGCAAAAATGGGAAACTGCAACCCAGCAGGCGAAGAAGGTCTACGATCAATCAATCACTGGGGGCTGAAACTCCAGCAGCAAACACCCTGCTTGCGCAAAGTGTCCGGATCAGTGCATGAAGCGGCCTTTGTATGAGCAGGGCAATCAGTGGGATCGAGAGACTGGAGGCCTAGTGAAGGGCTGCTTTTCGCGATGAATTGAAGAGTTTGCTGGTTGGGAAAAAAAGGAAACCGACACGGGCATCAAGCTTTGAGGTCGAATGAGATCAAAACATTGTATCCGTAGACGGCTCAGACGGGCTGCTCTTAATGGTAGAAAACCGATTTGCAGTGTTGGGGCTATGCATGTAAACGGACAAATGGACCCCAGCCACATGCAGCTCGAGCTCTTTGAGCTGCGAGGTGACGCTGGGGTACATTCAACTATCCGATAGGACAGCTTCCCAGTGCTGCACACGGCAATCACCGCTCCTGGCCAAGGTAGCCTCATTGAAGCACGTACCTACCTTGCCTACCTTCCTTAACCTGCCATACTCTGTTACTTCGTTGCTGCACAACATCTTCATTCGAACATCGCCAGCGATTACGACTTACGACACCCTCCTTCGCGCCAAATAGTAGAGTGCCTGTACATCGCAGTCACTCCTGGCACCGGGCGTCCGACCCAAACACCCACGACTATCGCCCTTCTCCTTTCCTTGTTTCCACACACATACCATCAACATGGCGGACAGATTCCCTTCGCTGGAGGATTTTGATTCGGGTGGTATGTCGTATACTTAATCATGGTATTACCTTCCTGACTGACGCGTACTCAGCCCAGACCGATATCAAGGACTCGGGCGCCTCGCCTTCCGCCGACGACTTCCTAGCCCGCGAGAAGGCCCTCCTCGGCGAGGACGCCAACCAGTTCGCTACGAGTGAAGACGCCGTCGCGTTCGGAGCTGGCGATGACGACCTTCTTGGCGGCGCCGGAGGTAGCAGCAACGTCATCGCCGAGGAGTCGACATTCGAGTCGCAGTTCCCCGATCTTGCCAACCAGAACGAGGTTCGTCATTCCCATCTCGGCTACACTGCTCTTGACTAATAATTCTCCCGCAGGCCGTTGCACCGGGCGCCATCCCTGGCGGTGGTATCACTGCCCCTAGCGTCAACTACAACTCTGGCTACAGCGCCTTTGTCGAGGAGGAGGAAGAGCCAGCCGTCATCCGTGAGTGGCGCGAACAGAGAGACGCGCAGATTGAGAAGCGTGCGCAGCAGTTTGCAGCACAGCGCGAGGAGACCATCAAGGAGGCGAGAGAAAACATCGACGACTTTTACAACAACTACAATGCCAAAAAGGAGAAGCAAATCTCTCAGACACGGAAGGATGCTGAGCAGTTCCTGTCCAGCCGCGAGGACACCGTTTCCGGAGGAACTAGCTGGGAGAGAATCGCCAAGCTGGTGGACGTCAGCGGGAAGGGCTCCAAGGGCGGTGCCTCCGGCTCTGGTAAGGAACGCTTCCGCGAGCTGTTGGTGAGCTTGAAGAAGGACGAGAAGGCACCCGGAGCTAGCGGCTACTAGATGCGAAGGACGGAAGGATTTTGTGGTTTCCGCATTGTCGAGTGAGATCTGATGCCACGCGCATGCTGGAGCACGTGTATTCTAGATGACCTTTTCTGCCAAAAGGAGTAGCGGGAAAAGGTTGCCATTTGGTAATTCCGGCAGGCATAGTCAAGAAACTTCCATGATTGCCACGACGTCACTTCCGAGACTTGTATATGCAACAAAATGAAAGACTTGTCTAGTGCCACATCGGTCTATTGATCGCCCCTACGAATCATACAATCCGCCTCTAGCCTTCGTTCATTTGGAATTGGACAGCCCCGTCTAGTTCTTGCCGAAGTAGCTGTTGTAGCCGGCGACCTTGCGGATACCGCCGTAGAGGGTGACTATGAAATGTGAGTCTTCCGATCGTGTTCAAATCGGGAATCGAGACATACAGCCGAGGGTTCCCCAGAGGAGGACGGTGTAGGGGACCATGTAGACACGGCTGCGAGGGTTCTACGAATGTTGAGTCAGTATCAGTCGGCAGGTCGTCGGACGCTGAAGGCGAGAGCGGCTAATTGCGCCAATTCGACGTACGATCTTCCAGAGACGGTTGTGCTCCTTGTAGGCGGTCTGGTAGAACTTCTGGAGCTCAGGGACCTTGTTCTTCGCGTTGACGAGACTGTGCGGACGTCAGAAATACTCTCGTACGATGCGGTTCCTTGCGTCCGAACAAGCGGCCATTGACAGCGATGGCGTTCAGCTAGTCGGTCGCAGGTTCTTCGAAAAGCGAGGGATCACATACGCCATTTTGATCGTTTCAATTGCGAGTTTCGCGACGGGCTGTGGGGGTTTGCGGCTTCGTTGGCGTTATCGAATATCGACTTTGAGAGACGGTCGGTTCAATCAGGAAGATGGGATGATGCCGTGGATTGGTGGGCCGAAATGCCCGACTGACTAAGCTGACCCGCTACTGAGTGCCGTGCCGACGAATGGCGCAAAGCCGAATTCCGTTGACGGATGGAGCTGGCAAGGAACTTTTTTGGCGGGACCGTTAGTTTTCTCTCCAAAAAGACCTACCTACACGCCCTCAACAGCCTCAGCCTCGAGATGCAGCCAGCTTCGAAATCTGCACCCACGTAACGCGCCAGCTGCTATGCCCCGCGCTTCGTTACCTCATCTCCGTGTCATTGTTGTTCTCTACGCAGGGCAATGCAATTGGCTTCACAATGTCTTCGTCACTTGAATAGAGCGCACCTAGGCTGGTGCCACCGATATCAAGGACTGGATGCGAATCGACGAGCGGCCTCGTCTCTTCGAAGGACGTCATGTACAGACTTCTACAGCCCTGGCGTACATAGTCGCCATTTAGCAGCCCAATTGTCTGTACATAGCAGAGTGCAGACTGGACTTTCCTCCCATTCGGTTCTTGACACACCCGGCACGAAATTCAATACGACAACAGCCCAAAATCCCCCGTTGTTACTGAGGCCAAAACCGGCGACTCGAGACCAGAAAGCACCGAAGAATCGGGGGACACTTCGCATTGATCGGGAAGCGAACGACTTGCTTCTTCGAGAGGCAGACCTCGGCCTAGTCGACATTTCCGAAAACGAAAATGACATCCTGTTTTGGCTCGATCTCGTCAATGCTGCCAAACGCGAACATGGCCAGGCCGGCGTGCTAGCGGTATGGGAGGCTATGGATGTGAGAAAGACGTTATCCGATACAGAAGGTCAAGAGGCAGAAATGCTTTGGAAAGCCATGCTGAACGCCGCTCTAGACGACGAGGGTCGACTTGATCGTGTCTTTCTGTATGCAGAGTGGATGTTCAAAGTCCGATCTGTTCAGTGGCCGGATTTATATTCAACGATAGTGTCGCACTGTCTGCGGAACGGGCAGTTCATGAGAGCGATGCAATGGCACATACGACTTATGCCCACATTCGATCCAGGCTCGGAGGCCTTCAGCGACATGCTTCGTCATTTTGTTACGAGCACCGACACCCAGATGCAGCAGGCTCTACAGTCGCTTTACGTCTCGACTTTCCACCACGGTCTTTACGACGAGATTATCCCGCTTCTTTTCGAAAGTGGTCTGTCTGAGCTTTGTGCCGAGTGGCGAAAACTATTCCTTCGATTTCACGACCTGCCTCGACTAACAGCCGAATCTCAGCCATATCTGAGCTTTCTCGTTCGATACTTTCCCGGCACCTCACTGGAACTGGAAGAACAGCTGGTGTTGGACGTGAATTCTTCGGCTTATTGGGATGTCAAACATGACTCCTTATGGGATGCCATGAACGGCACACATGGCGAAGACGACAGTCCGACAGGCAGGCGGTACAGTGATAAGTTAGGCGCGCGGTGGTTTGCAAGCTCTTGGGTGCCTCTGGATTTCGCGATTCATGCTGTTCACGCTCTAGGAGTGCACCAAATTGGGCCTCTGTCATTGCAGTCAATTGCTTTACGTGAGCCCACCCCTGACGGTGTCATTGCTCGTATTACGCAACTACACAAGGTCAATATCGGCATTGGGCATTCGACATATGCACTGGCGGTCAGGAATTTCGCAAAAGCTGGGGACAGTGAACTTCTACACGAGCTACTACACACCGACATACATCCGGACGTCTTTGACGACCCTGAGATGTTGCAAAGTATTCGCGACAAAGCTTTCGAGTCTGGGGCTCGGCAGACATACCGATTACTGCTTGCGATCCAGCCCGCGATGGCCCAGGAGTCGATTGAGTCAATCTCAAACATGCTATTGCAGCAGCGTCTCAAGCAACGCCAAAATCAACAGGCACTAGCTCTCCTAGATGACATGCGGTCCATGAACATCGATCTCTCGGCAGCATCTCTTCAGCACATCTACTCAGACGTTCTCGAGACCCTTCCGTGGAAGCTCGAAGTGGACCCCGCAAACTGGAAAAGCTTGCAAGAGGCCATTGCCTTCCTCAATCGCCTGATGCTGATTCAAAAACCGGTGCCCGCTCGCTACTGGCGAAAGACACTTTTCGGTCTTGGCAGGTTCGGACGCCTTGATGAGCTGGAGGATCTGTGTCTCGCCATATTGGACACACACGAAGCCAGGAGCGCATCGCCAGGTGGTTTGCTACCAGTACATCCCACGGATGCGCCACCGTCCAATGTCGGGGCCTTGACCGAGAACTTGGTCGTTCCGGCAGATCTCCCCATTGCCCACACATACCACCCCATGCGTCAAATCTTTGACAAGTCCGCGCTACACGTCGCTATTGCCCGTTGGGGTTTCAAGGCGGGCAGTCCCAGGGATTTGTCCGAAAGGAGCCCACATGCTGGCCCAGCAGTCGAATTGGCCATTACACGGGGTGTGCAGCTCTTAGCCAAGCTCGAGGAGCGCGGCATTCCAGTGAATGCCTCCACCCTTCGAGGAGAGGTCATCAGGTGTCTGGCTCGCCTCTATCGTCCCGGAAATAACAGAACCAAGGCCCTGCCTGCGCTAGCAGTTGTGATTCAGCAGATCAACAAAACCGCCGGACGGATCTCCGAGAAGCAGCTGTTGCCTTCTGTTCATACTGTACAGGGTTTCATCACGAGCTCCGAAGGCCAACGGCGCCGCGAGAAGCATTCGCAAGTTACCCAGTCAAGATAGGCAGACGCGAGAAAAGGACCATTGTGGGCCGAAATGCGATCCTGTTCGCTCGACATTATTCTAAAGAGAAATTCATACATTTAATTTACACCTCTCATCTCTCATTCCTACGGCGTTGTGCCTTGTGCCTTTCCCGGCATCTATTCCTCGTCCCCATGCTTCTTGGGCTTGATCACCAGCAAAATAATTAGACCCGCAATGATGATCAGCAGCAGGAGTATAATTTTGCGCTTCGTCGTCTTCTTCTGGTACCCGGCGGCTACAACGAGCTCCTTCTCGGCCCCCTTGACATCGGTGGCCATGCGCTCGACGTTGTAGTCTATCCTGTCCAACATGGTACCTTGATCAATGACCATGTTCTGTAGGTCGCGGAAGATGTCGGCCAGCTCAATGATGCCCTGCGCAATATCTTCGATCTCACGCTCGCGCTGGATGATGGCTGCGTCATTGGACTGGAGGAGTTTCTGTTGTGTTGCTTGAATGGTCGACTGGGAAAAGGACCTGTCGGCGTCGGATTCCAGCATCGAAGGGTCCATGTATGAGCTTGAGGGCTGCGGTGTTGAACCCCTATCTGCGGTGGCTACGCCGCCGCCAAGGCCGCTCATTCCGCGGAGTTCTGTCACTGTCAGCAGGCCGTCGTGACACCGTGGGAACCTCGCTTACTCTTCAAATATGCGCTTTGCTTCTTTCTGAAGAGCGCACTAGCCTCCTGCACCCGTGAGGCCAGTGATATTTGAATATTCTTCGCCATTGTCTCCTCGGCGTTGGTAATGGTCCCCGAGTGCTTGGACTCCCTCACCATCTGCTCGACCTTCTGGATGCATCGGTGGCAGTCATGGAAGCCCTTAGTGATCTGCTGCGTCAGCGTCTCAATCTCCCTCTCTTCGGCCTTCTTCACGTCCTCATCGTTGAAGCCGGGTAGCACGTGCTTCTGGTGTAACCGTTCGAGTGCCTGGCTCTTAGTGGCTATGTCGGCAAGTAGGTCGGTAATCTCGTCGGATATGTCGGCCCATCGCGGGGGCAGGAGGTCCATCTCTATGACGGCGTCGCCATCGTCCTCGAAAGCACCTGCCGAGAGGAGGCCGCGAGTGTCGTCGCTCCCACTGGCATAGCTGCTGCTTCCAGGGAAGGCATCGCCGAAGCTGTTCCCACCGGCTGCACCGCTGTACTTTGTCCGCTTGGTCGGATGATGTGCGTACGACTGCCGATAGGAAATGTAGCTGGGGACATTGTGGTGTCAGCGAAAGACGGGACGAGCACAGGTGCGTTCTGAGGGATGCGAAGCGCAGACGGGACGGGGTGGGACGAAGGCTTACAGGTTCGTGCGGTCTCGCCACATGGCGGACGCCAGATGGCCGCGATGGTGGTCTCCTCAGCCTGGTGTCCTTTGTCGCTCGCTGCGCGGGGCGCTGAGGTTTATCGTCATGAACGGGGGGTAAAACGAGGCACCATTGGCATGAGCAAGTTGCGATGTGGAAGTGTATGGTCACGGGCGTGTGGTATTTGGAGTCGTGGTCTGTACCCGTCCGAGGAGTGGTGCGGAAGTGTCAAGGGCGGCTGGCTGACTGGGAACTGTCGGGAATGGTAAAGTTCAGCTCCAACCTAGGCTCTTGTCGCATTAGTAGGTATTCGCAACCCATCCGCAGGAGGTATGTGATTTGTGTCGCTAAGTGACGGACAGCTATCTGGAATCTCGGTAAGGTGATGCGCTGCGACAGACCGGGGATTCGCCGAGCAGGGTGCATTGATACATTGATGAATTGAACAGGTATGTCATGCCAGCGGCCAGGAGCAGCATTGCGTCAGGGCCAGTCTCATAGCTGCAGCACCTTGGTGAGGTACCTACCTACCTGAGGTAGGTAACTAAGGTACCTAGGTAGGTAGCCACGGTTCCGCCGTCTGCGGACTGAGCCGCGCGTGGGTCGGTACCTACTTGGTTCCATTGAGGAGACCCAGGTAAATTTAGGCGCACGGAGGTATCGAAAGCGGTGTTTATACCTGGATTGGCACTGTCTTCCCATCTTCTACATGTGAAGCAGCACGGTGCGAAAACGAGATTAAGAAGTACAGCTTCCATTGATCTTACCTTAGGTATGTACAAGAGAAACAGGTGGATTTCGCCGGGATTGCAGGCTGTCACCTGGCAGGTCTGGCAGTCACCCTTTGTTGAAGGGTCCGTCCTGCGCCTATGTAGGTTGATTGTTGACCTGGAATAATTCAATGCAATTGGTGACTGCCCTGAAGACTAGACAGCTGTACGAATAGTCCAGCCCGGTCTTTTAGTTGGCTCACCACCGCTACCACGACAGGTTCCCTCCGCATGTCTGCCCCTCTACTCCAGCCTGTCAGCTTCTAGGTACTACCTGCCTAGGTAGCCTTGGGCGTCCGCGGGCCCCCTATCCCTATCGCCCGAAATTTCCCCCTCCTGCCCCATCCCTCCCCACGAGCTGCACACTAAAGAAAAGCTCGACCCCCAAGGCATCCAGTAGCATCTAATCTGGCCAAGACGTGCGAACACTCTCGCGAATATCCTCCGATCTAACCAACTCGGCCTCTCATTCCACCTGGACCTTTCGAATCCCCAAATAACCAGCCCGCACATTATCACCCCTTATTCGCCATGGTCAGTCGTCTCTTTCCTGAGCTCTGCGCCTTGTCCAGCATCAATGTTACCTTGGAAGCCAACCCCGCGGCTGAGGGGTTGTTGATCGTTGTCTGTTGACAACCATTCCGACGCCTTGGACTGACGCGACCCCTCTATCTAGGCTGACTCCCTTACCGAAGAGCAAGTCTCCGAGTTCAAGGAGGCCTTCTCCCTCTTCGTAAGTCATTCGACCATTGTCGCCGACGCAGAGTGCTTCCGGCGACTGTCGTGGCCTTCGCTAACCCGTCACAGGACAAGGATGGCGATGGTTAGTGCCTACCCCTTTCCCTCCCCTCGAGACGCGCCCGCGAACTCCGCTCGCGATTGCTATCCCACGGCACCTGAAGAACGCCACGAACGAAACGTGTTGGACAAGGCTAAAAGGAGGGACAGGTCAAATCACGACCAAGGAGCTGGGCACCGTCATGCGCTCCCTGGGCCAGAACCCCTCCGAATCGGAGCTCCAGGACATGATCAACGAAGTTGACGCTGACAACAACGGAACCATCGACTTCCCTGGTGGGTGAAAGCTCCGACCATCACACCATGCCAACGCAGGTTTCCTGACCGGTTACAGAGTTCCTTACCATGATGGCCCGCAAGATGAAGGATACCGACTCCGAGGAGGAGATTCGTGAGGCTTTCAAGGTAGGCTACGACTACGAATCGCCTGCCCCAGATGATACTTACATCGATAGGTCTTTGATCGCGACAACAACGGCTTCATCTCCGCAGCCGAGCTCCGCCACGTCATGACCTCCATCGGAGAGAAGCTTACCGACGACGAGGTTGACGAGATGATTCGTGAAGCCGACCAAGACGGGGATGGGCGTATTGACTGTGAGTTGCAGTGTCAGGATGCCGTTCAATTTGTGGGTACTAACAGGCGGTGTAGACAACGAGTTCGTTCAGCTCATGATGCAGAAGTAAGGCGTCAAGTTGTTCGAGCGAGTTGTGGCTAAGCCCCACCGGCTTTGGCTGCGCGGCGTTTGTTTCTTTACGAGGAAAGACGTGGGCAGGTCTCCGAGTCTGGACTGGTTGGGGGGTAATACATCCTTTTGGCCCACTGGAGTTTCCTTGCGAGAATATCCAACGAAAGGACGGGTTTGACATTCGGAGGGATGGAGGACTCTGTGCTTACGTCTCACTGCCAGCATGCTTGCCTGTTTCGTTCTCGCTCTCTCACGATGCTTTTATAACGAATACACACACCCAGACAGAGACGCAAGAAGTATTTCAATGAGGCGGGAGTTACGCTTAGAAGGGGGTCTTCTGTAGGGCGACGAATGCAAAAGTCAACTAGCACCATGCGGCCAAAGCTGTGTGCGAGGTCATCCCATGTCACATGCAAGATCAAGGTCTCGAGCTTACTGTTGCCATATGACATGCAGCCTTGCCAGATGAGGTGATGTTGCCACGGAAGTGGCTTGGAGAAGAAAGAAGACGGCAGTACTTGGTCCATTTACATGAGTGTTCTCGAGGAAATACGAGCGTCTCGAACAATGAAGCTAAGCCGGCAAAGTGATCTAACTTGGCAGGGCTGCAGGCACTGCCCCGATCTGCCCCTCTAAACGCAGCATCGAGTTCGTGACGGTATTTGGGGTTCCTGCAAGTCGAGCAACCAGGAATTGATGCCCATCTGCCATCATCACTTACCTGCATACAAGCAAGGCGGCGTTGCAGAGGAGGAAATGCATACAAGTTCGAGATGGAAGGCATCCGTTGGACAACGTGTCATTGGGCCGTGTCATATTACCATCCACCTAGGTAAGGTACCTACCTACCTATCTTACCGTCCCAGACCGGGCAGGACCTGGAGGCACCAGGTTCCCGTTCAGCGCCCGCAACCCGCTAAGTGCACGCAGCCAGACCCCTAAAGCCCCTGAAGCACATCGGGCCCCTTACTGGAATAATTCGCGCCTGATATTTGGGGCTGCACTCCTACTTCGGCCCCACAGATGTGACGGCGCTGGGACCTGCCACTGCCTGACGGGCACTTGCACCACCGATACGTCCACCGCAGCCAGCCCGGACCTGACATCCTGGGCACGTCTATCTGGTCTATTCGTCCTCCGTTAGAACTCGACCGCATACGACACCCCGACACCTGGACGCTGGCGATTCGCAACTGGAGAGCTCCCGACGAGCTTGCAACCCTTCCGTGAACCTCGACAGCAGGCTCGATTAGCCTGTCCCAGGCCCTACGCGGGCCGCCTTGTTGCCCAACATGAGTTCCTGTGCGAAAGAGCCCCTGCCCCTCTACGTCTATAACGCTGGCTTGGAGCTGACCTGGGTGACGCGCCAGTGAAGCAATTCATCCGCAACGTTAGAGCCGCCAAGACCATTGCCGACGAGCGAGCCGTGATCCAAAAGGAGAGCGCCTCCATTCGAGCGAGCTTCAGAGAGGAGAGCGGCGACCACAGCGTGAGGTACACACATCCGTCGAGAAGTCCATGGTAACGCATCTGGGACCGTGGCTGACCTTCGAGAGACAGACGGAACAATGTCGCCAAGCTTCTCTACCTCTTCACCCTCGGCGAGCGAACCCATTTCGGTCAGATCGAATGCTTGAAGCTGTTGGCTTCGCCGCGATTCGCAGACAAGCGACTAGGCCACCTGGCCACCAGTCTACTGCTTGACGAGAACCAGGAAGTTTTGACGCTGGTGACAAACTCGTTGAAGAAGTAAGGGGATTCATTCTCGAGCATTGGGCTCTGGCTGACTTATTGCAGCGATCTTTCCCACTCGAATCAATATGTGGTCGGTCTGGCTCTCTGCACCTTGGGCAACATTGCCTCAATCGAAATGTCCCGAGATCTCTTTGCCGAAGTTGAGGCTTGCGTTAACACATCGAACCCCTACATTCGGAGGAAAGCAGCTCTCTGTGCCATGCGCATATGTCGCAAGGTTCCTGACCTGCAGGAGCACTTTGTCGACAAGGCCCACCAGCTTCTGGCCGACCGAAACCACGGCGTGTTGCTTTGCGGTCTGACACTGGTCACTAGCTTGTGCGAAGCCGACGAAGAAGAGGGTGGGGAGGAAGGCATTATTGAGAAGTTCAAGACTTTTGTGCCAGGTCTTGTCAGGACCTTGAAGGGTCTCGCGACATCAGGATATGCTCCCGAGCACGATGTTACGGGCATCACTGATCCATTCGTTCAAGTCAAGATCCTGCGTCTCCTTAGGGTACTGGCTTTGGGAGACCCGCAGGTTACTGAGCAAATCAACGATATTCTGGCCCAGGTCGCGACAAACACGGACTCATCAAAGAACGTCGGAAACTCGATTCTATACGAAGCCGTCCTCACGATCCTCGACATCGAAGCTGATTCCGGTCTGCGCGTACTCGGAGTCAATATTCTCGGAAAGTTCTTGTCCAACAGGGACAACAACATCCGCTATGTCGCTCTCAATACTTTGATTAAGGTGGTGGCCATCGAGCCTAACGCCGTGCAGAGGCATCGTAACACGATTCTGGAGTGCTTGAGAGATCCTGATATCAGCATCAGAAGACGAGCATTAGAACTCAGCTTTACCCTCATCAACGAGAGCAATGTCCGGGTACTCATTCGGGAATTGCTCGCCTTCTTGGAGGTTGCCGATAACGAGTTCAAGCCGACGATGACCAGTCAAATAGGTATCGCTGCCGACAAGTTTGCGCCCAACAAACGCTGGCACGTTGACACCATGCTTCGTGTGCTGACCCTGGCCGGAAACTACGTCAAGGAGCCCATCATGTCATCCTTTATTCGCCTCGTAGCGACCACACCCGAGCTGCAAACATACGCTGTGCAAAAGCTTTACACCAATCTGAAGAAGGACATCACACAAGAGAGTTTGACGCAGGCCGGAGCATGGTGTATCGGCGAGTATGGTGACGCCCTCCTCAGGGGAGGCCAATACGAGGAGGAAGAGCTTGTGCAGGAAGTCAAGGACCACGAGATCATCGATCTGTTCACAACCATCCTGAACAGCAACTACGCCACCCAAGTATCAACGGAGTACATCGTGACGGCCCTCGTCAAATTAACCACCAGGCTGTCTGATTCTACGCAAGTCGCCAGAATCCACCAGCTTCTCGAAAATCACCAGACAAGCCTTGACGTTGAGGTGCAGCAGAGAGCTGTTGAGTACAGTAACCTATTCTCCTATGAGCAGATCCGCAACGGTGTCTTGGAAAAGATGCCACCCCCTCAGATCAAGGAAGAGTCCCGTGTTCTGGGCCCGGCGACGACCAAGAAGGCCGCCAAGGCTGCAAACAGGAGATCCCGCGTCGTCAAGCCCACTGAGCAAGACCTGTTGTTCGACCTCATGGACACCCCTCCTTCCACTACACCTGCCCCTGGCGGTGCCTCCAACACCGACCTTCTCGCTGATATCCTGGGCGGCACTTCATCGCCCCCTACATCCGCCTCTCCTCAGCCGCAACAATCTAACGTTGCTTCGATAATGGATCTCTTCTCTGCGGGCCCCGCCCAGCCCGCTGCCTCTCCTGCGCCCGCAGTAGGCGGTGGTTCAAACATGGACTTGATGTCACAAATGTCCGCCGCAACCCCTCCGCCTCAGCCTCAGGCAGCTCCACAGGCTCCGGCAGGTCTGCCAGTATACGACAACAACGGGCTTAACGTCAGCTTCCAGATCCAGCGTAACGCCGAAGGCATGGTGCAGGCCATTGCGCGGTTCCGAAACAGTGGTTCTGGTCCTTTGTCGAATGTGGGACTGCAGGCAGCTGTTCCCAAGACGCAGAAGTTGCAGCTCATGAGCATCTCCAGTACAGATGTTGGACCCGGTGCGGAGGCGACCCAGAGAATGATGGTTTCTGGAGCCAAGGGAGTAAGTTGATGAGCCTTTTTTGACTTTACAACATTGCAGCTAACTTTTCATCAGCCACTCCGTTTACGTCTGAGAATCGGATATGCCCATCCGTCTGCCGGAGAAGTGATGGACCAGGTGAACTGGACCGAGCCGTCTTAAAGCGACTGTGCGAGCCGGTGGAGTGGCGTCAACGTACATGACTTGGGCTTGTGTATTTAATATGGCAAGGCAAGTGTGGTCGAAATAGACAAATCTGCGAGGATGAAAAGTTGAGCATATTAGCAAGTAGTATTGGTGCCCTGTAACCATGTTGAAATGAGATGATTTTTGGTGCATCGCTGGTGTCTGGACTTAGCTGCTTAACATGCGGGACCTGATATGTCATATGTCATGAAAATCCGATCTCGGGCCGGCCGTTCAACCTCGCCAACGACGAACACCGACACCTGAATCCCTCGAATGTCAAAAACTCGAAGACTAGCTCATATCCGAATAACTCGTCAGGTTTTCCGTCCCCGGGTCTACGAGTTTCCATTGTCGGCGTTTAAAATGGGGCCTGTGAAAGAATCGCACATTGAACGCACAGCGACCGAGCCGCGGGATTCTGTAAGATCGCCAGCCATTACCTCATAACTATGATGCTAACAACCCAATGCAGCAAATACATACCGTCAGCCTGAAGCGCATCGATCAAGTGAACGACAATGTTCGACTGTTTCGCTTGGGCATCCCAGACGGTTCGAGCATAAAGGTACCACCCCACTCATCTCGATACCAGCTACACAAGTTCTCAGGCGTCGTACATTCCTCCCGACAAGGCTAACTCGAACAGTTTCTCCCGGGTCAATGGCTCGATACATTCGTCCCCGGGATTGTCAAGCCAGGCGGCTTCACCATCACCAGCCCACCGTCCAGAGCTCGTCTGCCCACCTCACCGTACCTCGAACTTGCGGTGCAAAGGTCGACGAACCCACCCGCAGCTTGGCTGTGGGAGAAATCGTCGATCGGTTCTCAGCTAAGGGTACGGGTTGGCGGTGCTTTCGTCTGGCCGCCACAGGGCGTTGACCTCGCATCCCTCCGCCGCGTCGTCTTTGTGGCGGGTGGCCTGGGTGTGAACCCATTCGCCAGCATTCTCAGCCACCTGGCTGAGACGGAGTGCCCATACGACGTCCAATTCATGTATTCTGTCAAGGTACCCGAGGATTTTGATTCGCAGAAGATTCTGTTCATGGAGCGTCTGGCTGCGATATACGGACGGGAGAAGGTGAGCGGATGCCTTCAACTGTTTTTGACAGGTCGAGACCAAGCCGAAAACCCGATAACCTCTGCCGAGACTGCGACCGAGGAAGAAAAGGCAGAGGAGCAGGAGGCATCCGAAGCTGTCGCGGAACAGCCCACAGCATCTGGTGGGTCTTCCCTGTCGTGTAATGAGATTGAAGTCCCTTTCAAATCTCGCCGGATGAATTTGGACGATGTTGTTGAAGCGTTGGGGCCCGCGGAAGATCATAATTATGCGGTGGTGTACGTCTGTGGAGTGCCATCCATGACAGATGAGTTTGTAGAGAAGCTTGCTACTCCGGAAGGTTTCGGTCTGGAGCCTAGGCGTGTGCTTTATGAGAAATGGTGGTGAACCATACAATTCATCCCTTAACGTCACATCAGAATCGATTGCGTTGAGATAGCGGTGTTTATTGCATTGTTTTTCATGAGACGCTGACGATGCAGAATTCACATGTACAAACCACTCATCTTGCCCTTCTCAAGCTTAACCCTCCTATGTATAAACAAAAGTGTGTCACCCCGCCCAGCCCGATGTCTATGTTTCTCGATCCGGTATCGAGTCGTCGCTGGTTCCCTGAGTTGCTTCCGTCTATTGCTGCTGCTGGTGTATTCTTGTGTAATACCACTTGTCGCGTTGCGGTTACAACTGAAACATTCTTTACCATTTGGAAGACAATCTTCGATACGATCCTCTCCCCTAAATCCAGTTGTATGTCTGACGAACTGACACCAATGGCGCAACACCCCAAGTAGGCTTCTCATACTTTTTCTTGTCTGTCCAGTCGAAGATGAGGCATTCTGCTGTTCTCGGTATACCGGCTTCCGTACTCAAAATCGCTTACGCCTTCTGTCGAAGCTCACCTCTTTGATATCCACATTTATATCAGTAGCTTTGGTTCGTCTTCGATGGCGACGCCTCCTTTGTTGCTTCCGCGTTACGTCTGCTCAGGTTCCCCTCCCCTTGCTTTCTGCGCAATGGCGATGCGCTTCGCTTGAGCCACTCTGATTCTGATATCGATGTATTCCGGAAATTCCGAGCCAGGGAGTCCGTTCCAGAAGCGCCTGCAGAAGTGTCGCCTTTGTCGTTTCTAGCGTCTGCGGCAGTGTAACTGTAGCGCCCAATACGCCTGGATACTTCCAAGCCGCCGGTGGAAGGAGGTGTTTTGTCGTAGTCGGACGACGATGGCGGTACCGCGGGCAAAGAACGACCAGGAGTCTTAACGGGTATCGCAACTTGCCTGGCAACCCCAAACTCAATCTCGTCGGCACCACTCGACTCATCGACGTATGTTAGGAGAGAGGGTGTGACAGAGGGAGCCCGAACCGACTCCAGCGAAGGTCTGCACAAGTTTGACTGTGCGCCTGGCAACGCAGGCAAAGGCCTCAAAGAATCGGATGCCTGTCTGATACCACGGGAGGATTTACTGGGCTGCGGCACGCTTGATGAGGGCCTCATAGGGGGGGCGAGCTTGGGTGGTGCAGAAAGATGGAACTTTTGCCTTCCTTTCTTGTCGCTGAACTTGCCGCCATCCTCGAAGACGGATCCGTCAACTGGGCCAAAGTCGAAGGGACCTGCATCACCAGAAGTGGCCGGCAGGGCTGGCGCCTTCATCTCTTGTTTCGTCGTCTTCGTTCTCCCTGTCATCAGTGTTGTCGTCTTTGCAGTATTCAACTCCGGTAGATTATTCTCTTGAGATCCTGCCATGATGTGGTTGTACTGGGATCTCGTCACCAAGTTCAGTGCTTTGAGGTGATCCCACGTGCGATAGAACAAGCGAAATGTAGCGTAGGGAGAGTCCCTGGGGTCCGTTAGAAGCCAGTCGTAGTAGCTCAGATCTTGAGGTTCATCGACCAGGCCACCCGTGGGAGAGCTGGAAGAATGTCAACAACTGTATCCAATCTCTGATCACATGGATGGCAACGTACGTGATGCCGTATGGATCCTGACTCCGAAAGCTGGGTAGCTCGGAGAAGACCCTTTTTCGTTGCTGAGATCGGAAGACTTGTATCTCAATGAGGCCGCCATCCATTGCGGCGGACTTCTCGGTGTTGGGACTGAAATGAAAGTATCTCTTCTCGACACCCTCGCGTTGGTACGTAACCCCGCTATCTCGGAACGTCCACTTGTTGTCGGGCTCGTACAGAGCGTAGCTCACCATCTGGGTGCCGACGAGTGACTTGACACCCCAGCAGACGATTGGTCGTCCGTTCATCAGCATCTTGAAGTACACATACTTAGTGCTGCTAGGAGGAGGCGGTGTAGTGATGCCATAGCGGATATGAAACTGAGCACCTTATATACTGTCAGCCATTTTCTTTACCATTGTTCTTGCCGTCGGCCTTTGCCGTCATTCTTTGCCGGCGTCCTTTGCCATCGTTCTTGGCATCCTGGAGTTATACAATCGGAATACACCTACCTGGGGAAGAGGGGATGTACACCGATGATGTAGCTTTTCCCTTAGCTGGCGTGGGCTGTGCACCAAAAACTGAAGCCGGGCTGTTCGGGTGAGGTCCGCGAAGCTTGACTGAGGAGGCGTCGGGATGTGGAATCTCTGGCAGAGAGGCGCCATCAGTGGCAAGGACGACTGAGACGTCGATGCCGCGGAGGGTAGGCATCTTGACTAGGTAATGAGTGCAGTGTAACGTTGTTGATGTAATTGCAGGCAGGGTTATCAAGGCTGGAATTGAAGTGAATGAGGTAAGGTAGGTAGTTGTCGTTAGCCCGCCCGTCTTATCTCAACTTAGGCAGGCACCGATCAGGGAGGGCTTTTAGGTCGTACCTTCCTTACCTCCTGCCGTGCCCAGAATCGTTTAAGTAGCTAGCACGCCTAAATATATTTTCTCATAAGGCCGATACGGATTGATGCCTTCGTTAAGTTGCCTTTCCGCATCTCGTCGCTGCTGGTCATGACCGTACCGGTTCAGGTTGAATCCGCCGTAGCCCCCAGCCCGTTTTTCCCAATAGATTTTTTGACTGAGTTTTTGCAACTCCCAGTCCCTATCTATCAGCGAGCTTGGAAGACCGACTGCGTCCATAGCCTTTTTGGTTGACAGACTTGTTGAGAATGTGTTGGATTTGAGAGGTGTTGCGGCGCGCAGGACCGTCTGAGTTCGGAGGGGCGTCACTGGAGTCATGAGGCTCCCTCTTGCGGGTGAGAGAGGCGTGATTGTGGGTTTGTCGAAGTTGGACTGCCTCCCAGCCCACCAAGATGATATCTGGGAATACATGATGTGTTACGGCGATTGCTTTCAGCTTTGGGTGGACCAAAGTTGGAGTTCGTTCTCGTTGCTTACGATGTAGGAATCCGAGATGGCTGCTCTGCCAGTATATATAGCCTGCGGTAAAACCACCTCCGATCCAGAAATGGCCAAAACTTTCTTTTAGGTAGCGTCGCTGAGGGCAAACTTGGAAGGTTTGAAGCCATCTCCGGGTCGCCGCCCCGCCTCGACCACACATAGGCTTTGGACTTGTCACCTTTTGACTTTGCGGCATACTTGTGCTTTGAAAAGAAAACGGTGGTTTGCCATTGCTGCTCATGACTTCCACTTATCCGGTTCGCGCCATGTACATTTCTATCGTCCTCTCGCAAGCCCAGCTTATCCAACTCAACTACCCGTGACAACCTTTGTGTCCTCCTCCTTGCCGAGAAGTCCCAGGTTCCGTATTTGACCAGCACTCGGGGCATTGTCTCGCGGGCTGGCCAACTCGGCCTTTCGGTATGCCGACTGAAGTGCCCTCGTTCTCGCAGCCTGTAGTAAAGATGATGGTGAGAAACTGTTCGTTCGCTGGATCGGCCTCGGGTGGGTGAACGTACCTCCTTCTTGTGGTGCAGGCATTCGTAGTAATCCTCCAGGGCCAGGGCGCACTTCTTCTTGCCGGAGTGGTCCTCGACTCCGGTGGTGTTGACGACGTAGCAGCCGAGGAGCTCCTGCCAGAAGGGGAAGCACCGCGACGGGCCTGCACGGGGTTTTCGGGTCAGCACCACATCAATGGCAACAGCAATGCAAGCATACCTCCGTGAAGACCGTATCCAGAGGCCATTGTGAATGTGCAGACGCCAATTGGTGGGTGGATGAAGCTCAGAGGTCGTCGGAAGGTCGTGGAGACGCAATCGCGATGTTGAAGTCTGGAGAGGTGAACCACGGAAGAGTCCGCGGCTGTTGGTAAATCTCGTCCTATCAGAAGGTACCTGATTCCAATAGCGACCCCGGAGCCGCCACAGGTCTACTCGGCTAGCGCGCGCTTGATGACCATTTACGAGCCCCATTTGGTATCCACCCTGTTATGACGAACCTAGCTAACAGAAGGCACCTTAAGGCACCCGATGCATGTACCCCAATTGAACACCTTCGGAGCTTGGAACCCACATGCGCGCGACCTTAGATGCTCCGATAAATGTCCTGCGCGACAGCTCAACCACTTCTCCTGCGCCGACTTCTCAAGATCCCCGAGCGGCTATGCCCTATTGCTACCAGGCGCGATGAGCCTCGTTTTGTCACCTCCAAAGCTGGTGCTCATCGCTGTGCACCTAGCCATCAACGCCAACATTGACAGCTTGGCCTTTCTGACTTCCCGGCATGCCGCCGTTTTGCGCAAGGATCTTGTTCTGCGCATCCTTCTGACCTACCTACCTGAGACGGTCAGGTCGGCAGATTATGTTGGTTTTCTCGAAGAACTCTCGTCGGGAGAGTTCACGGATCGCGAAGCGGGCGAGATCGATTACGCGGTCGTGGAGAATCTGTCCGACGACGATGCCGTGAAGAAGGTTCGCAAGTTGCACTTGCTACCGCTGGCTTGGAAGGACGCGCATTTTGAGACGGAAGACGACCCGATAACTCTGTTTCTGCTCCGGAGAGCACACCGTGTCGACGAAGAGGCTGGACTGCTCGCACAACTACCTGAATTGCTTGGACCCTTTTTGCAGTACGCCCCGGGCATTCGCGTGTGGATGGTGTCGACTCTGCTGCCGCTGTTGAGGAGGAACTACGAATACTACCCAGCCGAAAGCACACCGTATACGCTCGCCGAGTTCCAAAGTCTTCCCGATGGGGCCGCAGTGCATGCTCTTCTTTCTCAGACAGGAGTGCGGCCGGAGCACAATGCGTTTATTGGGCGGGACTTGAGAGGTCTTATTGTGCCGTGGCTGCATAGCGACGCACGGTGGAAGAATGCCGGAGATCACAATGGGAGCGACTCCTCAAACGATGGTCTCTACAGCCCAGGCTGGGAACGAGTTCTCGAGTGGCTCATGTCCCAAAGTTCTAGCACTTGGAGGGTGGCAGTGGCCGCCATCGAGCAATGGGGAGGTGCAGTGGATGTCGATCTAGGCGACTACGACTCTGTATGGCTCAACGAGCAACAGCAACAATACGTGGATCGTCGGTACGCTCGAGCCGTTCTGGCTTGCGCATATCTGGTTCCGGAGGCCACCGTCGAAGCACTCGAGGGTGCTCACCAGATGCTCAGAAAGGTCATGGATCTTCTAGGGGAGGATGACACGCTCCCGTTGCGCGCAGCAGCGGACTCTCTATCAGCAGTCTCCTTTTTGGAAGGGGCTGGCACACTAAGTCACAAAAACACAGCCTTTATGCGGGACGACCTGCTCAAGGAGACCAATCCCCTAACAACTCCCTCGAAAAAGTCAACACATTTGCTTCATGCTCTCGTCGTTAGTGCTTTTATTTTGACGAGGTTTGGACTACCCTGCACAGTCAAGCGAGCAGGAGATTTGGCTTTCATCCAAGACGAGAGAGACCAAAAAGCCGAAGCCATTAAACTTGTGCATGCGGTTGCTGAGCAGGCACCGAAGCACGATGAGAGTTTCTGGATAACGGCACGAAACGAGCTCCTTTGGCTTCGGAACTGGGGCATCACCTCAATAGACGGCCTGGTGCTGGGAGTATTTGCAAAGGTCAACACAGATTTCATTGAGACGGAGATTCTCAAGTCTCTTCTGGCCAGTGGACGTGAGTTGAAGCCTCATATGCTGAAGTATGCGAGCTAAGGGTTTCCAGGATACTCTTTGGCGAAGTCATTATACGAAGATGTCGGCGAAAGGCCGCTGTCTGCTGAACTTCTCCAAGAAACCATAGTCGCAGCAGCTCTGAATGCCTACGACAATGCATCAAACCCGAACCGCACAAGAGGTGGACTGAAGAAGTGCGATGACATGTAAGCAACGCCGACCAGTGCTTTGTACCCAACTGACTTGCCAGCATCAACGCATTTCCGCAAACCATCCACAAGTCTTTACCCGAGCGACTCCGGATTGATGCGTTGCTGAAGGCTACACATGCTCTCAGTGACTACCGCCTGGTCCTCAGGCAAGGCGAGCCCTTTAGCCCCGTCGTGCTTCGAGTACACTCCGATCCGGTCTCGATTATCGGCAAAGTATTAGAGCAGAACCCACAGAGCTATACACGCCTACAGGCCTTGGAAGAGGTGGGCACAAACATGGTGCGAGCGGGACTTGTGGACCGAAACAAAAAGAGACCGGCCACCCAGACTCGAGAGGACGAACTGTCACATATCGACGCGACAGAAAAACGCGTTACGGCGATGTGCATCGAGGCCGCCCTGAAAGAAGACGATTTTGAGACGGCATATTCTTACGTGGTCAACCGGCTTAGTGGCAAAGCAGACAACTCCGTATCGACCGCCACGGTGAAGTTTGACGACGATTGGTCTTGGAGAGCTGCTCTGCAAGCGGGACAGTACATCAGAACGACGCGATCAATACGCCCGTCCCATCTGGGCAACGCGAGCGGTAACCTGGAGATTCGGCACCTGGAACAGCGCATCGATTGTCTAGCCACCGCGCTGCGCATCGCTCCGCCCTCGCAGCTTCAAGAAATCCTCAAGACTTTCCGACGCTGTGAGGAACAGCTCGATTCGGCGCTCAAGGAGGAGGCCGCAAGGGAGGCAGACATGGACAACGCCGCCGATATTACGTCGCATAGCATGCCCGGAGGCTTCGAGTCAACTCCCGCGGCGGTTCGCTCTCACCGACCGACGGGCAGTCAGACTCGGTCGATGGCTGCGGCCAAAGGAGGCGACGATGCACCAATGTCACTGTTCGACCTATCGCGTGCCACGGCCCGCGCGGCATCACGCAACTTTGGCGCGCTTTCGACGCTGCAGCAATCTGCCGGGGGCAAGGCCCCTACTCCCGCAGGGTCGACCACCAGTGGGGATGGAGAGACACACGATGACCATCCCAGGGCGAGGAAGCGTGATCAGCTTCGCGATGCTGCCATGGGAACCTTGACTTCGGGTGTTGGCTGGCTCATTGGTGCACCAGCACCGAATGATCACCGCGCGACTAGAGATGACTGATGTGTACCTTATCTTACCTTACTTTTTGGGCTGCGTTGTGGTCCTGGCATGACTGAATGATGAATGAAAGTACCGCACTACACGAGCTACATGCACACCAAATGGATGAGGGCGTATTCGAGCACATCCTTGTTTAAATTTCTCGCGCTCCAACAATTGTTTGCTAGGTTCTAGAGTATGATGCTGAAAACTCACCGCTGTCCGTGCTAACTCGGTTGATCTTGTGCTACTGAGCATGAGACTGGCTCTAGCTGTGATACTCAAGCAGCAAGTAATTAACTCTGCTGGCAGACCCGCAATGCCATTACTCGAGCCAACGAAGTTTGTCGAATGCGTGTTCGAGATGGTTGGCGAGATATTATGGGGTGCCGCTCAAGTCACTGACTTGCGGCTGCTCGACACGTTTCCCTAAGGCATTACGACGTCAGTCGTCTCGCCATTTTGGCTTTCGACCCTGTGCTCATGGTAGGGGACGCCCTGTCTCATACTTTGGTCTGGATTCGGTTCTGCCAGGCGGGGAAAAAAATTTGACGCCTCGATAGCCAAGTGGTCTAGGCGTCGTACGGGAAGACTCCAATGTGAGAAAAGCAAGACGTACGCAAGGTGACCCGAGTTGAAGGGTCATGTCGGCAGCGATGGGAGCCGGAACTGAGCAACGGAGGTATCAAAGAAAACAATGGGTAGGCAAGCCGTTGATTCAAAGTTACTGCCGTTGACAAGAAAGACGGTTAGTTTCGATACTGTTCCAGTTGGGGAAGATACCTTTGGACTGCGTCTAGTTGGCAGACGTGCTTCGGCTTGAAACACAGCCTATGTGCGCCGGTCAGCTTCAATGAAAGCAGCAGGTCCACGACTTCGTTGTATCCCGCGTTGCTGAGACGGTGCAAAGTTGACAAGACGAAGCAGTAAATGCGAATGGCGAGGGGGCGTTTCATTTACGACTGGGTTGAAAGTTGGCGTTCAGGCGGCACAGTTACGGTTTAGGTGTTTAGGGACGCGGTTGTCATTCATGTTGCATTGCTGATCAACATCTTATCATGCTGAAATTTGCATCGAAGAAGCCATGCCGGATTTGCGAAGCCGTCTCAAACTCGACTCGACCCCGAAGCGGGACGCGATAGATAATGGTACAAGGTGGAAAGTGGTTTGCGTGAGGAAAACAATCGTGAGCCGCCGCCGGCCCACGACGTGGTGTAACGAAAGTGCTGATCCACGATGGGGGAAAGTGACTGTCACTCTGGCCAAAGCCTGTCGACGCCTGCCGTGTTGCCGTGTTGATTGTTTGCCAAAGCTACCAAAGAAACCGCCATAGATTTGTCGTCCGAAAGAAAAGCCCGATTAAAGAGACAGTCGCCAACCAAGGAGCGTCTGCTTCTCGCGTTGAACCGTTGTCAGCAACAGACTGGGGGTCATGGAACGGTAAGCCACGCAGGCCGAAACCCCCATTTTGTGCTTCCATCCCGACTAGTTGTGGTGCACAAGAACTCCATGAGACGCAATTTTTTGGGATATCCGCCGAAATCGATCGCACTAGGAAGATGAAAAGGGAAGTATCCGTTGGTCGCCAGGAAGTGGGCGGGCCAACATTGTGTGGACTTTTGGCAGAAATCAGCGAGAACCTGGATGCGTTAGCCTTATGAATGGTCGGAGGGGAGGGCAATTAGAGATTCCAACCTCCGTAGGGCTCGCGGGCCTCAGAGCGAGGAGCCGCATCGCCATAGCCAGCGCCAGCGGCAGGAGCATCGCGAGAACGGGCACCGTCACGCTCAGCAGGTCTGTCGTAGCCACGCTCACGATCGTAGCCAGCGCCGCCGCGACGGTCGTCGGGGCCGCCACGCGCGTAGCGGTCACCACGCTCCTCGCGTCCGCCGCCGCCGTAGCGGTCAACACGACCACCGCTGTAGCTGTCATCACCACCAGCAGCGCCGCCGCTGCCGCCACCACCACCACCACCACCACCGCGGTCGCGTCTCTCGTACCCACCGCGGTCTTCGCGGTAGCTGCGGTCGTAGCCACGATCCTCACGGTAACCACGTTCATAGCCACCACGGTCGTCGTAGCCACGTCTGTCGTAACCACGGTAGCGGTAAGGGTCGTCGCGGCCGTAGCCGCCGCCGCCGCCGCCGCCGTATCCACCACCGTAACCACCACGGCGTCTGTCATCGTAGCGGTCGTTGAAACGGCCACCACCACGACCGCCGCCGCCGCCGCCGCCGCCGCCCTCTGTTTGGCAATGTGTGAGTACAGGATTGGGCATACCAAGCTGTGAAGGGTGCAGAAACTTACCACGCTTGGGAGGACCGAAGTACTTGCCGGGAGTGGGAGTGCGGGGACGAGCGCGACGAGCCTTCTCAATGCTGAGAGTACGTCCCTCAATCTGTTCTCCCTGCAGACCCTCCTTGGCGGCATCAGCCTGATCGGAGGTAACCATCTTGACGAAGCCGAAACCACGAGACTCCTTAGTATGGGGGTCGCGCATGATCTGACACTTCTCAACCTCGCCGTACTTCTCGAAGAGACGAGTGACCTCAGACTCGGTCAAGCGAGGGTGAATGCCGGTGACGAAGAGGTTGGAGCCGGGGTTGATGGCACCATCGTCGTCGCCACCCTTGGAGCCAGTCTCGTCCTTGTTACCACTGTAAGGTCAGGAAGACGTGTCAGTAAATTTTGCGGAAACAACAGCAGGAAGCATTCGCTTACCGGTCGCCGTTACCGGCAGGAGAAGCAGAGCGACGGCGTCCAGAGTCGCCATCGTCACGAAGAGGGCGAGGAGAGGCGCTGCGGTTGTCGCGCTCGTAGCGAGGAGCCTCGTCTGCATAGCGTTTGTTTGTCAGTGGCGATTCGAATTGAGGGCAGCGATCAGTGTCGAGATAAAACGAACCATCGTAGCGGTCGCCGTTGGCGGCCTCGTAATCCATGGAAGTGGTAGCCATGTTGAGAGACGTCGAGGGGATAAGGCTATGTGGGCGGCGCGATGATGTTGACTGGGAAAATGAGCCAGCGACGCGATTGCCGGTGACGCAGACTCTTCTGTTGTGATGGGATTGGTCAGAAGAAAGGGATGGAAAGCGGGTTTGACGCGGGCGCAAGCTGAGGAAGAGAAAGCAGAGAAGGAGATGGAAAAGGGAAAAGGGAAAAATTACAGTCGCCCGGGCAAGATTAGATGCAGATGGCGAAGAGCATCAATTGGAGAAAAAGGGCGCGGCTTTGGGAGGCCAGGTGAGTGATGGAAGGAAGGAAGGTGGCCGAGGACGATGTGAAGGAAGGGATGTTGGAAAATCGAGACGTGGAATGGGCGACGACAGAGGCTCTACCTGCCTAGCGGTGCCTTGCTGCTAGTGCAGGCGCACCCAGTACACAGAGTTTGGGGTGCTGATGGCGACGTACAGGGCACCGAGGTACCTGATGCACCTGAGTGAGAGCGTAACCTTACCAGGTACCTACCGTACCTGGTCGTGGACGCGGACTACCTTACAGGACAGCCAGGGCAGCTTGAGGCAGGTGAGGCGGACAGTCACAGTCAGGCTACCTCTGGTCAGACAGGCAGGCAGGCAAACGCAGGCGCGGACGCAGGCAATGGAAGACAGGGCCGAGGGTTTTGTTGGTGTGTAGTAGCAGGGCGGGCAGGGGAGGCGAGCAATAAGAAAAAAAAAATAGAGACCTGTGATTGATCGATTGGCTCGATTGACCGTGACCGTGACCGCGACCAGGGATGAGGCCAAGGGGAGGAGGAAGGGAAGAAAAAAAAAAAAAAGAAAAAAAAGATGGCAAGCTGCAGGCGTGCTTTGATTGAGCCCGGCGTGCCTGTACTAGGTAAATCTCCCTGCGTCCGCTGGCCACTCAGAGACCACAGCACCTCCCTTGCGTGTGCCTGCCTCGAAGCGAATGCCCCATGCTGATTTGGCGAGATTTAGCGTAAGACTCTTTCCGAATCGGTCTAGCGGCTCCTCCGTGCACGTGCTAACCTAGGTAGTGTTCGCATGGGTTACCGGTATTTTTTCGCATGAGATGTATTCGTACCTCGAACTTCTTCCCACTTTGATTATCTTAAGGTAAGGTAGGTAATATCTCCTAATTTTTGTCCACTGGAGTGCTACATAATGCACATTCTGCTCTGCTCCGATGACGTGTCTCGTGGATATTAAAATACAGTTTCCTCCGTTGACTGGCACATTCAAACCTCTGCCGGATATAACCAACTCAAAATCGATGTGTATGTGAGCTTGTCAGTGTGGATGAAGCTAGGTTCTAACAAACACTAGGTACCTGGATTCTAGTGGCTGCGGGTAAACAATCTCATGGCGCTGTCTGTTCGCTCTGTCCTGCTTGTGGCGCTCTGTCACTGGTAGACGCTTCTTCCCGTCTCACGGCAATGATTCTAGACTGTAGTACCTACCTACCTAGGTATGAGCTGGCCCGTTGATTACCTATCTACGTTACCTTAGGTGCCTTAAGTGCCTTGGGGTAAAGCTTGGGTGTCGATGCCGCCATCCTTCCATTGGATGCTTATGCAGGGCCTCAAAACCCATACAGATTTTCTCTACCTTAGGTACCTTACCTGGACGTAAGCATTCTTTGATTGAGACACTATTCTCATCTGATTTCACCCATTTTTGTGCTTAATACAGCCCATATTCAAGTTTCACACTTTAGTTCTTCCAAGTTTACTAGACTTATGCCTTAGGTTCGTTCAAGTAGCGCGATATCGTCTCATGATCTCTATCGATGCGATTATTGATACTGACCGCTCCGCTCAGCGTATCCTGCTGCTTGCGGTACTTCGATACCTTACAGGTCCTCCGTCACCACCAGCTGCCCACCCTCCGTGCCCTCAAAAGCCTCAACCTCCAGAGCCCTGCGGACGTCTACGTCTATAAATGACCCTGGCTCGTCCAAGAAACTGAGGCCATCTAGAGCCTTTCCTCCGCAGGCCCTCTCTAGAGCAAGGAAGGCAAAATGGCCACCAACAACAGGTCTGGCCATGAAGTGCGGGCCGGGCCATCCACCAGTGCCTTCGGTTTCGTAGAGATCTGTCAGAGGTCGATCTTGATGTGGAGTTAGCATGTCTTCTTCTGCTACCGGTGCGCCTGAGACTTACCAGTCGTGGTCTCGTTGACCCAAGTTGCGATGCTCTGGAGTACCTCCGTCCGAGTTTTCTTGCTCGTGACAGCCGCGGCGAAGAATTGCCAGTCGCTCTTTGTGTAAAGGTGTCGGCTGTCGAGCGGTAGACCGTAGTGCTGCAGAACGGCGTGGTACCAGTTGCTTTGCATGCTGTAGACCTTGTCAGGAATGAACGTCGTCTTCGTATCCAAGCCCAGCATCTTCTGCAGCCAGCCTGAAACCCGCCCGCCATACGAGTTCGCCTTCTCCGGAAGGTGGAAGCAGAGAAGCGAGTCTGCGTACAGGTTGTAGATGGTCGTCCACGAGCCGTACCAGGTGTATGCCAGCTTGGCATGGGAGCCGTCTCTCGAAATGCCAAAGCCTTGCCACTTGTCGATGTACTCGCTGGCAACATCTGCGTAGTACTTGGAATCATCCGCCTTACCCAGTACATCGGCGATCTCAGCCATGGCCTTGATGCCAATGATACCCTTCAAGGCCAGATTAGTCTGGTTGGCTAGCCACCCCGCAAAGTCATCGGTGCAGAGCTGGTTTGCTGGGATGAGAGATTCGCGCACGAGGTATCCCGTCCACTTGGTCCAGAGCTCATACGACCTAGCTACCCATTTCTCGGCCTCCTTGGATCCTCTCATGACACTAACGGCAGACGATTGGTCCATACCGTAGGCATCAGGAGACAAGCCAAAGGGTCGGGGGTTGTTTGTCGTCTTCGGTTCAACGGGCTCGAGCGACCTAGCATACCCATCCACAGACTGTAAGAATGCCGGCTGAGTGTCGTACTTGAAGGCATTGACTAGTGCCAATCCCATGATGAGCATGTTTCCACACTCCTCCACGGGCATGTACTCGTCCTTGCCATCAGGATGTCCGGTGGCGTTGGGGAAGTGAGCACCCAAGTCGTGCATGCTGTAGTCATTGGGATATTGGCCGCTTAGTTGGTGCTCCAAAAGAGGCTCCAGCAGGTACGCAAGCCAACGAGGGTTCGTGTACAGGAAGAATGGGAACGCGGGGAAGATGACATCGACTGTCTGGAAGTTTCCGTTGGATGAGATTTCCTTGAGGAAGAGGATGGGGTCATCAGGGGTTCCGGAAAACTGGGTTGCTCCGAGAACCTGACGAGCAGAGAGTGCGGCAATATCCTGGTAATCCTGGGAGCCGGAAGCGAAGGCGTCAATGGCGAGCTGGCTCGAGTAGTTCCTGGCTAGCAAGCTGGCTGCCGCAAAATCGTCATAGTGGTACTGGATGAGCTCAGGCGAGGTTGCAAAGTAGAATGACCACAGAGGCCTCATCTGCGTCAGGCCTCTAGCGGCGGCAAACTGGACAACAGGGTCTTGGACGAGGGCGAAAGTGAACAACACGCTGTCCGCCGATGAGAAACCAGCTCCGGTCTTGTTACTGAGGTGGAATGATTTGGCAAAGGCGAAGACTGGCTCCTCGTCCATGATTTTTCGGTACGAGGTGTCCACTTCGTTCTTCAAAGTTCCCTTGGTCGCAAAGTGATGTCTCAAGATCCCCGATGTTCCAGCTTGGTGGTAGACATCAGCAGGACCAGTGAAGTGTAACGTGCCCCATTCTGCGTGATCGGCAAATTCAGTCAGAAGCTGTTCGGTTTGGCGAGAGACCTGCCAGGTCTTGAGAACTGCGCTTTGCTTTTCCGAAGCCTTCGGCTTGCTCAGGTCCCAGACAATCTTGTTGTCTCTGTTGCCGCTGACCCACTCGCCGTTCAAGTCGGTATAGATATTGATATCGAACGAGCCTTCAGCGTAGACAGTCATGTACGCGGCAGGTATTGACTGGCGGAAGGTGGACGTCGGCGTGATGGGAGACAGAAAAGAAAGTACGACCTTGACCGGCGCGGAAGACCCCTTGGGTGGAGGAATGGCGTAGGACAGATTCGTGGTGGAGGCGTCAAAGGCAGCGCCGAGATAGGTTGGGAAAGCTACATTGTAGTTTCAGGGAGGTTGTCAGCTCATGGTGCTCAGCAGCGAAGACAGGCTGGACATACTTGGAAGATGATGACAAGGAGTCTTGGGGTCGCCCGAGAAGGGGGTAAACGGTATTGGAGTCTGGGACAGAGGCCATGACCGAGAAGCCAACCTATAATGCGGCGTCATATCAGCAATGGACGGCGGGACGAGAACCGTGGCGCAAAGGCTTACACTGCTTCCGGTCCAGAACATGGGCCAGTGTTCCCAAGGCGCATCGCGGGCATCGCCCAACCAAGTGCTCAGATACGGGTTGCGGACAATCAATGGAAGCACTGGAGGGGTCAGAGTGGATGCGCTGACCGTCACGGCGACGGCCAGCAGCGATAGTAGTTGCATGGTGAAGAGGGCGTCTCGAGACCAGCTCCAAGAACAGTCGGGCACCGGTTGCCGGTCAGTCTCACGGAGGGAGCAAACGATCACGAGAGTGCAGCTAGTCAAATACGATGACTTTTGAATCGAGGACAATGACTGAGTCTGTCTCCTTGGGGCCCGCTCTCAAAGTCGCAGGAGAGCAGTGCGCAAGTTGCACGGTAGGAGAAGAGGGGGTTGAGAGCAAAAGGGCAAGAGAGACAGACGGGAGTCAGACGATGTGGGAGCGGGAGAGGAAGCAAGAGGATGGTGCTGCTCTCGGACAAGAAGACCCTTGCCCTCGGTCTTATTTTGCAAGCTCTTGGAGCAACTGACTAAGGGATGGAGCAGGCAGTTGGCAGGTAAAGGAAGGTATCTGTATTCATAGACCTGGAAAACGGCCGGCAGTGAGGTGCCAGGTGCGTACCTCAGCTGCAGGTAGCCCGGTTTTGGAACGGCACGGGAACACTTGGAGAAATCTGGGGTCGAAGCTACGTCCCACGTCACAGGTAAAGCAGCTGTCAGGTGCAATCCCTGGGTGAGGTATTGGGTAGGTATCGGGTGTAGTGCGGACGCAGAACCGCTGCATGTGTACGAGTAGAGTAGTACTTAGCTTGAGAAAGTCAGTGTACGTCAGGATGGGCGCTCGCGGCGGGTCAGGTGGAGGAGGAAACGAGGTTGAGCTCCGGCTCCCGTCCGCCGAGGATCTGGGAAGACCAATCATGGCCCCCATTTCGAGACAACGGGCACCCAATCAAACATGATCTGCCGCGCCACGAGCCCCTGTGCTGCGGGGATGGTGGGGCCACTGTCCACTAAGGCACCTACCCCGTACCTACCACGTGACTTAGGTGAGGTACCTAGGTACGGTGCCGGGCTATTTTGTGCTTTACTATATAGATACTCATGTAAGAAAACCCGTTATTTCTTTGTGCGGGGTGAAGATGAGGTCGAGGTCGGGTGGTGACAGTTCGCGGTGTCAGTCATCACTGTTCCTAGCCGCTTCCGAAATGCTGCTCTGGGCAGTCTGTCAGCTCGTCTTCAAAAACTTTATATAAAACTTGCTTGCCGAAAACTCTGAATTAATGTGGCCTGTCAACTCAACTTGCCATGTTGTGCAGAAAACTCAAGCTCACATGGGACGGGGTCTCAGCAAAAGTTGGAGAACCGCCGACTCCAGCTAACAACCAATGGCTTATTAGTATGTCAACAAACCAAGCTCTTACCACCGCACTTGTGAAAATACATTGAAGGAAACAAGAAACAGAACAACCAAGCTGTGAGCTTGACTTAAGCTACCTAAGTACTTTACCCGTATCGGGTGTGATCAGAGGTGCGTCGGCTCGGGTCAAGTGCATGCGAACATGGCCGATCCGGTCGCTTTTGTGAGATTTTAATTGGCGGCGGCTCAGTGTCGGAAACGCGGGACAGTAGCCATACCTTACCCACGGTGCCTACCTAGGTCCAGGTTTCCCCGAGTCCCTCGCGATGCGCCGTTGAGAAGAGCCGCTAGGTTCTTGCGGACGGTTCCCCGCTTCCCGTCGTCGAGCAAGCAACCGAACATCAAGTCACAACAGCCCAAGTTCTACAGATCTTCCAATCATCCAGCAATGGCATCACTAAGCGGAAAGGTGTACGCCTTCACGGGCGGCGCAAGTGGCATTGGCTTAGCGACAGCAAAGATTATCGCAAAGCGCGGCGCAACCGTGTGTCTTGCAGATATCGATCCTGATGCCATGAAGGCGGCCGAATCTTACTTCTCGGAGCAGAAGACACCTTTTTCAGTGAACAAGGTTGATGTCTCCAAAAAGGAAGACGTCGAAGGGTGGATAACCGGGATCATCAAGCAGTTTGGCCGTCTAGACGGAGCGGCCAATGTGGCGGGTGTCATAGGCAAGCACCACGGCATTCGAGCCGTTGCGGACCTCGAAGATGACGAATGGCACAAAGTCATCGCCGTCAACTTGACCGGCTGCATGTACTCTCTCAGGGCAGAACTCAGGAACATAGCGGATGGCGGTTCGATTGTCAACGTGGCCTCGATTCACGGCGTCAAAGGTACGCCTCTTCTTGAGATATCCGTCACCAGATGCCCGTCTCTTATGCTGACTAGGTTTCGCCAAACACGGCGCGTACGACGCCAGCAAGCACGGTGTGATTGGCCTCACCCGAGCAGCGGCCAACGAGAACGGGGCTCGCGAGGTTCGAGTCAACGCCGTAGCCCCCGGCGCCATCTACACGCCCCTGATGGAGAAGGCCTGGAAGTTCCACAACCGTCCGTCAGACGCCGCCTTCGACGAGCCAACAGCCTTTCAACGTCAGGGCACCGCCGAGGAGTGCGGAAATGTCATCGCATTCCTACTCGGTCCCGAGAGTTCCTTTGTGAGCGGCAGCGTCTACTCTGTCGACGGAGCGTGGCTCTAAGCCGGCGATGGCGTTTTGAGGCCCGGGGAGGGACCGGGCGGGTTGTTAGAAACGATGCGTCCAATGCTCTTCACCATACATCGGATGGATCCACCTCGTGTCTTTCGCCGTCGTCCCTAATGTGTTGAAGCTTCGTGTCCCTCTTCATTGGCTTTCTCATATCGTAGGCGTCCTCGCTGTCGCGCGACGGGTCCGTAGCGTGGTCGCCGTAGTAGTTCTTGACGACGCGGAAGACGCTGTAGCCCATGCTCTTGTAAAAGGTGATGGCCTTGTGGTTGCTCGTGCGGACAAAGAGGTCGACGAACCAGGCATCGTTGGCGTCTGCGGCGGCCTCCAGCTGCTCCGACAGAATCTTGCCGATACCCAGTCTCCTGGCTTCGGGCGCAACTGTCAAGGCTGTGATGTGGGCGTGCCATGGGAGATAATGCTCGGAGAATTTGTATACGTCGGGCGACGACTCGAGCTTTCCCATTACTAGCCTCGCGTCAGATAAGTCAAGCGGGCCGTAGGTATGGTATAAGACGTACTGTAGCCGATGATGTTTCCATTCATGTCCTCGCAGACCTGGAACATTGAGGGCCACTTGGCATGGTACTGGAGGTAGAAAGCCAGCTCGTACGTCTCGGTCAGAGGGTCGAGGTTGCACTTGGAGAACTTGTTGACGTCGTCAGGACGGAAGCGGCGAAAGGTAGCCATGACTGCGGAGGCCGGTGACGACCTCGGGGGGGGGGGGGGGGGGTTTGTCGCGGAGCGGTGATATGCCGAAGTGGCATGAAGTTGGTCGGGCCCGGCAACCAAGCTGGCAAGCGCAAGCCGCCCAGGAATTGGGAAAAAAGATTAATGGGGCGCCAGGGCAATCAACAAATGTTGGCAACAAAGAGCTGTTTGTTTGGGGGCCAGATATCGATAAGGGACGATAACAGCCACACCGCATTGAGAGGTGAGAGCCAGGTGAGGGGTGATATTTGCTGACATAATACGGGGCAGATCAGGCAACGCCGGATGCCATGAAGACTTGGCGATGAAGTATCGTCACGCGCGTCAATAGGTGAAGGAATACATCGGAGTGCTAAACGGTTAGAGCGATGCAGGGACCGGCAATGCCTTAGCCACGAGGATTGTGACAGCTGCCCCCAATGGGAAGCACAGGCACTTAGAAAAGAAAAAAAAGAAAAAAAAGGAACCCCCCTACGGACACTGGCGACACGCAACCGTCCAGTACCAGCGGTCAGTGTCTCGCATATGAAGCATACCGGGTTATCTTCTTCCCTCTTCAAAGGCATCTGGTGCTCTCATTGATACCTTGGGATACCTCGTCTGTCGTCCGGCCGTCCTACCATTGCTACCAACGACACTCAACGAGATCGACTTGACGCACAGGCGCAAAGGATCAAGCCTAAGCCTGGTCTGGTCTGCCTTATTACGAGTATCCATCGGCCGATAATAATCAAACAACAAAGCAGAGCCAGCAGCAGCGGTAGCGGTGCCCGCACGAGTTGCATTAATTGGACGCTGGCGCCGCTTGTCCTATCCGCCCGGTCCTCATTCCTTATTAATAAGAGAAGTAATATTCTCAACTTTGCCCTCGCCAGCCAGACAACCCTCTTCTCGACCCGGCATCGACCTGCGTGTTGCATGGTACGCCAAACTAACCTTTGCTCCGCCCAAAGTTGTTTTTGCGCGACTGCTTACCGTCCCTTTTACCTACCTAGGTAGCGCTAGCTCGGCTTCACCCTCCCACAGTCCCATCCGCCTGGGTCTTCCCTGTCGCATATTTGATGCGACAGCCCCTGTTGTCTGTTACTACACCAGCGACCCCGGGTCAAGCAAAGCAACAACATTCATCTACTGCGTACTTGGCTTGTTGACTGCCAGCACACGTACGCCGCGGAGCGTCATCGACCCGGCTTTTTCTGCATATAAGTCTAGACTCTTCGGACGGCTTCTCCGGACCTGTCCTGTTTCCCTACCGCCGACCGACCGCCAATCGCTCTCTTCCTGATCAACTCCCACGATGCCTTCGACTCCAAGCCACTCGCGTCACGCCTCAGGCGCTGATGCCTCGTACCAATACAACAGCGCCACCTCTTCGCCTCAGAACCGGAGGCAGTCGAGATCCTCACATGACGCGACCACACCCCTGCGAAGCAGCTTCAACAACCAAGACGCCCTGGACGTATCCTACGCTAGCGGAGGTATGGACGGTGGAAACGGCCTTGGTAACCTCGCAGACGAGCTGGCCGATGCGTTTTCCGATTCCGGTGACGAGGGGGAATACTACGAAGACGATAATGGGGCGCCAAATATCAGCGTCCAGGAGGCAGATGGACGAGGCGCCGCAGAGGGTACACGGGACAGCGGCGTCGACGTTGCGAGTCTTGCTGAATCTGGCACCAAGGCGAAGAATCTGAACCTTGGCCCTCCGTCGCCTCCGCGACGTGGTCATCGAAGAACTGGGAGCGAGTACGACGGAAGCGAGTATGGGTCCGAGTCTGACCTCGATTCCCCCGGGATGTTGCCCAGTCTGGTTGCAAAGATCGACGCTGTCGAGTCACTGGCGAGAAGAGGTACGGAAAGCAACGGCGGGCCCACGGACGGTGTCTTCAACCGCGTGACGGACAGTTTGAGGGACTTGGGATCTCAAGCTGGCGTGGAGGGTAGCGCCACAAGGTATGTTGACAGCAGGGCGCTTCCATAATCACTGTTTTCTGACTTGGCCAGACTCATCACCGCCCATTCTGCCCTCACGACCCACTTGACTCATCAGACCCGTCAACTACACAACCTGACATTCCCGTTGCTGTCTCCTCTTGTTCCGCCACCAGACTCGGAGACCGTTGACGAGTTGCTGCCGCTGCTTCTCGAGCTGTCAGAATCGATGCCTCGACCAACCACAAAAGCATACGATTCCTTGACCGCGCTCCACACCCTGACTTCGGACCTTGTCCAGAGCCTCAACTACCTCTCAGACACCCTGCACATGTCCAGGCAGACGACGACGACGGCTACGCGCCGGCTGAAAAGTGCGAAGGAGCTGGTCGCCGAGATCAGAAGGGAAGAAGAACTGTGCGAGGAGGGCGAGCGGTGGTTGACCCGTGGCAACTGGAGCGAGAGATTGCGCAAACGGGAATGCGCCGGAGTGTGCGGCGACGTTGTGAACGGCTTCGAGGAGGTTTGCAACGGTTGGCGAGCCCGGCTACTGGAACAAGCCGGCTCTGCTCAGGCTTAGGCCCTTTTCAGCAGGAGAGCAGGTGTGATAAATGTGTTGGCCGGCCTCTGCCTACGACTGCAATTCAAGCCTCATCAGATTGGGTGAGGCGGGGATTTCCACGGGATAGACTACTAGTGCTTGGGCAGGCGTGGGAAAGGTCCCCTTATCGCTCAGCACTTACCATTAGACCACATGAATTTCACGAGTTGATGAATAGGGAAACGACTGCTGAGGGCTTTGCTAACGATATCATCCGGGAGAGTTCCTTGTACTGGTATTCAGTATAGCAACAATATTGCACAACATTGCATTAAGGAAGACGCAGGGAATGATAGGTGTATGATCAGGCTCCCGATGCATTAGCCCGCGATGACCGCGATGGCGGCAGAGTAATACCAAGAGAGCAACTAGGGATCGGTGTCTCTCCCGAACGCCGGAGTGCACTCGGAAGTTTCTTGATCCGCCACGCTGCATCAGTCGAAAACCTCACATCGGGAAGTGACTTGATAAAGTGAAATCGAGATATATACATTGATAAATTACATCTTCACATATGGTTCTAAGTCGAGGCTCGCATGCCAAGTCTAATGTAATCGACTGTCGAGCAGAGAAGTGCGCGTGGTATCATGTACATGAATATTAACGTGACGTCTCCAGAGTCGGAAGGGAATGAAACAGGGGTCAGACTAGTCCTCCTCCAGCCGCACGGTGTACGCGGGCCGAACGGGCTCACTGGATGCGTGGGAAGCCGGGGACATGGGTCTCCGGGGCCCGGCGAGCCCTCGGCTTAGCCGACTTGAACGACTCCCGCGACTCGCTGGGCGATCATAGTCGATATCAAAGTCGGCAGGGGCATCATCAAGAACCTCGTCGCGAGCCTTGTTCATGGCGGCGAAACCGGCCAGACTCATGTTGTCGTCCTTGGATGGACGATGTTGTTGCAGTAGGGGACTAATCCGGCGGAGGCGGCCATCAACGGGCGGGGCTTCTTTGCCCTTGCGAGCGCCTGGGTCGGACTCGTCGTCGACGAGAACAATCATCCAGACACCCACCGCAGAGTTGCTGCCGAGGAGTGGCGTGCAATGGATCCAACGAACACGACCCTCGCTGCTGGCCTTGCTCGTCCAGCGGACCTTCGCAGTCACGCCATGGCCGTCGGCGAAAGCTTGCGTGAGTCCATCGCGGACGCGGTTGGATCCGCCGATTTTGTCCATGAAATTGGATTGTAAGATGCCGGGCATTCTGAGGGATGGCGACGCAAAGAGAATTCGCAGACTTGGGTAAGGCCGGACGAGCAGGTAATGTTCGTAGATTCCAGAGAGCTTGCCGCTGTGAAAAGACGGTACCGTGCTGGGTTGTTGGATGGACGACGTCTCATCTTGAATAAGGATTCGAGGCTTGTGCCAGTTGGTCGACGATGCCGCCTGAGCCTCGTCTTGAGGCACTCGGTGCATGTTACCTCCGCGTCTACGAACGGTCTCGAGCTCCGCCATGTTGAACATTTCGCTAAGATCACGGAACTCGTCCCTTTCTTCCTCGACCACGTCTTCTTGGTGGATGTGATTGGCGGCTGCAGCTTCCTTCTCGACGACGATGTTCTGCAAGGCGTCCAAGCCGGAGCTCTCTTTGGCGAGGCCAGACACGTCGACTTGAGCGCCGATGAAGTAGCGCACTGTGCCGCGACTGTCGTAAAGCGGAGCCACCATCAGCAGGTTCATGAACGGCGAGCCGTCACGACGGTAGTTGAGAAACGTCTCGTAGTGCTCCTTGCCGGCCAGAATCTTGTCCCTTAGCCTCTTAACGCTGAAAGGGTTCGTTTTGGGACCCTGGAGGAACCGACAATTGCGGCCAATGACATAATTCATGCCATACTGTGTTGTCCTGTGGAATTCTGAATAATGATCAGCCAGGCATACTCGCCGCAGTACATGTTTTCACTAACCTTCTGAGGCAAACACGATGGGGTTGTCGTGTCTTGAGGGATCCGTCAGACAGAATACTTCAGCCAGACCCTCAGACATCTCACGCAGCTGAACAGGTAATGTTCCGGTAATTCGTCTCTTGATAGACATGCTGACCGTCTGGATCCACATGTATGTGATGTAAGCAGGGAGATCCTCCTGTACTAGATTGTCAAAGGCCGCATCAGCTTTCTTCTGTAGTGAGCTGTTGACTGTGTTTTCCGTGTCCTGGGCAGAAAAGTCGTGATCCTGCAGCCTTTCGAGGCCGTTTGCGATAGCGTTCGCATACGCGATAGCGCGCAGAGCTTTGAGGCAATCCAGATAATATGTGAGGAGAGGCAGTGAGTCGGGCCGAACGGAGTGTAAGAAATCGGTAAACCGCTGAAGCAGAACGTGGTCGTCGAAGATGGCCTGGAGGTGCTCCTTTGAAAAGAGGAGCTCGGATCGAGTCTCGAGTGAGTAATGTCCACTATCCCCGTGGGACGGCACCACGAGGTCAAATGAACCCGGTTCGACTTCCTCCTCGGCCAATGGTTCCAGAAACTCATCATCACCGGCGCCTTTCGTTTGCAGGGCTGGCAAAGAGGTAGCGTTTGTCTGATACGAAGATGTCGTGGAGTTGGCTCTGGACCGTGACGACCGCGTCCGGGGGCTCCGAGGAGGGCTTGACGAAGTGTGTCTGTCGCGAACCGGAAGAGGCTCGGGAGACTTGACCCTTCCACGGGAAGGTATTTCGGGAGATTGAACGGCGCTGTCGAAACGAATTAGTCACAGATTCAGAGCGCACGCTAACTCGTACCCCTATACCTTTTGTCTTTCCTCGGGTTCAGGGCATTTGGGCTGATTGGCCCATGGTGAGTCCAACTGCTTTCATCCTCGACCCAAGCCTCTTCGAAGCGGGACGGAGTGAAGGATTGATCTTGCGGTAGGCGACTGAGTGGTCGCTTGAAGGGAATATCCGGGATTTCAGCACCTCCCTCGTCGAGGTCCATATCTCGTTGCTGCTTGCCGAGGGATGTAACACTCAAAGAACTGTAGGGAAGGTTGACTTTGGGTGAAGTGAGTTCCCCGTGTCTATGTCGGCGGTGCGTGGGGATGGCTGCTACTTGAGCCATGTGTTTCTTCCGCCGGAATAGTGTAAGAACTGAACGTGGACCAAGATCACGGGCTAGAGGGTCGGCGGGTGGTTGAGACATGGTCCTAGCTGGGAACGGAGGAGCTTTATACTGGGCGTCGTGGTCGCGGAGCATGGAGGGGACGAGGGGATGGAAATGTCAAAGAGAAATAGAACTGTGGCTCCAAACCATTGGCTTTTGCAACGTCATGGCACCAGCGTCGGGGCGCCGCCGTCTAGACCGCGGGGGAGGTGATCAAAGAGAGGGTTCTCGGCAGAGATACAGAGACGTCTAGGAGGGGTGGGCGCAACGAGCGACGACCACAGAGCGAGAAACTATTGACGGAAGATGCATGTCAGGCACATGTTTGTGCTCGTGGACAGGTACCCGACCAACCGTGCACCGTCGGTCAGAGGCAAGCCGAGATTTATTCATATTGGAGAGGAGCCAAAGAAAAAAACAAACCTACTGCGTAGCATTGCAGAGTCCACTCGGAACGCCTTCAGGATGGAGTGATGGACATTTCGATCTGACTTCCGGCCGAGCACGTCGATCGCCAACTACCTAGTCCTCCGGTGTCGCCCTCTGTGGTTGCGACGGGTATTTTCCATGGCTGAAAGGGGACAGCGTCTGGCTGTCGAGTTAGCCTTTGTCCCAGTTACTGGCAACTCTCGACACCGGCGACGGGTTGGGACTAGTCTGATAGTTTGTCTGATAGCTACGAACATACCTAGCACGGCCCTTGTGCGTTAGCTTGAGGTTTACGGGCCGTCGTCTATCATCTGGTCAGCAACGGGTCGCCGATGCCAGGATACCCTGAGACGTTGTGGGACGGTACGAGAGGACCAGGAGCAAGGCGGAGTCGGCAATCGAGGATGCGTTGGGGGGATCTTTCAGCATGATTGATGCCCTGAAAAGAGAGCCAGTGACTCTGAGCTCCTTGACCAAGCCGGATTCGAGAACGATATGCAAAGATGTGCGGCTAGGACTAAGACGGGCTTGACGGGGAAGCATGACCAGTCTTCCTAGCATGAGCCGCTCCATGGAGAGGCAGAGTAGCAGAGATGCGCATAGAGTCCAGAAACGTGCTGCGAAGGACAGCCCCCTGTGCCATCGTGAATTACCACTCGGACCCCAATAGTCAGCTAAGGTAAGCTACACGGCGATTGTGAGCAGCAACGGCGATGGTGGTGATGCCGTCTCCGATACAACGCGACGGCAAGTCAGTCGCCGGCAGTACGAGAGGAAATATTGCCAGAATTTTTTGGTCTACTAGCCCGGCTATTGCAGCAATCAAAGAAAAAATGAGCAGCAATGTCGTCCGTGCCATGCCATAACGGGGATGTTGGTCGTCACAATACCGTAGTGCTCCAGCCAACGCCCCTCGGACGTGGTTGAAGGATGTGGGGTGGTTGTCAGCCTTGGACTGATTCGGAGTCGGCCCCACCGCAGCCGACCCCCGGACCACGTCCAGCATCCTAATCGGGGCAAACGGGGGCGCTCTCGGACTAAGGAGTGCCCAGGTGGCATCTGGCAGACGGGGCTAAACTTGGGGCCATTTCCAAATCGACCTGCGCGTCATGTCGTTGGCCAAATGTTCGGTACTGATTCCATGAGCTCGGCCTAGCGAGGCAAGACGAAAGAAAGGTCGATAGGCCGTGCTCCTTCGATCCCCGGAGCTGCGATCGAAAGCTCAAATCGGCGGTCGGATGATTCTTACTTTCAAATATGAATAAAGGGGCGAGCTCGACATGCTTATGTGCCTGATGGTGGTCGAGACCGACGACAGGGCCATGTCTCAATCGGCATGCCGGTATTGCGATCTCTCGTTGGCTTCCACCAGGAGTCTTTTCTCGGTGTAACCGCCTGGCACGCGGCTGTCAATCTCTGCTAGACGTAGTGACGAGTGGTTACACAGCTGACATCTGCAGGCTTTGTTGACGGCAGGGCTACCACTTCGCGCAGCAGATAGCGCCCCCCCTTCGCCGCGGCGAATCGGTGTCTTGAAGGCGATGTGCGAACAAGCAACTTGGCTGAACCACACGCGGCCAGATGGGGAACGGGCGAAGTATGACTTCCACGCGACAAGTCGGAGTGTGGCTCGTGTCGGTGACGGCGTGGCAGGCGAAAAGGCTTTGTGGATGGGAACTTTAGCGGCGGCACTGTCAGCGTCTCAGCAAAAATCGGGAAACGTCGTGGGCTTGTGTCATTCATAGTCCACACGGAGTCTTGTCGTGGTTGGTGTCGATGCGGCGGTAGGATACTAAAACGATCTCGTTGACTCTCAGTTCTTTCGAAGCAAGCTCGGGATGAATGTCATGAGGCTCAAACCTCTTTTGTGCCGATTTAGCATGGAGTCGTAGTCGAGTCGGAGTCGGAGCCGGGAGTAGGTATTCGCTACCTACTTACCCAAGTTACTTTTTGGTCAACTGGGAACGGGACTCAATTCCGACAATTCGGTTCGATCAAGACGCTCACAGCTCATTCTTTTGGGATGATTGTCGGCAACGGAGGGGTTCTCTCCGGATGAGTGGGATCGGTACCTTGCATGGCAGCGAGTCATGACTGCAAGGTTATTTGTATGCTGGTCGATGGTGTGCTTGGTGATTGATTGGCTGAGAGCTCATCGGATTTCTTAGGCGGGTAAGAGGACCAATCATGGGAGAGCAAGCGATATTGGAAGGTTGTTGTGGTTGGATGATTTCGTGACTATTGGGTCTGACAGGAAGGAAGACGAAGACAGGTGGCTCCGATACGTGAAGTTCAAAAGGTACCTACTTTACGCGTCTGACGCGTCGCGAGAGTCAGGTCCCGTCGTGCCTGCCCGGCCGGGCCTTACCCACCTCGGCCATAATGAAATCCCGATATCTACTGCACGCCTCAGATCTAGGGGTACGGATATGCTATATGGTGCCTCAGGTAATTCTCATTTTCGAATGACGTATCCGCGGTGACAGTCGAACAAGGTGCGCATTCAATACCTTGACCTGTAGGCACCTTAACAGAATATGAAGTCGCCATTCATAAGCCATTTTATCTTGGTCAATCAGAGTAATGCGCATGATTTTCTTGCTCAAGTCAAGGTACCTAGAGATTGGAAGAATAGAATGCGTTCCATAATGGCCGCATTCTTTATGAGAGAACCTAGAAGCACAGAAAACATTCCAGTGAGGCCCTGGTGGTGAGGTGCCTAGGTTCCTACCTACCTCAATCCTCCCCGCCAGCTGTAACGGCAGGTGGCTGGGGCCCCTGAACGAGGGACACTGGACGGGAGGGGAGGCATTTCGGGGTCCAACTGCGCTATATGGCTCAGGGGCTGATCTCGCCCGTCCCGTCACGTCAGCGCGATGATGTTTCCTCCCGTCGCCTTTTCCGGGCGTGTTTAGGTTGACGCCAGACAGACCCCTGGGCTAGGCCGCCTGTCAACAAAAACAAACAACCCGTCGCCTTTTCCAGCCCCCTCAGAAATCCGCGCCAGGGAGGGCAGCCAAACTGGAATTCAGCGCGGCATCACGAGACACGCTCACCCTGCCTGATACCGCGACCGTGGAACACACACAAACACACAAACACACTCACTCACTCACTCACACACACCGCTTGGTCGCGACGTACTCGTCTTCTTCACCTTAGGGCACGCTGACCTGACAGGCGGTACGGAACAAGGCAAGGTGTTCGCATCTTTGTGTACCCGGTACTCAAGGATATCCTGTCCTGTCAGTCACCGCCAACTCGCGACCGCAACTCGGTCCCAGTGTCCGTAATCGATTCAAGAGACAACAACCCGGAACGATGATGTAGATCGAAAAGAGGAGACATGCCACGTTGAGGACGAGAAGTTGACATGGGACATGAGACGAGGGCATAAACACACAAATTGCGAAAAAGGTTCAGTATGCCTCTAGATTCTTAGAGCTCCCAGGGTAAGGAATAGAGTGCTTTACGAGAATGTAAGGGGAGGAGAGAAAAGGCGAGATGGACGGAGTAGGCGGGGTAGCTGTTGGATAGAAAAAGTGCCATGTTCCTTGGCAACTGAGAGGAGCAGGCCGGCCGAGTTGAAGATCACGGAGCCGCAGATGGAAATAGGATAGATGACCTGGAAGCTATTGGATGTCAGGTCAACCCGGAGCTACCTATCCATAACAAGTCGCGTATTTTTACCTGAACAACCTACCTGAGATCGTGAGTCTCTGTACTTTGTGGCTCACCTACCCAGGTTATCTTCAAATCTTGAATGAAAAAAAAAAAAAAAAAAAAGCAAGTTATCATCGCGTCCCATGTCCCGTTCCCGTCCCCGTTCACGAAACGAGACCTGTCGATGTCGGGCCTCTTTGGTGACTCGTGTCGGGTTGTTTATTATTGTTTCCCGCCCTCGTAGGTAAGGTAGGTAGCTAGTAGGTATTGTTGTTGTCCCCGGTCGGATTAAGGACGGATGACTGCCACTACAAGGTCGCGTCCGAAGTGGCCAGTGGCCCAATACAAGGGATGGATGCCCGCCCCGGAGACCAATACTGCGACGGCGAGCACCTTTCAGCGGTCCCTCCCAGCCCCTCTGGTAGGCACCCAGCCCTGGCCCCTGGCGCTGTTCTGTTGTTGCTCTGCCGCCAACGCCATCCACCAAATCGGGTTAGCGCTCCTTGCTACCCGCGACTCTCCCGGTCCAACCCACCCGACCTCACCTCACCTCACCTCACCTCACTGAGCGCCGCCTTTCCTCACCTATCCCTCCGGTCTGTCTGCTGCTGCTGCTGCTGCTGCTGCGCTGCCGCCGCCGCCGCCTGCGACCTCCAACTTGCAACTTTGGTCCCTGACCAGACCAGACCAGAACATCCCCAACTCGCATTCGTGCACACAATTCTGACGGCCACCATTTGCATGACGATACCTTCCTCTCCTTTTCCCGGCATATTTTTAATTCCGAATACCGCAGCATTATATTCCGTCTTCGCATTGTCGACGACGCTTGAGCTCTTGCGACCGACCCTGTGGCGGGAAAAGCATGAGGTGCGATTGATACCAAGTTGAGCCGCCGTCAGGGATAAGGTGGATGATTCGTTTGCCAACGCCAACCGTCTGAACGACCAGCCCACCGACGAACTTACCCTCGTTTGCGCCATATATCACGACAGAAGCTTCACTATCCACCGCATTGCCGGTTCTCTTGCTCGCCGACTTGCGACCGCGACGCCGTCCGCCCGCACAGCTGCTGGCTCGGCCCCCCGCCATCTTCTCCGACCATCGTCTCCCAGCCGCTTCGCTGCTCCTCGACCTCGACCTCGACCTCAACCTCTACCACACCTCAACCCCTTCTCTGGTCGGCAGCAAACATTGTCGCCAGCTTCCAATCTGCAACTGAACATGACGCTTCCCGGAGACCCATCACCACTCGTCGCTGCCGCACCTTCCACCAAGAGACCAGTAGCCGACTCCGCCAATTCCGCGACCGCAACTCCCGCTCGCTTCGCAACGCCGCCTCCCCCCTCAGATCGAGGTCACCTTGAGAGCCGCCAACATTTAGAAAATGCGAATCAACGGAAGTTGCAACATGCAAGGCGACCCAGCGAACCATCTCGCGCCAGCACCTTCGACGCCGATGCCGTTGATCATGCCTTGCTTCGAGAGATCCACCACCGATCTCAACGGGAGAGCACGCCTGGCGCCAGCCCGCACAGGAAGCGCCAGAGGATAAATGGTGACAGGTGCGTGTTGTGAACCATCGAATGTCGCGGGAAGCGTCGCTAAGGTGTGAAATTCTAGGTTTATTCCCACACGTTCTGGCCAAGATCTCCAAGCAAGTTTTAGTCTACTGCACGAGGATGGCTCGCCAGCGACGCCGTCGAAGCAAAAGAAGCGCACCCCGCATGGCGAGCTTCACTTTCAAAAGAGTAAGTCAAATGCGGCCCAACCGATGCGAGACCGTCGTACCTAACTCTCGCCAGCCGAGGAAGCAAATCGCACGTTCTCGACGTTGCTTCGTGCCGAGCTATTTGAAGGCTCAATACCCCAGGCGACACCGCCTACCCTCTCCCCAGAGCACTCTCTCTCCACCGCTTCGCATTCTGTCAGTGCTCATAATGATACGAGGTCACGCACGCCTCCAAACAATCCTTCTGCCCCTTCTCTCCCGTCAACTCTGACGCCGTCAACTCCCCACAAGAACCTGTTCTCGTACATGTCGCCGCGGCAACTAAGCAATGCGGGCCATCTCACGCCGTCAAGAACGCCACAGAGCCGCCACGGCCCAAACCTGGACACCCGCTCCGAGATCTACAGCCTCTCTCCGGTACGCTTCAACAGCCAACAAATGCTGCTGAGTCCACGGCGACAGCCTCGTGCGGTCAGCAAAGTGCCCTACAAGGTTCTGGATGCTCCGGACTTGGCAGACGACTTCTATCTCAATCTGGTGGACTGGGGTAGTGCCAACGTGCTTGGAGTTGGCCTTGGGTCTAGCGTCTACATGTGGAATGCACAGACAAGTCGAGTCAACAAGCTGTGCACGCTCGAGGACGACACTGTGACCAGCGTGTCATGGATCCAGAAGGGAACGCATATCGCCATCGGCACCGGCAAGGGCTTGGTTCAGATCTGGGATGCCGAGAAGACGAGACGACTGAGGACAATGACGGGCCACACCGCAAGAGTGGGCTCATTGGCGTGGAACACCCACATATTGACCTCGGGGTCACGGGACCGTCTCATCTACCACCGAGACGTCCGCGCCCCTGATCAGTGGTTGCGGAAGCTCGTAGGCCACAAACAGGAGGTCTGTGGTCTGAGGTGGAATTGTGAGGATGGACAATTGGCCAGCGGTGGTAACGACAACAAATTGATGGTCTGGGATAAGCTTTCAGATACGCCGCTCTGGAAGTTCTCAGATCATACTGCCGCGGTCAAGGCAATTGCCTGGTCGCCACATCAAAGAGGGCTTTTGGCTTCAGGCGGCGGAACGGCCGACCGCAGGATCATCTTTCACGACACCCTGCGCGGCTCGGTCATCAACGAGGTTGACACGGGGAGCCAAGTCTGCAACATCGCCTGGTCCAAAAACTCCAACGAAATTGTATCGACTCATGGGTATAGCCAGAACCAGATTGTCGTGTGGAAATACCCGTCCATGACGCAAGTAGTCAGCCTAACTGGTCACACCTATCGCGTGTTGTACCTGGCTATGAGCCCGGACGGGCGAGTCGTCGTGACTGGCGCCGGCGATGAAACACTCAGGTTCTGGAACGTCTTTGGCCGACGCCCGGGGGCCCGCGAGGATAGCGATGGAGGACGACTTGCCGACTGGGGTATCATCCGGTAGAAGGTATGACCACCAGCACGCGGCTGCTGCCGCTGCTCGGTTGACGTTGGCACATATCATGATATCATCTCCCTTTATATCGCGTGGGGGATTAATACCACTCGGGCAGGGACACGGGGAAACGGAGCGAGCACTCGAACTTGTTTTTTATGGGATTGGGATGTTGATGGGAGGACGGAATACCCTGCTATCGGCTGTGTTATGTGCATGGAAACGGCGTCACGACGGGAAGGATTAGGTTTTATTGTTGCTGTTTTGAGGGGACCTTTCATTGGGCTTTTTCTAGCCCAACGAACTCATGGAAGGGAACGAGGGAACGCATGCCCGGCATGCGACGCGCCGAGACGACCGGTCCCAGACGGGAGCGGGAAATTATACGCTCAATCGTAAACAGTATCTATTGCCATGTCGGCTGAGGGGATATGGCTTGTATCATATCGACCTCTGCTCAAGCGAAGAATTAACATATCATGCTCATTCTGGAATCGGAGGCTAGGTCCATCCGTCAGCGTACCATGGGACATCTCAAGCACCGAGAGAGACGGCGCAGATTCGAAAAGTTTGCTCATTGACAAAAGCCCGCATCACACTCCCTGATCTTTTAACGAAGCTGCGGGTATCCGATATTTGAAGAACTTCAGCCCCGTTACTCCGTACTCACAGCAATTCCTTCACGAAAAGAACGAAAAGAAAAAAGGGGAAGAAAAAAAGCATCCATGACATCGTTGCGAGCCGGCTTAGAGAACCCCCATAGCGTGCCGTAATCATCTGGAACGTAAAGAAATGCTCAACGTCCCGCGGGAATCGCCTTCCTCTCCCTGGCCACGTCTCTGGCACCTCCGTCAACACCACTTGCCGCTGCCTCAGCCGAGAGCTCCTCGCTCAACATCGGTATTTTGTCCACACCAGGCCCGCCGGCCCTGACACTCTCTCGGACTACCGCGTTCTCGTGCTTGAGGGCCGAGTCAAGATTGCCTTCTTCCGCCGAGTCGTTACCGGGCGACAGTTGAAGCTCACTCGGTCCAGTACCGTCCGGGTTGGGCGTGATCAGCGGCGAGTGACCAGCCATCTCCGGCGTATTTTGCCATTGCTTCACCTCAGCCCTTAACGACTCCAACTCCTTCTGGAACCGGGTTCCAAAGACGTCAATGTAATAGGTGGCACCGTTGTAGACGCTCCATGTGAAGACTACCATCAGGAAGCCTACCGACGCGTACCTGCTCATGAACCAAATGGGGCAGGGAAGCATGGTCAGCACTGCATACGAGTACTGAATCAGCATGAAAGCCGTCTCTTGCAAGGGGTCCGGAAGCGACAGGACGATCTTGCCAATCCAGGCTTTTGAGTAGGATTTTCGCAGCCAAGTAAAGGACGTGGGCCTTCCTGCCGCAATCTTCTCCCGACGTCGAACCGTGATGAAGAAATAGTAGGACAACTGCCAGACCGCGTAGGGGATCGAGCTCCACGCCAGCATGGACACCACGTTGCCGTATGCAGTCGGTGAGCCGGCCGGAGAGTGCTTGATTGTCCACACGGCAGGGAAACGTTTGGCCTGCATTTCCTCGGACCACAAATGTACGATGCAATGGAGTGTCGCGCATGGCATGATGTGGATGAACAACGACGTGACTTTGTCGAAGCTGTGGAAGACAAGCGAGTTCCTCCACATGATGATGGCAACAGCATTATTGCCGAAAGCCAAGCAATAAACAGCCAGGAAGAGCCGTTTCGAGTTGGGAAACCCCCAGATGCTGAGCATGAGAAGAAAGTTGACGAAATAGCAGAGGTCGGCCAGGAAGTAGTGGTAGCCACGACGATGGTAGGTGAAGTACCGGATGGGCATGAAATACAAGAGCTGGACGGTATACCACAGGTGAAAGTATTCGGGGTACCCTCCGATGAGGAGACCGCTGACGAAAATGTTCATGACTCCACAGATAAAAGACACCTTTTCTCTGAGGGTCACAACTCTGGTATCATTCCACTGCTTGCCGAGCTTATCGACGCTTACGCGCATGCGCTTCCTGTACCTCTCGAGCTGTTCCTCGGCAGTGGGTACGCGTCGCCTCCATTCCTCGACCATGCGCTCTCGCGCGTGCTGGCTCCTGTTCTTGAAAGCATCCCGCGACTTTCGGACCTTTTGGGTTTGTGCGGATATACCCTTCTGTAACTTCTCGAGCTGTTGTGGCAGGGCGAAGTTGTCGAGAATGTCGAGCATGGTCAGGCGATCGAGAGGCGGGAAGGCATCCCAGTCTTCTTGGTATGAGCTGCTGCCTGAGAAGGAAGGATTCCTCGATAGTTTGGGGCTTCCCGAGTGAATGGGGCCCAGGGTGGGCGTGTGAAGGCCATCGTGATCGGGCGGAGAGGAGCTGATGGTTGACTGGGCTTCGGTCTGATCGGGAGTGAACGCCGTCTCGCTATCGGTCTGGATTTCATCGCTCTTTGCGCTGGGCATTTCTGCCGGGTTTGGTTCGGTCATCTCAGCCGTGTCCAAGTCTAGATGGAGCAGTCGACTTCTACCAGGCCGTTCTATGGAGTATCTGAGGCACTTGGGAGGTGTGAGTACAATTTCTGATGACACAAAAGACAGGCTGGCGGGGGAAGTATCTAGACCACAAGGGGAGGGAGGAAGCACTCGGGCGCGATGAGATTAAACGCACCTTGAGCAGGCCTGGGAGTCAATACGCAGGATGTTTTTCTCAATGTAATGAAGCTATTTTGAACCTTGGTTCACTCACGCGTGGCGGAAAGAGGAGCGGGGGAGTAGGTGGTAGTAGGGCTAGTTGTTCGTCTGGTGTTGTGTTCTGCCGGATTGATGCAGGAAGACAAGTTAAAGCGATCAGGGTTGGCGCTGGGTCGGACTATGCTGTCGGCCACAGTCGAGACGATTGGGCGGCGTGACTAGTACTGGTTTTGGAGGTGGGCTTGTGATGCAAGCAGTCCAGAGATGGGCGAAAGTCTAGAACACGTTGAGGTGAGGCGATGAATTACACGTGTTGGATCTTGACCGCTCGCGAAGGGCAGGCAGGCACGTAGGTAGGTAGGTACCTTCCTGGAGCTGGAATATGTTCTCGAGACAAGGGTGGTCACTCTGGGGACCTTGGATACGTCACAAGACAGCAGCTTGGCTCAGCGTGCCTGCCACAGCTTATCGGGGGTACCTATCTACACTAGGTACCTTACCTTACCAGGTTACCGTAACTTAGGTAATGTAGAGGTATCCACCGCATTCTGGCGATAACATTCGCAAGTACTACCTAAGGGTAGGTAGGTAGGTAACCAGGCCATTCTTCAATTCTCGAACCTTTTTTTTTCTTCATTTTTTTCCCTGTAAACAATTATTCGTTTTACGTCTTAAGATCCCCTGCTTTAGACCTCAGATGCAGATGAGTATTCAGAACCAGGATGAGAGAGAGTCAGAAGGTCAACGTGCCCCATCTACTCTGTCCTCAGTGCATTGACGGCTGGCCCGTTATTTGTGCAGGTGGTTGTGGCTGGACTCCTGGTTGGTTGAGAGATCGTTGAGCGAAATCCAGACCAAAATAATGCAACACAACCTGAAGATACCCAGGCGCAAGTGGACAACAGAGGTCCCTAGGCTTCTTACGTCCTTTTGGCCTTTTCAGACCGAGGGTAGCGGGCCTAACTCAACAATGACACTCTTGGAATCAATGCTTTTCATCCACTGCCTTGAGGTCCTCGTACAACATCACTTGTATGGCTACCGGATGACTAAGTCACGCTCGCCGTTACAGTCCAAGCCAGTCCAAGCATCGCTTTGCTCGTCCGAGCAGTTCTGCACCGTGAGGTAGTAAGAAAGGTCTTTGAGCCAAACCTGAAGTTGACTCAGCATGAAGTTAATCTGATAAGGCTAGCAAAGGCGAGCTAAGGTAGAGAGATTGTGTACGATCCATGATGTCGAGACATCTACCTGGTACCTAGGAGACAATCTCACTCAAGATACCTAGGCAAGTGTAAGGGCACCTTACAGTAGTGGGAGTCGCCATCACGTGATCTTTAATCCACTCGCCGCTAATTGTGTGGCTCGAGCTCTCGTCCTACCTAAGGTAGGCGCGCATTCGGTCAGCCTCAGTGTGGCCCGCAGTTGTCCGTCCAGTGTCCCGTCGCGTCCAGCACCCGACCCCGACGCGCGTGGGGAAATTCAGGTCTGCACGTCTTCGTCGTCAGACGCAACACATATTCGACTCCTCGAGTGCCTCTCGCAATGCGCCCGGCCAGCTGGAGGCCCTTGATACTCTACTAGATCTTTGTCGACCACCCACAACACCACGCCAGCCGAGGCGCCTGTCCCTCCATTACCGATTTTCTTCGACCGTTTTCTCCTCCGCGCGACGACAACTCGCGTTTGCGACGAACCCCGACTTCAGCGCACCTGAGAACCAGGACACACATCACTTGCCGTCGCGTACTCCGCGACACCTCCTCTGCAAAATGGGAAAGCTCATTCGTCTTGAGCTGTTTAGTGCGCCATCCTCCTCACCCCAACGTCTCTCGCCTCAGTCGCGCTGACATCCATCACTAGACTTCAAGTCTTACAAGGGCCACCACGTCCTACTTTTCGGCGACTCTTACTTCACTTCCATCATCGGTCCCAATGGATCCGGCAAGTCAAACTCGTACGTCTCCGTCGCATCTCGTCATCGACACGACAACTAACGACTATCGCTAGCATGGATGCCATATCCTTCGTCCTGGGTATTAAGTCATCACACCTTCGATCAGCCCACTTGAAGGATCTGGTTTACCGCGGTCGCGTTCTGAAAACTTCCAAGATCAACGATGACGGTTCTGCCGAGGCCAACGGCCAAACAAATGGCTACGCCAACGGTGACGGAGACGACTTGTCGCAGAAGGCTTCCCGGACGGACCCCAAGACCGCGTGGGTTATGGCCGTGTACGAGGACGATGCTGGTGACGAGCAAAAATGGAAGCGTTCCATTACGAATCAGGGATCCAGCGAATACCGCATCAACGATCGCGTCGTCACCGCCCAGCAGTACAACGAGGCCCTCGAGGCCGAGAACATTCTCATCAAGGCCAGGAATTTTCTGGTTTTCCAGGGAGACGTCGAAGCCATCGCTGCCCAGTCACCGCAAGACCTGACGAGGCTGATTGAACAAATTTCCGGGAGCTTGGAGTACAAGGCCGAGTATGAGAAACTACAGACGGAGGCTGAGCAGGCCGCCGAGAACCAAAGTTTCCAGCTCCACAGGAGACGCGGCATCAACTCTGAGATCAAGCAATATCAGGAGCAGAAGAAGGAAGCCGATAATTTCCAGAAGAAGACGGAGGAGAGAGATGAGGCCATCGTCAAACATGCGCTCTGGAAGCTCTACCACTTCCAACGCGGCATGGATGATTCTACCGAGAAGATTCACGAACACCAGGAAAACCTTCAAGAGTTCCAGCGCAATGTCGAGTCCTTCAGGCGAAAGCTTGAGGCTGCTCAGAAAGAACAGTCTGCCGCCGCAAAGGAGGTCCACGGGGTTGAGAAGGCCATCAACGCGAAGAAGCGCGAGTTCGACGAGTTGGAGCACAAGCTCATCCCGATTGATGCGAAGATCGAGGATCGTACCCGTGGCCTTGAGTCGACTCGCTTACGTGTAGACCCGATCCGCAAGGACCGCGATAAGCAGGCTGAGTTGATCAAGGAAGACGAAGCCCGACTCAAGAAACTCGAAAAAGCCCAGCAGCACTTCGAACAGCAGCATAAGGAGCGCATGAAGAAGACGGGCAAAGAGCTCAGCGACGCGGACCGCAAAGAGTACAACAATCTCCGTACCCAGGTCATCACGCGAACCGCTGCCAACCAGTCGAAGCTCGATAACCTTGTCCGCCAGCAGAAGACGGACGAGGTCACGGTCAACACCCTCAAGGGCAAGGTCGACACCATCTCGGCCACTCTGGAAAAGTATGAGGGAGAGCTGGAGACCATTGGCGAACGCAAATCTGCTACGGAGAGCAATATAAAGTCGCTGTCCCAGGAGATCGACACCAAGAAGAAGCAATTCAATCAGATGCAGTCCGAACGCATAAGAACCAGTCAGAGACGAACCGAATTGGAAGAGAAGCTCGAACAAGTCGCCAAGCAACTCCGCGAAGCCGATGACGGCCGGCGCCAGAACGACCGCGAAACCAGAATGAGGGAGATGGTGAACAACCTGAAGCGGCTGTATCCCGGCGTCAAGGGCCGAGTCGGCGATCTCTGCAAACCCAAACAGAAGAAGTACGACGAGGCAGTCAGCACCGCGCTGGGTCGGGACTACGAATCGGTCATTGTCGACACCGAGAAGACTGGTCATGAATGTGTTCAATACCTCAAGGATCAGCGCTTCCCGCCGATGACTTTTATCCCGCTCGACAACATCAAGGTCAACGCTGTGAACTCGGCTATCAAGGGTATTTCGGGAGCCCGTTTGACCATCGACACCATCGACTTCGACCCCGCCTACGAACGCGCTATGGCGTATGCCTGCGGGAGCTCAGTGGTATGTGACAGCGAAAAGATTGCCAAGCTCATCTCATATGAGAAGCGCATCCCTGTCAAGACCGTCACTCTGGATGGTTTAGTCATTCACAAGACTGGTATGATGACTGGTGGCCGCGGCCCCGAGCAGAAGGGTGGAAAGCGGCGCTTCGATAGTGCCGATCTTGAGGGGCTTAAGAAGATGGCAGCCAAGTACAAGGAGGAAATTGAGAAGCTCCCAAAGTCTGGCCGCCGTGGCCCTGCTGAGGAGTCTCTCCAGATCGAGATTCACGGCCTTGAGCCCCGCCTAAACGCCGCCAAAAACGAGCTGGCGCATTTGGTAAAGAACTACGAGAGTAAGAAGAGAGAGGCGGACCACGAGAGTAGGCAGCTGGATGAGCTCGAGCCCAAATACGAGGAGAAGACTGCAGAGCTTGACGCGACGAAGCGTACTGTCAAGGAGTTCTCCGATGCGATTGCTCGCGTGGAAGACGAAGTGTTCTCCGACTTTTGCAGGAGGCTGGGATTCAGCGACATTCGTGCCTATGAATCGGAGCACAGAGACCTGCAACGAGAGGCTGATGAGGAGCGTGCCAAGTTTGAAGTGCAAAAGTCCAAGTACCAGAGTCAACTGCACTGGGCGCGCGACGTTTACAACACCCTGGACCAGCGGCTGAAGAAACTGCAGGAAACCTTGAAGGCGTCGGAGCGCGATCTCCAGACTTATCAGCGAGAAAAGTCCGACATTGAAGATGCCAGCCACGAGGTGTCGGATGAGCTTGATGCGCTCCGCGAGACATTAGAAGAGAAGCAAGCCATACTGGAAGAGAAGAGCCAGAAGGTGGCACATGCCAAGGCCGAGGTCCAAAAGCGAAGTAAAGAGATCGACGCCAGGCAGAAGGAGATCAACGCGTTGGAAACGGTGGTACAGAAGAATAGTGCCGGCAAGTTTGCGTTGCTGAGGCGGTGCAAATTGGAGCAAATCCAAGTTCCTCTACAGGAAGGATCGCTCGATAACTTGCCAAACGAGGACAATTTGTTGCGTCAAGACGCTGATGCCATGGACGTCGACGACGAGGACGACGAAGAGATGATGAATGCCGCCCTCGAAAACCACGGCATCGAGGTTGACTACGATGGCCTAGATGAAGAGTTGAAAAACGTAAGGACGCCCATTTGTCACACAGCCGAGGAATATTGCTAACAAGTGGTCCAGTCGGATGATCCTGGTGTCGAGGAGAGATTACAAGACAAAATTGCGTCAATCACCTCGGAACTGGAGAAGCTCAACCCCAATATGAGGGCCATTGAGAGGCTAGAGAGCGTCGAAACGAGGTTGAAGAACACGGAGAAAGAGTTCGAAGATTCCAGAGCGGCCCTTAAGGCGGCCCGCGATGCGTTTAATCATGTCAAGGCTCAGCGGTACGAACTCTTCAACAAGGCGTTCACGCATATCGCGGAGCAAATCTCCCACGTCTACAAGGACCTCACCCGCTCAGAAGCGTACCCGCTCGGAGGTCAGGCATACCTCGATATTGAGGAGGACACAGATACGCCCTACCTATCCGGAATCAAGTATCACGCCATGCCGCCTCTCAAGCGTTTCCGAGACATGGAGCATCTCTCCGGAGGCGAGAAGACCATGGCGGCTCTGGCTCTTCTGTTCGCCATCCACAGCTATCAACCCAGTCCCTTCTTCGTTCTCGACGAGGTTGACGCTGCGCTGGATAACGCCAATGTCGACAAGATCAAGAAGTACATCCGGGAACACGCGGGGCCAGGCATGCAATTCATTGTCATCAGTCTCAAGACTGGCTTGTTCCAAGACAGTGAGAGTTTGGTTGGTGTTTACCGGGACCAGGAAGTAAACAGCTCGAGAGCACTCACTCTGGATGTAAGTCTCAAGCACCGACCTCCGCCTTAGCCGACTGCATACTGACAATGACACAGCTTCGAAAATACGCTTGAGTTAGGAGGCTACATGGGTGGAGGGGCGTAAATAAACGGGATGACCTAGGAGGGTATAGGCTTAGGATCTGAGCGTGGAAGAGGGAGGTAGAGACGAGTTACGATACCAGCTCTGCATGCTTAGCTTTTTGGCAGATGGGTTTTGGGCGGAGTAGGTGATTTCCACCCAAAACGATACCAGAGATGGTTGCGGCAACGCTACGTTTTGGCGAGCCTGCGAAGGAGTTCTGGACTGTAATATGGCCGGTGGAGTCTTCCATTCACGTTATTGATGAGCCGTTCTTGTGCCATATCCGTTTCTCTTAATATTCTCCGTGAAGCCATCTTCCGTCTGGTTGATCGCATATCGCCTTTTAAGGCTCTCCAGCCGTTGTCCTCTATCCATGGAGGCGCGCACCATATAATCCAAATTCTCGTTGAGTATGACCTCGAGGCTGGCTGAACTGTTCAAGCCACCTCAAACCAGGCGATGGTTGGCTGCAAGGAAATTTCAAGCAAAGCGCCACCCTCTTGGCCGCATCATAACTGGGAGGAGACAGTCCCGAAATTGCGTCCCCGAACTGTTTGGACGATATCTCCCATTAAAGCCCACTCTCAAATCTTCATTCCTTGGGTTTTGCCAACGTTCCTCGGGAAGGTGGAAGTTGAAAACTGAGGTGTCAGGGATGGCCTACTTCCGCTTGACACCTGCCTTAGCGGCCCCACCCCCGCTAAAAGGACGTGCCTGCCGACAGCCCAGCTCTTGCGGTACCTACAGTTCGTACATCCATATTGAACTTGCCCGGCTTTTTCTTCTGCCTAACGCCTGCTTCGCCTCCGATTCTTCAACCAACCCATATCGCCAACGCCAGCAATGGCGCAACCATTGGATCTCGCGAAGACGCTCGTCAAATCGGTGATGCGCGCGTTCTACGAGACGCGGCACATTCTTATCATAGACGCGCTGATCATTCACTCTGCGTAAGCGCGCTTGCCACCTTTTTCGCGATTCTTTCGCAACTTGGCTAACCGACTGCGGCAACAGGCTGCGAGACGATGACCTGGCCTACCTGATGGCTACGAATACAAAGGACCTTCACAAGGCATGTGGGAAATTGAGAGAGGATCGCTTCCTTGCTGTGTATGCTCGCAATTTTCCTCTCGTGGCCTCCGCTTGAAGCTGATGCTGGGCGCACTTCAGGTACACGAGACTGGAATATCGCGAGGACCCGAAGAACCCAGAGGCGAAACCGCGCCCGGTGAATCGCACCTACTACTATATCGACTACCGTCAGACCATTGACGCTATCAAATGGCGCGTGTACACCGTCGACAAACAAATCCAAGGGACTACTGTTCCCGCAAGCGAACGGAAGGAATATTTCTGCGGACGATGCAAGGCAGAATGGACCCAAATGGAGGTTTTGGACAATGTCGGCCCAAATGGCTTCGTCTGTCACCGATGCAGCTCGCCGCTCACCCACGATCTCGAGCGCAATTCGACCGGCCACGAGCAGTCCACGCGACTCAATAACCAGTTCAAGTTCATCACTGAGCTACTGCCCCGTATCGACGAGATGGTGGTCCCCGACAACACGTTCGATATTGCCATCAGCAAGGCCCTGCCTGTCGTCCGAGACGCGAGCTACCAAACGGTCACAACCATCCCGGTCTCATCTCTGCAACCAACAGCAGTCAAGGGTCTGGATAACGTCGGCCCCAAGTCCATGTCGGTCAGCATTTCCACAACGGATGGCCCTTCAGAAGCCGAGAAGGCAGCAGAGAAAGCGCGCAAGGAGAAAATTGCGCAGCAGAACGCACTGCCTTCCTGGATGTCCAACAGTACTGTCACTGGCGAATCATTCTCTGCGGAGGCGGGCCCAACACCCGCAACCAAGGTCGAGGAGGTGGACAGCAAGGATGCCGTAGCCAAATCCGGGGATAACCAAGAGCACGCGGAGCTGGATGACTACTTCGCTAGACTCAAGGCTGAGCAGGCAGCTGAGGCCGCGAGGGCACTCGAGGAGGAGGGTTCGGACGACGACGAGGAAGAAGAGGACGCTTTTGAGGATGTTACACCAGTGGGCAACACCACGCCAATCCCCAAGGTGGAGCCCTCTGCTGACGCGGAGGAGTTGCCGGCTAAGAGGGTCAAGGTAGAGGTGCCGGATGACGGCGAGAGTGACGAAGACGTCGAATTTGAGGACGTTTAATGACGATGGGTTACCGATGATTTTGGGCGCTTTTTCTGTTGCACTACTACCCTTTCAGAAGGAGCCTAGCCCGGGGATTGAAATAATAAATCGATGATATCCAGTTACGAGGTACTAGAGTCCATTGTGTGCTAATGCCTCGTAGTACATAATGTCTTGTTGAAACAGTGATGTCAGTGCTTGCAGCAAATGAGACGGAGCCAAATGAACGTAGGTAGCAATTTGAACCCACCGACAGTGCATATGGATACGGTTCTCCGTCAGCTTCGCAATTGACTGACTCTTGCTCCATTTCAACTGCAGGTCCACTGGCAACTTCCGGCAACCACCTCACGCAATGGGATATCGCCACTTTCCATTCTGGGATTTCAGTGCATGGACATTTCCAGTCTAGAACGACTCATTCAAAGGGAAAAATCGGGTGAACTGCCGGTCGCGACTCTCTTTGACATCGCCGTTCTCGACGTCGCCCACGTCTTGAAAGTCAGCGACGATTTTGAGTATGGCAACGGTCCTTGATCTGCCGCCGATTTTTCTGTTGCCCACGCACTTGGATCCTGCTCGCCTCCACGACCTCGAGGAGAAAATCCCAAGTTTGACTTATGACATTCACGAGGCGGAAATAATCCTCGGCAACATCTCTAAAAAGGAGCGAGCTTTGTTTGAGCTGAGGCACAGGAAACTCCAGACGGATCCAGTGGAGGTGGCAGACGTTGCCAGGTCCCAAAAACGGAAGTGGGATGCGACTTTGAGCGACAGCGATTCGACTGTATACACCGAGGATGACGATAAGACGAGAGCAGGTCTTCCAGGACGTCCGGGGACATCCTCCAAGAAATTTCACGACGCCGGCATCGTCCGGGTTGTGAAGCTGATCTGGCTCACCAAATCGCTTGGGGAGGGCCGGGTCCTCCCGATCCACGAGTATCTCATCTATCAAGGCCGCAAGAAGGATGTTACTGAATCGCCAGCTACTACCAAGGGCAGTGACATATTATCTAGAGCTGCGGCCGATGCAACATCCCAAACCCAGCAAAGCTCTTTTGCGAGGCCTGGAACCAGCGCACCTCTTTCAGCTAGTCCACGACCCGTACCTTTGTTGATCAGACAGACAACTTCGGAGCACGACTCGGCTCTCAAATTACCACCAATACCATCCTTTCTCCGGACGACATATGCCTGTGAACGAGTCACTCCGGTCGACCCGCCGAACGCAGCATTCATCGAAGAACTGAAGAAGATCCGGACTGCGAGGAAATTGATGGGCGATCAGGTAGGAGTAAGGGCTTATTCTACATCCATTGCGACAATATCGGCGTACCCGTACTCATTGTCTAGCCCGCAAGGTGAACGAGCACTCAACGCCAATGATGAAGATGATAACACTAATAATGGTATAGAGGTCGCCAGATTGCCCGGTTGTGGCACTAAGATTGCCGAGCTGTGGCACGAATGGAAGGACGTTGGCAGGCTCCGCGAGGCAGATGAAACGCGAGCAGATCCCAAGTTGTCGGTGATACAGATGTTTTATGAGATATGGGGGGTTGGGGACACAACAGCTCGCGATTTCTATAGGAAGGGTAAGTTATCGAAGGTGAACTGGCAGGCCACCGCTGATCAGCATGCAGGATGGCGAGAGCTGGACGACGTAGTCGAGTACGGCTGGGACAGCCTGTCGCGTGTTCAGCAAATCGGCGTCAAGTTTTACGACGAGTTCAAGCTTAAGATACCTCGGACTGAGGTCGAGTCTATTGCCAACACTATCCTGAAGCATGCACGCAAGTTCAGCCCCAACTACCAGATGGTCATTGTGGGTGGGTATCGACGCGGCAAGCAGGACAGCGGGGACGTGGACGTGATCCTCAGCCACCCCGACGCATCTGCCACGCTTCATTTCATTGAGAAGCTCGTCGTGAGCCTGGAAAAAAGCGGACATGTTACCCACACGCTCACTTTGAGCAATCACAATAGCGAGCGCGGTCAGCGACCGCTGGGTTGGAAGGGAAATGAGGCCCGGGGAACCGGTTTCGATACTCTGGACAAGGCACTAGTCGTATGGCAGGAGCCAGGTGAGAGTGATGTGGGCAAATCTTCTGCACAGACTAGCGGGAGACCGCATCGTCGAGTTGACATTATACTGAGCCCGTGGAAGACGGCTGGCTGTGCCGTTCTGGGATGGAGCGGAGACACAACATTCCAGAGAGACCTGCGCCGGTATTGTAAGAAGCAAAAGAACTTGAAATTCGATAGCAGTGGCATTCGCAGTCGTCTAGACGGCAGCTGGGTAGACCTCGAGGGGGGTGGGATGATGCCAGACATGCTGACAGCAGAGAAACGGGTGTTTGAAGGACTTGGGCTTGCTTGGGTCCGCCCAGAGGATCGATGTACGGGATGAAGACGGATGCCCTTAGTCGGTAGTTTACCGGTAGTCGGATGCTCCGTTTTCTCTCTTGCATGATGGGATAGCATCTCAACACATGTGGACCGGAAGGATACTGAAATAACTGAAATAACGGCAGGGACAACCTCGTCCAGTGAAAGAACTGTGCAACCCCCACCTCCCTCCTCGAAGGTGACATGGATTGATAAATTCGAAAATAAGAAATCGGTGCTAATGCCAGGGACACAGCAGCAGAGTAGGCAATTTGACCGAGCAATCAGGGTGACAGTTTCCTCTTGCCGAGCATCCCGGTGGTAGATCCATCGATGGTGATGCGGGAGTTAAAATGGCGTGCTGATTTCGTAAGCGACTTGTCGGAAAACAAACATTCTGGGTGCAGGATAGTGGCGTGCAGGGCTGAGATAGACTGCGAATAGCCTCATTGACGACTTCGTTCCTACTTGAGGCTCGGATTCTAATGATTTCATGTCGGATATTGGTGCTGTCTCGCAGCCAGAATGCGCCTAAACAAACTCCGCTCGAATTCCGCCAGTATTATAAAGACGGTGGAATAGAAAAAGGCACCGCCGAGGTTCCAGCGTCAACCATTGTCCGTTTCTGAGACGACTGATTGGTCGGATTTCCGCGCATCGGCACTCGGGCATTGAGTGTGGCCGTTTCCCAATTCCGTCGGCGGCGCGTAGGTAGACGTGCCGTCGCAATGGCGGTGGGTTTGAGGAAGTCTATCTCGTCAGGGACTTTCTGGCTACGGGGAACCGGAGGGACATTTTCGAATAAGGTGCCTGCTTAGCGAGCGGAGAATCGGGGCGGAGAAGCAGAGAGAGACGGGGAGCTCAGACACCTGGCGTCTCGAGCCGAGTCGCTAGCCCTCTCGGAAGTTGTCAATATAATAGCCTAGCTTCTTGAATCAACATATTCTACTCTGTACTACCCTTCCTTGCTCAATTAAACCTCTCAGCTACAGCAGGCCTAAATATATCACATCAATTTTTGTTTACATCGTCATTAGTTGGGTTACATACTCCCAAGTCCACCATCATGCCCGTCACGCTGCAGGTCCCTGACGAGTACGGGTAAGTGTGATAGCTAGCAAGCCCCAGGTCCGCTTGGTGCCGAGGGCCTCAACGGCTTGTTTGCGCGATGGCTCAATGATTCCCAGAATTCTGGGACGTCGTAACCGACATTACCTAGTCTGCGCAGTCAGTGGCTAACTCGGGCGCGTCCGTACAGTTACGTACTCCTCGTCGCCGCCTCGACCTTCTTCATCAACACTACTCATGTGCTCCTGACGAGCAAGTTCCGCAAGGCCAGCGGCCTCACTTACCCGGTGCCGTACGCCTCCAACGAGGCCGCCGAGAAGGACCGCAAGGCCTACATGTTCAACTGCGGTTCGTCATACACCATCGTCCTCCGGTGGGCCGGACTACCCCAAGCAGACAAACAAACTGATGGACATCTCCAGCGCAACGCGCACACGCAAACTTTACCGAGAACCAGCCCTCCTTCCTCGGAGCTCTGCTGATCTCCGGCCTCCGCTTCCCCGTCGCCAGCGCCGCCCTCGGTGCCGGCTGGTCCCTCTCTCGCGTCGTGTACGCTTTCGGCTACACAAGCGCCGCTGGCCCCGCAGGCCGTGTCCGGTGAGTCTCCCTGTGAAGGCAAATGGCCGTAGCCTCAGCTAACTAGATGGCAGCGGCTCCATCGGATCTTTCCTCACCGACACGGCTCTGAAGTTCACTGCCGTCTACACTGCTGTCGCCATGATTATGGACTGGTAAAGATGGCCAGGTCCAGTAGTTGTGGCCCCGGTGTCTCATGTAATCAAAGCGCTTGGAAAACATTCTTGGGGGCAGCTGCCCATGCCTACACATACACAATAGTCCTCCCACGGCTCCCATGCCGATCGCTGCGTGCTTGAATTCAGATCAACCTTCCATGAACGCCTGTCAGTCATACACACGTCTAAACAAAAAGAAATTTCATCCTTTCAAAGTTACCCCCGCTGTCGTCCTCGGCTTACTCATGAGCATCATGCGAATGTTGGGCTCATGATCATCTCCTGCGTCTCATCCGCTTGAGCTCCACGCCACGGTCCAAGTCATCCTCCGACTGCGCAGGGACCCCTGTAGACTTCTCGATACCATTGTTCCCAAGGAGATAGTCCCCAAAGTACTTCATTGCGTTGAATATTTCCTCGCCAACAGGAATGATGTTATCCTTGGGCAATAGGAAACCGTAGCTGCCGGTGTCCCTGAGCTTGATTTGATAGCTGTAGTGAGCATGAAGCTCATGGTAGAACCAGTCAATGGCCGATCCGCCGCCCGTCTCGATTCGGCGCGTGGTGGTCTTGTCGCCGCGGGACGCAACAGCACCCTCGCAGGCTGAAGTGACGGAGTACTGCTCTCCATTGGAGAGACGAATGGCCTTGGCAAGTCCGGTTGCAAGCTCCTCAAGGTTCTCGACGTTGGGTGGGTCGACGTCACAGGAGTAGGCAAAGGGGAATAGAATCTGCTGGGAGTAGGAGTGTAGGTCAATCAGGCCCACGAACTCAGAGTTCTCCCGTGACTCGTTCTTGGCCCACTTTGCAAGAGCAATGGCTTCGGTTGCCTCCCAGGGCTCGTTGCCGCCGTAACTCTCGGAGCACGGGTCGTTCTCCGAGTCCAAGCCGCTCCATGCGAAACCAAAGGCGTGATCAAGGTCGAAACCACGACACCATTGCATGCCCGTCTGCTGACGAGACTTGCGCCAGAGGCGGTCGACCTGCCAGGTGTACTCGACGCCGTCAGGGTTGACGACAGGAATGAAGACGAAATCGAAGTGTTCCAGCAGCTTGGTGATCATCGGCTCCTTCCCAAAGGACGTAATGAAAGACCATGCGACGTAGTTGGTCGTCGTTGTAGATATCCACTCTCGGGCGTGCATGCCACCCGTCACGACCACTGTCTTCCTCTTTTCGGCAGATTTTCGATGCGTTTTGACGCCGACCCTGAGAGCGGGGATGTCCCGGCCTTCGAAGGACTTGCCGATGCTGATCAACTCGGTGATGGGGCTGAACATGGCCTCCGTCAAGCGCATCCACGGTACGATGACCTAGATAGACTGGGTAAGCTCGGGGATTGATGACGGCCGCATGCGTGTGTGCACCGCGTAGGGACCGAGAGAGTCGGTAGCGACTTACAGACAGCGGTTGGTATTCTTGGAAGAAGACATTGTCCCCCCCATGATGCGATAGCTGGACTGAGCGACGGTCTTCCAGTCGTTGAACATGGACGGGGGCGGCTGGGTAGGTATCGAATACAGAGGCGGCAAGATCGGGTATGAGGGTGGAGTAAGCAGACCTCAAGGAGGATGGCAAGAGACCAAGCAAAGAGGGGATGTCGTCGTTTCGCAGGCGGACGTCGACGTATTCGCGGTTGAATGCCCATACGTCGAGGAACAATCGAGCGGCGGACTCGGCGAAGGCGGTCTCTTGGTCGGGAGTTGTCAAGTTGAAGCGCAAAACGACTTGGTCATTGTACTTTGTGCGCAAGGTTGCTTTGTTCCCCTTGTGGGCAGAGTGAGAAGCAGCAGATTTGGCGCCGGGCGCGGGTCCAAAAACCAATTCAATGGCGCTGTCGCGTAACCAGGTCAATAGAGGAAACAGCGAGGCGGGTGCATTGCGGTCGTTGTGATAAGGATCGATCCGGGCGGCGTCGGCGGGCGGAGCAAGTAAAGCGACGCTGGCGAGGGAGAGCACTGCTGAGGGACGCATTATTGAGTTTGCTGGTCGCCGTCGTCGATGTTGTCGTCGTCGAGCGGGCGGGAGGAGGCGAATCAACACGGGCCGATACGAGTGATGGCAGACGGAAGATCAGAGAGATGCGGCACCCGAGAAACGGCGACAGTTTCTGCAACAGACTCGCCCCTCGACTCGGGCACGCACGGCAGGGACCTGGGAAGCAACGTCGGGTTGTTTTGGCAGGCAGCCGCTTACTGCGGTACTCGCTGGTAGGTACAGAGTATTGAGGCAAGGTAAGGGTATGATCCTTGTTCCTGACGGCTAAACCTTAGGTAAGGTACCCTATATCAGGTCCATGTCTATCTTAAGCCTGCCCGAGCTTAAACTACCTGCCAATTTTGTATATCTCAGATGCAAGACTCCTTCAGCAGAGACAGAGGTTCATGATACCTTAAAGATACTCAATGTGCATCCAAGGTTAAAAGGAAAGGAAGGTAAGGTAGGTAGGTAGGTAGGTAGGAAGCCAAGTTAGGTCATAGGTGGAGCGGAAGAGAGAAATTATTAATAAAACAGCAACGGGCTGACTGACTGCCCGGTAACAGGGTCGTTCAAACAATGGTCTCCGAATGCTCATTTTGGGGACGATCCTAGGTAATTGGCACTGTAGATCTACAGCGATCATGATGGGGCTGGGAGGGGCTTAAAACCTGGCTGTTCAATGTTGCGACCATCAAAGCCTCGGGGCCCGACAGCGCGACTTTGGGGGCCGTGGACAGTGTGGCTGACTGTGATCCACCGGATGTATCTCCCACATTATTTAACGCGGGCGGTACATGAGCAACGACGACCCCTGAGACGGACACTTTGGAGTGGGCTGGCTGGGCTGAGCTGGGCCTGCCGCTCTGGGCTTGACCCTGGGTGCCGGGCCCTGCCCAGGTGAGGTGCTCCTGAGCCCAGCCCAGTGGAGTGGAGGGCTGGAGGGCACCTCAGTCCGCCATGCCATGCTGGCTGGCAGTCTAACAGCGGCCTACTGCAGGCCACATCAGCCCGGACAGCCCATCATCCATGGATCCTTTTGGGGAGTGCAGGTCCTGTTGCTGCATCAGTGCCATTCAGCCCAGACCAACACCGGCCCAGCGCTTCTCTCTCTCTCTGTCTCCCTCCTTTTTTTTTTCTTTTTTTTTTTTTATTATAATTCTGTCTTTCGAGACGAGACTGGACTGGACGGCACAACAAGACGCCATCTCTAACTACCTACCTTACCTACCTACCTTACGCCGGCCTACCTTGCTCCGTGCCCAAGTACCTACCACCGTTGCCGTTGCGTTGCCGTTGCCAATTGAATTCCATTGTTTTCTTTTCCCCTTCGTCTTCGCCCTCATCCTCGTTTACGTCCTTGGTCGCTACCCTGTCCACTTCAAGTGCTCCGACTTCGTACTGTCGCCCGCGATCATCTTCATCTTCAGGCCATCCATCGTCCATCGCCATCTCCCAACTCACCACCACCATTCACTCGCTTACCTCCCTACTACCTGATAGACCTGACGCTGCATTGCCGCATTACGCTCTTTCCGTCTCTTTCTCTCTCCTACCTACCTTACCTACTTTGGACAACCGCATTTCGCATTTTCTCCCCCACTTCCTGTCCCTCCGGCCGCCCTCCCTTATTCGATCTCCCCCCCCTGTAACCCCAACCGCAACTGCTACCGCACCGCATTGCCTGCCCCATCGTAGGATGCCCGGTCGTCCTGTCGTTTGCGTTGCACTGCGCCTGGCTGCTTAATACCTACTTACCTACCTACCTACCTACCTACCTACCTACCTAACCTTACTAACCTCACCGTATCCGTACCTTTGCCTTACCTCACCTACCCTTCCAAGACTTCACCTCACCTCGGCTTGCTGACCGTCTTCCTTCTTCTTCCTCGTTCTTTCTCTCATTTGTCTCCTTCACTGCTTCCCTATTCTCCAATGCGGCCTTCCCTCTTGTTCGACTTCCCGTTGTGCTGATGGCCTAGTGCCCCGGATCCAACGGCTTCCTACCTCTTGGGCCGCAGTCGTCATCCTTCCACTCTGACGTTGTATCCCTGGCAAACCATGACCCATCGCCGCCATGCCTTTTCTACGCCGTCGCGGCAACATGGTCAGCGAGTCCGACATGAGGCGGCATACCATTCTTGATGCCGACGCGCCTCAGCTACCGCCGCTGCCCCAGCACTTTCCTCCTCAGCAGCCGCAGAAGCAGCAACAACAACAAGAAGAAGAACAACAGCAGCTGCAGCAGCAACCTCAACCGCAAGATCAACCGAATCCTAACTCACAACCTACACCCCAACAACCGCAGCAAGAACCGCTACCATTACCACCGTCGCAGCAGCAGGAGGTTCCTCGACTCTCCGTGTCCGCCTCCATTGACGAAGTTCCTTCGGGGTCCCTGGCTGTACCTGCGCAACCCGACCTCGACCTCGAAACTCCCGCCCGACATGAACCCGACGACCCTGATGCCCGACCAGAGACTCCCCCCGTTCAGGAAGAGACACCTAAGCACCGTCGTTTCTCCATCTTGAGATTTCGCAATGCCTCCGACTCGCAGCTGTCTTTGAGAGCGAAACAGCAGGCTGAGAAGCCTCCCCCTGTTCCTCGCCGTATGCCACCTCCACCCCCTTCTTGGCGATCTTGCGCGCCTCGCCTCGCCAACTTGATTATGCTGACCGCCCGCGCCAGCCCCTGAAATCATCACAACCGCACCCACCGCCGACTTTCAAGTGCCCCAGAAGAAGCAATCACGAATGCGACTCGCCGACCGATTTCGAAGATCCGGCGAGCTGCCGAGAAACAGCGAAGATGGAGGTGGTCGCGCCATGACGTGGAAGTCGACCAGGAGAAAAACGGGCCTGGAGGATCTAGCTTCTAGGAATCGACCTACTCTCGTCACCTTCGAAGAACCCAATCGCCCGTCCTCATCGAGAGCTCCCACGAACGGGGACCATCACGACGGTCCCGCTCTATCGCTTCCCGCCAACCGAGCGTCGGAATCATCGCGGTCTGACGCCAGCTTCGGAGACCACCTTTATCCCACCACCACAGCGGGCACCGCGGGCACCGCAGGGAACTCTCCCCCGGTGCAGAATAGCAGCAGCAGTTTCTTCCGCCTCGGTCGGAGGAAACCCAAAGCACCAGTGCCAATGTTCGACTTGTCGCATCTACCACAAAAGGGCAAGCCGAATGGGGCAGAAAACGGCGCGGCGCCGTCCTCTCTCGGCGCAGCACAACCGATCGTTGCGTCTACGTCCAGGGAGGCGACTCCGCGTCCGCCTCACCAAGGCTCGAGGCCGCCATCTAGCTATAGCACGCGCGCCGACTCGGCAGAATTGTCCGCCCCTGAACAGCAGCCTCAAAAGCCGAATCCATCGCCAGCCACAGCACTCTTTCGTCCGGGCTCGACCCACTCGGGCCAGTCATCTCCAACTCGTGCTCGTTTGCAACGTCGGGGCAGGTCTTCAACGATGAGTTCTCTGGGCAGAGATTCGATGGATGGACATTTGGATCCGGGAACGAGTCGGACGTCCACTTCCGTTGGCCGCAAGAGCTTCGGCGATCTCTTCGGGCTCAATAGACTGCGTCAAAATTCGGACCTGGGCCAAAGGCAAGGCACCCTGACACCTGCTACGCCTGGATCGAATACATCCAAGAACAACTCTTTGCAAATTGCCCGGGAGCCAATCGCACTACCCGAGAAGCTGGATGATGAAACGCCTGTCAAGTACCTCGACCGCATAGAAGACATCCTCAGCCGCGGAGTCATTGCCAGTGCTTTGTCCAAGGGAAGCGATCCCTTCTCAGTCGCGGTCTTACGCAGCTACATGCGCCGTTTCAGTTTCTTCGGCGATCCAATGGATATGGCCATCCGAAAGTTGCTGATGGAGGCTGAGCTGCCGAAAGAGACGCAGCAAATCGACAGGTGTCTGCAGGCCTTTGCGAATCGTTATCACGAATGCAATCCCGGCATTTACGCTTCGCCTGACCAGGCCTATTTCGTTGCGTTTTCCCTCCTGATTCTCCACACCGACGTCTTCAACAAGAACAACAAGCACAAGATGCAGCAGCCCGACTATTTAAAGAACACCCAAGGAGAGGGCGTAGGAGATCCCATCCTGAGGTGCTTCTACGACAACATCACGTATACCCCTTTTATTCACGTGGAGGACGACTTGGAACTCAGTAGCGATCGGCTCATCGCAAACAGGGCCAAGCGGAAAACACTGTTTCCGGGCGGTACGCCTGACGCCGCCGCCAAGCGTGCCAATCGCGAGCCTCTTGACCCCTACACGCTCATTTTGGACGGGAAGCTGGATATACTGCGCCCAAGTCTCAAAGAAGTAATGGAGCTCGAGGATCACTACAACTATCTAGGAACTGCCAAGGACCTTAACGTCAAGGAGCTCCAGAGGACCTTTTTCAGAACCGGCGTGTTGCAGATCGTATCGGCCAGGTCGCGCCCGGATGCGTTCCGTGACGAAAAGAGCGCTATCAATCCAGCTGAGGCTGCACAGGGGGTTGTCGATATCAAGATCACCAAAGTCGGTTTACTCTGGAGGAAGGATGCTAAGAAGAAGAAGACCAGATCGCCATGGCAGGAATGGGGAGCCATTCTGACGGGCGCGCAGCTTTACTTCTTCCGCAACACCACTTGGATCAAGAATCTCATGCATCAGTACGAATCTCACGTCAAGCAGGGTTATTACGGGGAACCCATCACGTTCAAGCCGCCACTACCAGAGTTCAAACCAGATGGATACCTCCCGACGAAAGAGGCTGTGGCACTGGTGGATTCAACGTATAGGAAACACAAGAATGCCTTCAAATACGCTCGGCCAGGGGCATTTGTTGAAGAGGTCCTTCTCGCCGACAACGAAGAGGAGATGAACGACTGGCTTGCCAAGCTGAATTACGCTGCCGCCTTCACGACATCCGGTGTTCGCATGCGGGGTGTTGTGGGCGGTAACTACGAGGGCCAAAGTCGACGTGGTATCAGGAGACTTGGCAGCTCGGCATCCGCACAAATCATTCAGACTCCCACTGGAGAGGTCAGTATCGTCCGCGGCAAGATAGACCACCAGGAAGCCGAGTCCATCCAGGCGCAGCGACGGCAGACCATGATGGACGCCGTTGCTAAATCGGATGAAGAGATCGCCATTAAGGAGCAGGAGCTGGAAGTTCACTTGAGAAACGCCCGCCATCTTCAGATTCTCTCACCAATTCAGGCCAAAACCAGGGACCAGGTTCTCTCAGCTGCAGCTCATATGGACGTCAAAATCAAGTGGATTCGAATGGACATCTGGAAATCGAGATGTCATCGGGACGTCCTTCTTAAGGACCTCGCCGAAGAGCAGCGGCTCCAGGGTCTTGTTCCGACGAAAAACGGGCACGAGGCTCGTGAGGCGTCGCCTTCCCGAGAAAGGCCTCCTATGCTAGAAGCCGGGTCAGCGACGAGTGTAGGACGTCGGCGTCGACGCTCGTCCGCAGCAGTTTCCGTTATCCAAGGATCTGCTAAGACGCCTCAGCCCGAACCCGAGTCACCGACGAATGATGCTTACCAAACCCCGCCTACGAGTGCCACTTTCAACCCCCACAAACATCAAAATTCTTGGGATTCCAAAGTCTCAAAGTCGAAAGAGCCAATTCACAAGAAGCGTCCGGGGTCAAGTTCGAGTCAGTCGTCTGCTGAGCCCACGTTTTACAGCCCGCAACAGCATCCTACCCCGAAGAGGGGCGAGGAGGATGAAGACACGATGGCCGAGGACCACCATGATGACGTCGATGCCAATGAGCGTGTTCTCCTCGAGCAAGCAGGGTTGTTGGAAACAGAATCTCGCAGCAAGATTCCGGAGAGGAAACGGACTGGATCGCTGTCTGAAGCTGGGGATGCGTCAGAGTCACGCGACACTCCAGGTTCAATTGATAGACAAGACAAGACCAAGATCCGGCGAAGTTTGCAGCGCACACTCCGGGAAAGTGCCGGTCACCTCTCGCATCACCGCAGCAGGAAAGGAAAAGAGGCCATCACTAGTGCCGTGTCAGAAGACACGGGCCGCGAAGACGTGCTCACCAGAGGCACTGGGAGCTTTGTCGTCCATGGCAAGAAGGCATCCGTTATCAATTTCGGCTCTGAACTGCAACAATTAACTCCAGAAGAGCGTCTAAGACAGCGAAAGCAGGACCAGCGCGACGTCCCAGCTTCTCCTGCCAGCATGGAGGAGGACTTTCACGAGGCCTTGAACAACTCGCTCTTGCCCAAAGAGCGCAGAGAGTCGGCCGCGAGCGCCAGCACCGCCACGGCGAGGAGCTTCCGTGAACTTCACCGCAAGTACTCTTCGGCTCATGCTTCCAGGTCTCCGGCGTTTAGAGGCCAGCTCTCAGTACCGTCGGATGGCGAGAGCGAGGCCGCGGTCAGTTTCTCCGAGGGGCGCCGAACGCCACTGCCTCCGATCGAGAACGAATCGGGAGATGAAGAAGAAAATCATGTCGCGGTGGTCAGTTCTACTGTAACCAGCCCCACGTTGGCCAGCCCCCAGCCCATACGTGCTGCGTTGGCGCCCCCGCCTCAGCTGGGGACATCAATAGAACAGGAGAAGGATGCGGAAGAGAAAAAAGATGATGAGATGCGACGATTGCCGAGTCCCCCCGTTCAGGCGGTCGAGGCCTAGGCATTCAAGTTTCGAGGTGCCGCAAGCATGAGACTGTGGAGACTTATGCGTGTGTCAGAGGACGCCATATTCCGGGGGAGTTCGAGGGTCGACCGACGAGTTAGTGGCAGATGCGGATGAGCAGAATTCGCATAGAGACGTGGAATGGCGAAGAGTTGGGCCAGGTCGGCCAAACACGAGACACACGGAAGAGACCTTACTACAGGGATACGTGGACGGGGACGCACTTACCACTTCATTCTTTACTTTCTCTCGACAACATGAGGTGTAATTGATCTAGGTAATGGCAGATGTGTATATATGTATGGGTTCATGGCTAAGCGGGAAAGGACACTGGACTTTGGGCATAGCATTGTGAGGCGACTGGGGTCAACAAAAAGGACGGCCGATACGGACGGCCATCGTGTAGAGTAGAGCGCGCAACGGTCGACAAATTCCCAGAAAGACTTGTTGCACAGCGAGTTCACTTCATTTCTGTTTTTAATTTTTCATGTATGCCCTTACACAGGCTCACTTCGTAATTGACATACCCGGCCTAGGATAAATCATGCCGTCCTAGTCTTTATTTCTTGCCCTTCTTCTTCTTCTTGTTTGACGACGTGGTTGGTGCCTTTTCAACCTTGACCGATCCAGCACCGCCCGCAAGCTCCAATGTCTCCTCTGCCTTGACGAAGCCACCCTGTGTGGACTCGTTTGCCTTCTTCTTGCCCTTCTTGCCCTTGGGGCGGTAGGAAGAGCGATCACGGAGCGGCAGCCACCGCTCAGGGTCCACCTTCTTACCCTCCTCGTAGTTCTTGGGCAACTTTCTCCTGCGTTTCTTCTGGGTCGTTGATTCGACCGGCTGGTCGATTCGCCGCTTCTTGGCTTGGCTCGACGGTGTTGCGAGGGTGGCCACGCCTTCGCCGACCAGCTGACCAGCGTCGATGCCGCTGACGAGACTGTCGATGGAAGGCAGGCTCGTCAGGTACGGCTTGACCTTGGCGGCGTCAGAAGTAGCGAAAGAAGCCACAAGACCAGCGGCTGCAACTTGGTCTGCGCTAGACTTCTGGCAAAGCTTCTCAAACGCAGCACCGGCGGCGGCAAGGTCAGCAGGGTCAGACGACTTGAGCAGCTCGGAGCCGGCACCCCGGAGGAGAGATTCAACGTGGCGCCCGTCCCGTTTCTCCCAGAACGACGAGGCTTTGGCCAGCTCGGAGCGTATGCTGCCGTGGCGTCCCTGTTGTCTGTAGAGGGAGACGGTCAACGCGACAAGACCAGGGGAGTATCTGGCGTCCGACGTGTCCTGCTTCTCCAACTTGTGCAAGAAAGAGTCGAGGACAGACAGTGCGGCGCCGGGGTTGTTCGCGGCGAGGTAGAGCTGGATGACGGTGAGGAGCAAACCAATGTCTGCGGGGCGCTTCTCAAGCAAGGGCACAACCTCCTTGACGTCAACAGTCTTGGAGGAGCGCAAGGCGCGGGCCGTAGCGTTGATGGCGGACAGACCGTTGGTGTCGGCGGACACGGTGGGCGAGGCTCCGGCCAAGGCTTTGGATGTACTCCGGAATACGCCTTCGAACTTCTGGGTGTGAAGGCTGAGGATGGACTGGTTGCGCTTCAACCGGCTCTCCTGGTACCTGAACAGCTTAGCCTGCTTGGCAAGGGTTGATGCCGACTCGAGTTCACGCTGGGCCAGGTAGGGGTTCTTGACATCAGTCGCGAGAGCCGACTGGTTGTGTAGAGCAATCAGCTTTGACTCGGCATCACAGTTTCTACAGCTTGTCAGTTTTATCCGAATACGCAGGTGTGGACGACACATACTCGGATGTGAACAAGCGCTTTTGGACTTCGAGGGCTTCCTCGACCTTGCCTAGCCTAGAGTAGACGTAAACCTGCTGGACCATGATGGGGATCATCTCGGCTTGCTTGTCATCTTCGGAAAGATCCTCAGACTCGTCGCATAAGCTCAGCGAGCGCTGAAGAAGCGTAGAGGCCTTGGAGAGCTCTCCCCGAGCAATGCAGCCGCACGCGATGTTGTACGCGAGCTCAAAAGTGTCTGCATCCGCAGCAGCAGGAACAGGCGCACCGTCACCGCCTAGGCCATTGACAGCCTTCCATTCCAGCTGAGCAACAGACGCCAACTGGTTGATATGAAGATCGCTCTCCTCGGCTTGCGGATCGTCTAGCAGACCTTTGTATACCTCGACTGCGTTCTGAAAGTCCTCGGCTCGATAGGCGACCTGGGCAGCAACGTGACGGAAGCTGCGCTGGGGTCTCGAGTCGGCAACGTCGCGAGCCTCTTGTAGCTTTCCGGTCTTGTAAAGGGCGTAAGACTTCTCTAGGAGGCAGGCATCCTCGAGCCTGTCGCCGCCGTCGGTGATGGCGCGCAGGGCGTCGTCGAAGCGGTCGAGCTTAAGGAGGGCGACGACTCGGGTGCGGTGGGCATTCAGGTCGGTCTTGGATGCTTTTATGGATGCATTGGCGGCCTTGAGAACTTCCTCGTGATCCTCAATTGAGGCGGCGCGCAAGAGAGCGCTGAGGTTGGCGGCGGGATCTGATGGAGGCATCGTGAGGGGCGATGGGATGTACGGAGTCTTTGGCGTCTAGTGGTGATGCTGCATGTTTGATCGGTCGGGGCGTCCAGGGGCAGCAGTATATGGCGCACTACTTGCGACGAGATTGCAGCGCGTGCGGACTGCTCAGGCACGGTGGTGGTGTCGTTGGAGTCTCGTGAGTACAAGGCAGACGACGGTTGTATGTAAAGACACGCTGCGGCCCAGCTCAGAATGGAGATGTGGATGGTGGGGCACAGCCAGTGACGTCCGGCGGTTGTGTGAGACTTGTACCCCTTGTAACTTTCCTTACCAAAAACCCGCGTGAGTACCTCGTCAGGTACTTACTTGGGTTTTTTTTCGATGCCCTCAATATCTTAATGTAGCTCGATCCACGTCCTCTTCCTGGCCCCGGCAGCCCACATTCTAAGTTTTTGGGGTTCCTGGAATCGGAGGAGTTCCAGGTTCGCGAGGCATCGGTTTATCTCAGACTGTTTTATATCCTTCAGTACCTTGGGAAGTACCTTTGCAATATCGTTGAATTCCATTACATTCGTACTTGATAGAATGGATTGTCACGAATCATGATCATGTGACCTTCTCTTCCCTGTCCTCTCTTCTTATTATTTACTCCGGCAAACCCAGAATTTCCGATCGCATTCCTTGTTAATTCGAAGCGTCGGTGCATCAACCTCGCCCAAACAATCCCAAGAACTTCTTCTTCTTAGTCTCGGGCAGATACGGCCTCAACGGGAAGGTTGGCTGCACGGTAAACTCATCGGATGCCGCCGAATAATCTGACTGCCGTCGACGGAGCTTCTTAGGGACAATTTCACCAAGCTTCGTGCTTCCTGATGACATGGTAGCCAGTGAGATGCGCTTCTTTGGGTCGATTTGGAGCATGGCACTGGAGCCCGGTGGGGGAAGAGGCAAAGGACGATATTCTCCCTCCTTGACGACGGGCTCTGCCTTGTCCTTGGCGGGTTTGGCAGGTTTCGCGCGCTTCGATTTTGACCTCTTGTTAGGTGACTCGGTTCTCTTTTTGTCCTCTCTTTTCATGCTCGCGCCTGGACTCGACCTGAGAGATGAGCTGCTCAGCCGTCGAGAGAGCTCATTGATGGTTCTGACCGCATCTACGCGTGACGAGTTGGACAGCGACCTCAGAGACCGGTAGTCGATAACGGGGTTCTGGGTTCTCGTCATGACGCGTAGCAGTCGGGTCATGGCAGACGTCAGGCGTTTGATGATCTTCCTCAGTGACGAGCGTGCCGCAGCTATGGTGCCGGGTGAGTATGAGAGGTTTGCATCATGGCGGGGTATACGTACCATCGCCTTTCTCGAGGCGAGTCCCATTCAGCGACAGCCTCGATGAGTATACACTTCGCACCTTGGACCGGTCTGAACGAATGCGTCTCCTGAGTTGCCGGGGCTGGCTGTTCTTGTTTGCGCCCCTCAAGCCTTTCAGCAGCAACATGCACTTGGAGTAGGTCTCCAGGAGTGAGTCGACGGTGCCGCCGAAGCCGGCCATTTTGTTGTATTCGATCGAACAACAGTGCGCGACGTCGTTGAGGCTGAGAGCGCAGTTGTTCAAGGACTCGATTTTGTTTCCCCCCCCTGAGAAACGCGCTGGACCGGGAAGTGTGAACCCAGCTACAAGTTCAGTGTTCGGTGTTCCCAGTGTTCAGTGTTCCTCTTGTTCTTGTGGCCTCCTACAACGTTGAACGAGGCTGGGGACTTGGATGTGAGGACTCAACCAATCCAGCCTCCTGTGTGGTAAATGGACGTCAATGACGCGATTTGGTTGGATGAGTAGCCGCCGTCTTAACTCATCATGGGTCCCCCGTAATCGCCATACTCAATTGTTAAGACCGATGGTCTCTGACGATGATTATACATCAAAAGGGCTGTCGTCCTGTCGTTCTCGCCCAGCTATCCGTACAAGCCACAGCATGGTTCAATGCAGCTCGTCGGGAATCAATTCATGTCCTGGCTGAGGCACTGCATGGCCGCCCACCTGAAGCCGGGCAAGATTAAAGTCATGTTGCAGGGAGGAGCGTGTGCTGACGTTTCCTAGTTGACCAGAGCCGACAAAACGTGCTGGCACGACTAGAAGAAGATAAGCAGATGCATGTGGCGAATGTATCAGACCGCCAAAGGATGGCGCAGTTCAAGTCGACATACAGCGTCGCAGTGTCGCCATCTCGTTCGCCGGGACCACGTGTAAATCGACCAACGTGGGTGAGTCGGCAGTGATGGTGGCATTCAAATGTCACCTCACTCCCACCCGGCTTCGACCACATACGTGGGCGGCCTCGATCGGCGTCTCGCGGTGAGGTGAGTCAAACGGGTGAAGAGGTTGATGATAAGGCAGGTCGGGTCGGGCCAGAGTGCCATAGCAGGGAAATCAACAGGCAGGGTCAGGGGCTAATGGTGTAAGGTATCTATCTATCCATCTGTAGGCTTCGCAGCGACAGGGGTAAATTCGCGTTGGAGTTCGGAGGGCAAAGTATCAGGATCGGATGGCGTTTCCGCAGGGAAAGCAGTCGCCATTCTGGGCCGGAATCCAATCCAATGAATGGCGCTGGAGCAGAGGTTGACCATGAACCAGGTTTGTGCACAACAGAATTTTCGACTTGAATTTTGGATGGACGTTCCGAGAAAAATGACGCAGTATCGCAATCGACGTGTCTCATTGTCCCATTCTCTGCGTATCGTTTGGGCCAATGAATCTAACGTGTAAAAGGGGAGATTTTGGACGTGCACCGGCCGGCGGGAGGTCAACTTCAATCTTGTGCCTGGGCTGGCATCCGTACTCAAACACTGGACGTCTTTCGACGTCTAGGAAATTCGCGCCGTGTCTTGCCGTCATTGACAGTGGAGGACGACTCCGGCTAACGTTGGCGGCTAAACTGATAATTCCCCGTGCCTTGGTGAGCTATCGACATGTGCAAGTTACCTACCCACCGTACAGTTTACAATACCTATCAGACTTTATCAGCGTCCAGTGTCTTTTAGTCCGAAAGATAGGCATGTCCGCGAGTGTGAATGGACCCTTACCCCCTAGGTACGCCCGCAACGACGAAGTTCAAGAGACAGTCGGCTCAGGTACCTTACCGTACCTCAAGGGTGGTCCTTATGGACAGGAGAGACAATTACACGTGCAAGTGAAATAAGTAGGTAGGCACAGCAGACATTACCTTGACACTTTGTAGACTCTCATCTCAGGGTCAGTCACCTCACTCTCTTATCCGGTCGCCCCCACACCCACCAGTCACAGGCCGACGATGAAGCAGCTGGCGGGCGTAAGGTAGGTATCCGCAGAGTGTGTCTACTAGGTACGTACCTTAGGTACCTAGCTACGGGCTTAGGTGTGGGCAGCGACTCGGAGGCGTAGCGGTTTGTTGAGCCGATTGATAAGTGTGATGTAAAACGGTGCGACATGCCACGCCGCCCAGCGGGATGCTCCACACCGTGTACCTACATCTCTATTTGTCCAGAGTGTTTCACAAAGTATCTTTCCGGGGGTGGAGACAGTGCGGCACGGCATCCTGGAACACACCTACGAAGCCCCCATTCTCATATCGTGGGCCCCTGTATCCATAAGGTGCCTGCCTACCTTACCTAGGTAGGTACCTTAGGTAAATAGGGTAGCTCCTATAAAAAAGTATACTATTTAAACTTCTTTACTATTATATTAATTAGGCTAAAACTCTACTTTATATATTATTTACTCTATTATTATTATTTCTATATAGCTATTTTCCCCTTTATATTCTATTATAACCCTTAAGATACTAATTATTTTCCCTTTTTCTTATTAAGCCTCCTTAATAATATTAAGAATAGCATTTTAATATAAAATATAAGCTAATATATAGAGATAGCTAGCTAAATAGTATTTATCTTAATAAGTATTAATTAAAAGGGATTAATATATATTTAATAGAGTTTTATAACTTAATTAAATAGTAATACTACTATAAGTAGTAATCTTTTAGAGCTATATATTATAAAGAAAAAGCTAAATTAATATATTTTTAAAATAATTAAACTTTTAATATATTATAATATTTTTATTCTTAAAGAAGAATTTAAAACAGGTTTTATTTTATTTAATAGTTACTTAAGGGTTATAAAAGCTATTTTTAAAGTTTTAATAAAGTATTTAAATAGCTATTAATATAGTAATAAGTATTATCTTAAAGGAGTTAAAAAAGCTTAAAGAAGAGGGATAAAAGAGAAAGTTAGTTAAGCTTTACTACTTAATAACTTTATTAAATAGAGTATAAAAACCTAAATAAATAAAGCTATTTATAACTACTTTTTAGGTAAACTATATACTTAAAGTTTAAATTTTAATAATTTACTTCTAAATTAAATTAAGAGGAATTAAACCTACTTATTTATAGTATTAGGAATAGTGCTAGCTTTACTGCTATATTAGGTTAGAATACTAGTTATATAGCGTATAAATGCGCTTTGCTTACGTACCTCAGTACCTTAGGTAAATGGAACAATGGATTAGAGGTAAGCGCAACTTGGAACCCCCTCGAGTGTCCTCCCAGGTTCCCCCAATCCCGCGCCAGAATCCACCTTCCCGCCTGCCGCCTCCCGCTTTCCCGTATCACAACCTCCCGTCGTCTTCTATATCCATCTTTGCTCGTTTCTCAAAATAAGAGAAAGTGAAAGAGAAAGAGAGAAAAAATCTCTCATCTTGAGCTTCATAAGCTGCGATCAAGGTACATGTTTCGGTGTAGGGTTATGATATACCGCAGCCGTACAGGGCGTTGACTGCCGATATCCTCATTTCTGCCTGCCCTTGCGAATTGCACGCAGTCTTGTGTCTAGAAGCCTGCGGCGGTAGGGTCACATCTCGCATCTCGAATGTCCATGAAGCCATCTTCTTGTCCTGTCTCTTTCATCCCACACCCACCACCAACCCCAAGTCCTTTTATCCCACACACTGAATAACAAACCTTGTCGCCTCGCCCTTAGTCCATTGCAAAACTTGACAAACCGCCCCCTCCCACCCCTTGTCGCTCCAGAGACACTACTGCGTAGACGCCGTTGCTTTTTGATTCTGTTTGAGACCTTTTTTTTTTTTTTTTTTTTTATATCCATCCAATGCCACTTCCCTCACAACCTACTAACGTCTTTATCCATCCGCCTCATCAGCCCGGTATATCCTCTCTCAACCTCGGTCTCAGTCATCCATCACCTATCGTCGCCGTTCATGAATCCCGATCGCGCTCTCTACGACACCGAGACCCTGCCAACATCATCTCGTCAGCAAACCCACTGGCAATTCCATGCGTACAAACTGGTACCTTACCTAGCTCCTCAGCGTCCCATCTTCCCCGAAGACCCTGCCCATATTCACAGCCCGTGGACTACCAATACCTACCTTGTTCTGTACTGAGATTCTGTACGAATACCTCACTGCAAAGCAGGGTGCCTCACTCCTCCCCCACCAACGCCCCTCAGGCCCCATCATATCATCCCCGTGCCGCGTCTTCTCGCCAACACCGCGCCGTTCCGGATCCCTTGCCTTGCCAGAAACTCACTTATCGCACGTCCCGTCCTTGCTCGCTTCTTTCATTTCAGCCCAGTCTCCCGATCCCTTTTCGCCCAGACCCTTGCTTCCCGGTCCCGGCTTAACTCTTGCTTCGTTCGAACCTATCTTAAGAGCCGCCCCCGCCTACCTCAGCCGACCGCTTTTAGACGTCTTCTTCACCTACGGTACTCTGGCTTGAACGGACACGACACGGCTTCACCTCATACCGCCGGAGCCTCTCATTCCACCTCACCCTCGCCGCCCCCACGCAACTTTGTCCTCTCACCATCGATCCATTCCATGGATCGAATACTCTCTTGTACTGCGGCCAGTCATTCATCTCGAGCTCGACCCTTCTTGAGCTGCCTCTCTGTGTGCCGACGATAACACCCCTCATTCGGAAGCCCGTCCCTTCGGGATCCTTGGCCTGCTGTGTTAGCAGCAATACGTCCATCGTCTCGGCACTGCCAAACATATACCCAGCCCGATGTCGGCAGCTTCGTCGCCCTCGCCATCCCGGTACCCCGGTGGCCTCCACAAGACCAACCTGCCACAGGGTCAATGTCGCTATATTCTCCTTGTCCCGGGTATCAAGGGCCAGCGATGCGCCTGTGTACACTTTTCTCTGAATCGCTCTACTCCCGGCGCCAGCTGTGACTGCGGGCATCTGGCTTGCTACCACGTCAAGTCCCCTGAGCCGTCTTCGAACCGGCAAGAAGTTGACCTGTTGAGGCAGCGATTGCACAACTTGGAGGAGCAACTTGGCCACGAACGACAGAACGCTCTGGGGAGTGTTATTGCCAGGGTCAGCGAACTGGAAGAGCTCGTTGACAAGAGTCGCGAAGAGATTGGCCAGGAGATCAAGGGATCATATCGAAATATTACGAGGGTCTGGCAATCTGTGGAGCATTTGGAAAGACAAACCGCTCAGTTGCAGCACAGCGTTCGGGACCATACAGAGCACTTGGGGAATGTCAACATCGAATTGAAGAATGTCAGCAACCGTCAAATGGAACTTTTCGACGCTGACGAGAGCATGGAAGAGAGGCTGGAGCAACTCGAGTCAGACCATGACCAGTTGACGATGCGGAGGAGACCAGTCGGCGACGTTGTGGAGGCGTCGTCTCCAAGTCATGGGAGCCGGCGCTTTCCTCATTTTCAGCAGCCCATTCCACGGAGGCCAGTTCCTGATGAAGCTCCCCTCGGCTCAGAACATTCTCGGCCCGGATCCCGTTCTTCCTCCTCACCTGGAGCCACGGGTTTCGCTGGAAACCCCGACAGCTGTGGCGCGTGGACTGTTCATATCTCGCTGCTTCCGACTTTCTCGCAACCATTTCCTTTTGAGAGGGATACCAATGCCTACAAACGTTGTCTCTCTCGTGGTCTCCATCGGACGGTGGTGGTCGGAGGTCCCAGCAGCAACTCTTTCGTTGACGCCGTCACCATGGCTTTTCGGGGCCTCCTGAAAGGCCGCTCGTGGATGCCTTTGCAGGCTAAACTCTGCGACGCAGAAAGGCTGCAGGGTCTCCCAATGTTGCGACCCCTGGAGCCTAGACTTGTCGACAGCGATTACGACATCAACTTCCTGCGGCAGCACTGTGGCGTGTGCGAGCCCAGTGGCAAGATAGAGTCATTGTACATTGCCATGCGTGAAGACAAATTGTCTTGGCACTTTTTACGAAACTCGCCCAAGTTCATAGACGGTCTCGAGAATTGCTGGGTGTACGACCACTTCCTGGATCCCAACGATCCAGTAGAAGACGACACCATGGACGAGCACGATCGCCCTTCGGCTGGGGATATTGTTCCGAACCTGCCATCTCTTAAAAGGGCCGCATCCGAAATGTCCAGGGCGAACAGCTTGGCCACCGGTGGAACGGGTGCTGAAGGCGATCTCCCGCGCACCAAAGCCCCCCGGACAGCGTGCCTATCCACACTAGTGGACTCGCGTAGGCGATTGGAAACCGTATGAAGTTTATTTTCTCTCTTTTTCCTTTTACCCTTACTTCCTTGTGTTGCGTAGACTGAGCTTCATGTCGCAATGTCGGCAGGAATCCGGCGTTGGCGAGACTAGAATTCCTGTAGTTATCTTGCGCGATCGCAGTTGCCATCCAGCGGTAAGATACTCGATAGGTCCGGAGGCAGTGTACGTGGGCAGTTAGATGGTGAGATATCATAGATGATTGATTCAGTGAGACACGTTGGAGGAAACTTATACCCATTTTCTTGCCTGGCTAAAAGAGAAGAGAATATAAGAAGGAAGACAACTTGCTATGTAGAGAATAAAGTGTGGCCCGGTTTCGAACCCATCACATAAATTTGAGATGCTGAAACAAGAAACAGAGAAGTATAATGAATCAGGCACTTGTTCCTGCCTTGGACTTGGATTCGGCCTGCCCTGCCGAAGCTTTGATTTCAGCCCGGACCCGGCAGAATGGAAGCGACGGGATTGAGATACGGATGCTCCGTATCCGGACCGGCCGAGGAGGCACCAAGCACTTACCCCAAAAGGATAAGGGCGCCCACCAGCCTCCTTCTCCACACAGCACCGACAACCTACACTGTGGCTAACGTGCCGCGCCGCCGACTTTCGACTGCGATCACCGCTGCAGCGCGTTTGCGATCTGAACGATCCGTCTCAATTGCTTCACCGGCCATTGTCCTTTCGCAGAGATATAAGGACTGCCAGCAGTGGCAATCCGATCGCTTTTGCCGCTCAGACGCTTCAGACTCACCTTCCAAAGCTCTTCTACTGCGCCATTTGTCTTTAGCTTTCTTCCACGTCTCCTGTAGCGAATCCTCACCATAACCACCCAAATTCCGACCGAAGCTATCATGGACTGGGACGTGGATATGGACGATGTGGCCGAGGGCTTCGCTCCTCCCACTATCTCAATCGCCAACGCCTCGGTACGTCTCACAAAAAGAATTGGACAAGACCACAACTTGCTAACGGGTAACGGCAATAGAACCACTCCGCCACCGCCGTCGCACCTCCCGAAGATGTCGAACGCGACGTTGAGGGCACCACCCTGGTTCCCAACAAGGTTCACGTTCGAGGACTGGATACTCTGACAACGGACAACATCAAGACCTACGTGAGAGATCACTATGGATCGGTCGACAGGGTCGAATGGATAGACGATGCGTCTGCCAATCTCATCTTTGGCACCGACTCTGTGGCGCAAGAAGCAATCCGGGCCCTGAGCGCCGTCGAAATCGCCGACCCAACCCAACTTCCTCTTCTGGAGACGATTCCTGCCAAGCCCGTGGCGTCACATCCCGAGGTCAACCTTCAGATTCGGTTTGCCGTGCTTTCCGACAAGAAAGCGCGGGGCGCCGCTCAGAGAAGTCGTTTTTACCTTTTCCACCCCGAGTTTGACCCGGAGGAGCGAAGACGACGCAACGAAGGGCGCAACAGCTATCGCGACCGTGAGGGGGACGACCGCTACCGCCGCGGAGGACGGGCGAGACGAGAGCGCGATCGAAGCGTGGAAGTCTACGATGCCGGGATGTACGACGATGACGAGGCAGCACTAGCAGAGCGCGAAGCCAAGTCGACAAACTACAGAAGGTCACGATCAAGGGACTTGGACTCGCGTGAGGATCGCTCCTTTTCTCGAAGGAACCAAGAGAAGGAGCTCTTCCCAGGTCGTGGGTCTGGATCACGAAGCCAACGAAATCGCTCGGCATCACCCATGCGAGACGTTGACGGCGATGCCAAGATGGACAGCGAGATACGTCGCGCAGGCACAGCAAGCAACAGGGAGAGGGCATCTGGTATCCGAGGTCGTTTGGCGCAAGGTAACCAGGCCAAGGAACTGTTCCCTACCAAGGGCTCTCCCGGCGGCAAGACACACATGGACCGTGTGATGGATGGTGCGGACGAAGCCGCGCGGCTCATGCAAAGCAACATGTCCGTCGACGACGGTAGAAGCGGGAAGCGCGACTTACTCAACCATCGAGGTAGAGACGAACACCAGCGCGGTTCCAACACAGGCTTTGCCATCAAAGGCGCGGCAAGCGCAAATGTTAACGAGTTATTCCCCGATCGTTTCGGTGGCAACGCAAAGAAGGAGCTGTTTGCCGATAAGTTGGAGGGCCGCGGGAAGAGGCGGCAAAAGGCCGAAGACTTGTTCTCCTAGCTAGCAACATGAACGGCTCCGTCGGTGTGGCCATCACATCGGTATCGGATGGAAGGTGGAAAACTATACGACTTTGGACAAATCGGCAGACTGCATGGGAGACATAGATACCATAGATATGGAAAAATGGGAACGGGACCTGCAAGTGGATTACTTCAGAGAACTGGTGAAGTGAGGCCTGTTTTGGGGCCCAGATGTTGTAATCGTCATCGTAGTCGGAGCTACAGAGTCGTGGTTTGACTTGATCTAGAGGCTCACCGTACAACGTTCAGAAGGGCATTCTTGATACGTTCTCTTGTTGCGTTCTTCCTAGTTACGCTTTTGTGTCCAGCTGAAGGGGCCGTTCAGCGACAAGCTTGCGGGGCTGGGTGCTATGGAGGGAAGGAACGACGACTCTTGCTGAGTTCAGGTGAAATGACGACGACGAGGTAGGTATTTCGGCCATGGCAACTGCTCCCGCCCGAGTTTCGTCCCAGCAAATGGCGTGGTTCGCTTGAGGCCTCGCACCTGCATAGAAAGAAGCCCATCTCAACCGCAACTCAGTCTACCTCGCGCAACCTCGCCCACCCCTCCCGCCGACACTTCCTGCTTAATATTTTCGCAACGTCTTCGGTGAGGTGCCTCTCTCATCGAATGGTACTTTCCATTCATACACACCTTCTTTAAACAAAAAAACTGAAAAACAAAGACAAAAAAAAAAAAACCTACCTCGTATTGCCCAGATACCATTCGACCGACTCCTTCGGCAACGCCGACTTATATGCGCGCCAGCAACTTCGTCGCTAAGCTACAATCAACAACCCCCCCAAAATCATCATGGCAGACCACGACCGCTTGCGACCGGTCCCCCGACAGATGAGGTCTGACTTGGCTTTGAGGCTCCCTGCAGACGGCGACCTCCCGCCTCGAGCTCCCCCTCGCGGCAGCCGCCCACGCCACAGAACATCCATTCCGCGCATCGCCAGTCTCGACATTCTTGCTTCGGCTAGGTTGGGCGGAAGCAGGTGTTCCAGCATCAAGTCCGAAGGGTCGACAACATCCTCCCATCATTTATCACCTTCCCCAAATAACCAGAGCGATACCGTCTTCTTTCAAGAACGTGATATCACTGATCGTGCAGCGTCAATCGATCAAATGATCAACACCCTACACCACGTCATGATGACCAAGTCTGTTCTCGACCCAGTACCTATTGAGCACAACTCTTGCATCAAGCACTTGCTTGAGGCATACTGGCGTCTTCAGGAGCAACTGCAAAAGACTGAGCAGGATCTGGTAGAGGAGAGGGAGACGAAGGAACGCAGCCTCGAAGAGTTTGCCAAGATGTCGTCAGAGTGGGAGAAAAAGGAGGCTGATTTTCTCGCCGAGATCAAGAGAATGGAAGTGGTGCTTTCCAAAGTCGCCCCTGACGGCGTCGGTGCAGTCGTCCTCGCTCGTTCTGGAAGCATCGTGGACAGAAGCAAGAGATCTTCCAAACTGTTCAAGGATAGGATTGAGAAGGCCAAAAGCCCCGAGAAAGGTCAGCACAGTTCTCCGGCTGAAGGCGCAACGGTTATCAGGATACTGACGCACTACGACAAATCGCAAGATTGCAGCAAGTCTCACGACGTTGAGGGCTCTACCATGTCTGCCGCGCCGGAGAGCGCACGCCACAACCACACAACCTACTGTAAGTTGAGCCGTGCATCTCCATGGCTTCAGGGTGCATGAACTGACTAGATAGTGTCCATGCGCCCGAATCTAGACGACAACGCAGATGCCGAGTTGAGCGAGCAGATCAGAACCAAGCAGCGAAGACGGTTCTGGGGAACAAAGTACGACCCGAGAAAGTTTCCCGCGCGAACCCGCTCGACAACAAGCCTTGCTGTCAACGAGTCGAACAAGGGCCAAACCCCAGCTAGATCGACTACCAAATGCTCTGCGTCTGGACCCTCTCAACAAACGGCGGGCACACAAGAAGGCACTGTGCCCCCTACCACACCAGATTCAGCTAGCGAAGTGACTATTCTTCACATTGACGAGGACGATTCGTCCGGTCTCGTTCCCAGAACTACTGGCGTCGATCTTACAGCCGAACCCGCCAGTCACCAGCTGCTCGATGAGCACCCGGATATCTTGACGGAAACCCATGAAGAGGGTAGTCGACAGGATGAGCACAAATCCAATGAATTCAATCGCCACAAAAGAGAGTTTTCTTTCGATCCGGGAGAGGACGGCATCCCGCTGAGTCCCTTGGCGAGCAAGCCTCGGGCTGTGGAACGTTCCACAAACCAGAATCGACGCGAGTATGGTTCTATTCAAGGGGCACAGAAGACATCAGGATTGCGTTCAGGAGATGCAGAATCGTTGACGACAGGAAGTAGGCGCCACAGCTTCAGGCCTGTCAATGTCGGAGCCATGCCCCCAAGCCTTGAAGTCTCTCGAGTGACAGGCAACCGCCCAAGAAGAACCATGGGTGATGTTAACGACGGTTATTGTGGTCTCCAGGCGAGCCACGAAGCTCACGACAGGTCTGCAAATACTTATAACACGTCTGATGGACGCTTCTACGTTGGAGATAGATCAGGCCCGAAGGAAACTTTGGCCAACGATGCCGACCAGGCACTTGTTGCCGCTCGCTTCGCCCAGAAGCATTTCAGCTCCGAAGTACAGGACGACGATTAATCAAATCTCTGAACGGTGCCTGCCGATAGGAACATCAAAGTCATCAAACAGAGTCATTGATCCATTGATGGGATGGGAAGGGAAGGGCATGGTGGACGAGATGTTGACGATCGGCCAGTTGTATTGCGTCTCGCCGCATCAAACGTGGTCATTGCTCACTGTACCGAGAGACCATAGCTTAATCGAGGACGGTCTCTCAATAATTGTCGACATGACGTGTTCTTTTCTCTTACTCGCGGGTGCATGGCGCCGCTTCGTCGAGCCGTAATCAACACCGTATAGTTCGTGTTTAGTAGAAATGCCACGTGCCAGTCCAGCTCGGGTTTTGTTTGTTTTTTCTGGCAAAAGACCAGCCCCCGTAGTCGACGATTGAGTTATCTGAAGGTCCTGGCTGCGGGTTGAAGTTGACAAGATGAAGGAAGTTAGAGTTGTGAAGGGCCACGAGGGGGTCTGCTCAGCGCACTAAAATAGGTGTATTCACAACTCTGAAGTCTACTCTAGTCACTTAGATGTTAGTTGGCTAACTAGAAAACCTAACAGTTGCTACTTATTCAGTGTCTATGTTTCTTCCTTGCCTAGGTATGATTATTGCCCCTGTAGCTGCAATCGTTGTCGCTTCAGGTCGCGCAGGTGAGGAGTGATTCGTCATTAGCAGGCCAGATATGATTCAATCACGACTGATTGTGTGTTTATCAGAACATCAGAACACTCAGACTCGTCAGCCCGGCGTCAATTCACGCCCCCACGCCCAGTAGGCTGGTATGTGGTCTGGCAACCGAATCAGATATCATTTCCTACCAGGGAGAACACGAGAACATGCATCGGGAAAGCGAGGGCGAAGGCGCGAAGTTCGATCACAGCCAACCAACCATATCATGTACAATTGTAGATAACTTCCAGACACCAGGCGTCAGCCATAAACTGGCTAGTCCATACTTGCTCTAAACGACCTGTAGTACCTGCCGTTAACAGCGAAAACAAGAGAGGGAAAATGGAAATGGAGGATAGTGGTTGCTGACACCTTCGATTAGCCAAGTATTCATCTGAACAGATCGTGGGCGATCAGTGACTCCAGCGGACGTTTTCCCCTTCCCCTCTTCCCTCGTGGACTATCCGTTCCTGAAGGTCCTAATGTGGTTCGATCTGACAGCCAGCTCACTCAACGTTGGTGGTGTTAGGTGTGCATGATTGCCGGTGCAAATTCCACCAGGACTGGTGGCGCTTAGCGGTAGGATTCGTCTTGTCTCGGAATATCAGTCACGTCCTTGGAATGCAAGCCGGTTCGCCGGCCGTTGCAGGAACGGCATGAACATCAATAACGATGCACACCTCTTATTTTTGTGTCCCGTGTCCGGCTCCCGACTCCTCACGGCATGTGTTTCCGCTACCAACGTCATTCCTGTGTCTGAGGAGAACAGTCCATGGGCAAAGGCGCTTCATACTATTGACTTATCCCCACGGCCGTTGAGCCCCGCTTCCACCAGTACGTGAAAGGTGCTAGAAAGAAAGAAGTCAGGTCATTATGACAAGCCGACGTTCGTGACGGTCTCAAGTTGGTTCCGTTTCTGGAACCGAATTCTTGAGCAAGCCGCGTGCTTGACTGTGAAGTCGATTCACGAGCCGTGGAACTTGAACCTTCGCAATAACCTTTCTGGGGACATATCTAGGGTCGCAGTCAACGCCCCATCGACCCTTACGCCACCGTTACTGAAAGGCCACGGTGTGGCCGAGATGTGGCATGTTGTAGACTTTACGGTAGGCAGTGGCAGCCTCCAAGTCCATGGGACTTGACTCGCAATAGGCACTCCGCATGCCACCGACATCGAGTATATGCCTGAACGAGTGGGCCTGCGGATGAAGTATAACGTCCCGCGCCCGGATTTCGTTAGCGAGCTCTGAAATGGCGGCGTTCCTGAATTTCGTTCGCAGAGTTGTGCATTTGAGGATTCCATCATCACAAGAGTCACGAGCAAAGACAGGTCCTTCATCCATGAAGTCAGAGGCAGCGACCGCAGCCTCGGGCCAGACAAAGTTCATGCGAAGAAAAAAAAAAAGGGGGGGGGGGGGGACGGACCACATGGTGGCCAAAAGTCGAACTTACAGAGACACGATCCGATGAACTGCTTCAGCTTCGACTTTACTTGAGATGGTTTGTTTGCTGGCCGGCTGAATATGTGGGTTTGTGCGCTACGCCTGATGTCAGCCGTCCGTGACTGACAATTCAAGACCAACGGAACTTGAATAGGGGTTCGGAGTGCCTTTACCGTGGCAGCGGCTCGTGCGACCCGCGTGTGTGTGTGTGTGGTGTGTGCGTGTCTGTCTGTCTGTCTACCTTGTCTTGTCAATGCATCGACGTCCGTGAGGGCGTGAATCTGTGGGGTAGAGGGTAGAGGGGAAGGCGCGTCAGGCAGGGAAGGCGAAGGAAGAAGAAAAAGAAACCAGAGACATCGAAGGATGAATGACAAATATGGAAAATTAGACGGGCATAATCCCACGGCGAACTCTAGAACGAGGGTCTTCCAAAGTGTGCGTGATACGGACGACGATTGGGAGAGGCTGATCAGACTCGCCTGCATACCCGGTTCCCCGATCTCTGGGGCAGCCCGGTATGGGTGAGCAAGGTTTCCTTTCACTCATCTTGTCCATCCGCGCACAAGGTTGGCGATGCGGTTGCGGCCTTGGGCTGAACGAGTGCGAAGGCAGCCGGCGCTATCTGTATCACCGGCGATTTGTGAGCGTTGCTGTGAACCGCACCGGAGGGGAAGTTTAAAGTGCCAGACAAAGTCGTGCGGATCTACAGTCGTTGGTGTGATGAATTGACACGTATGACTGATATGCAAGCCGAGCCATCTCACAGATACGGTACGATGGTAGCAGTGCCATCGTGTGGTTTCACTGTGATTGCGTTGCAGTCAAGATACATCGCAGTCATGCCGCGCGCCCTTCTCCTCTGCCCGCTCCATCTAAAACCATCCCGACTGTCAGCTTGAGTGACGGGCAGCGAGGACGAATTGATGTTCAGACGTTGGGGCGCATTAGCATAGTAGTTGTTGATTTTGCTGCTGCTGCGGTCTTGTCGTTGCTGTCGATGGAGGAGAGGAGAGGAGGTGAGGGGAGGGAGGAGTAGGCAAGGAGGGTGGGTGTGTGTTTATGGATGAACGAGGGGTGAGAAACACCCAGACCATCAGTTTGGCAGATCCCCTAAGTTGCCGTGGCGTTCGGATAGGTGCTTTGCTCATGTCTGTCTTACCTTATTCGGACGAGGTTCGATTCGAGAGCAGCAGTTGAGCAAGGGGAAATTTGTCATGCTATGTGGGTGTTTTTCTTCCCACCCTTCCCACCCTCCGTCTTCGCGCCTGCCTCCAAGAAAGTCTCGCTTCATTCGTTGTGCTGATCCCGATGTCTGATGTATGGGGTGCCGCCGCAAGGTAGCGGCGTGCTGTGGCGTACGGATCTAATCGACCGGAATGAAACGTCTTGTAGCCACGGATACTCCTCTGGTATCGCGTACGGACATGAGCAGGGATCACCGGTGCAGGAGAGCATGCATTGTCTTCACAAGACAATGCAACGGCCAAAGTGTCCCTCGGTAGCGCAAATGCGTTGCCTTGGACGAGATGTGATGGGAGGTTGCAGGCGTCGCGGCAGACAGTCTCTGAGGGCCGAAGATATCAGACGCTGGCAGGCGGGCAGGCATGCATGGCACGGGCAGACTTGGCCCACAGGCAAGCAGTCAGGCGAACGACGAGCAAGGAATGAGTTGGGAGTTGAGGCTGAGGCAACGAGGCGTTTCGACGTGGTGAGGGGCTCTGTATCTCTGCAGGCTACCTCACGTTATGGTGAAGGAGGTGAACGAGGAGGCAGCTAAGAAAAGTGCTCAACTGCGTAAGGTAGTCGGCGGAACGGACGGTGGAGCCGGGCCTCAGATGCGGTAGAGGGAAGGGCAGATGCCTCATGGCCCAAGACGACTCAGTATCTGCCTGGCCGTTGTCGTTTCTTTTCCTCTTCATCATAGGTCGCCTCGTCCACGCCGAGATCCAAATCGGACTGAACCACAGCTGCGGATGTGAGTAGTGATATCCGTAACCCAGGTTCGGGGCCACCGAAGGTTGTACGTGAGGCACTTCCCCCGGTCTGTCCTACCCATGATATGGGGGCCGGGATTAGAGGATTCAGCGATTGAATCAAGCGGCCCTGGTCGTGTATGAGAAGCCCGTCCGCTTGGCTGGGTGCGCTCCAAGGTCCACCAAGTTCCAACGCGTCCTGATGCTCCACGACAGAGCTGTTCTTTTAACCCCTGCTGTGGGACCATCGGGACCGGGTTTCGCAGTTGCACTTGGGAAAATTGGGTCAACTGGGCCGGGTTCCTTGACCTTGCATCCGGGGTTGGTTTTGTTTGTCAGTTTCACGACGTCGAGATTGTCGAGGACTTACCCGGGACAGGGGCTTCTGGTTGGCCGTCACTCAATCTAACCCACCCTGCTTCCCAGTCTGTATGTATCCGTATCTGCACCTGTATGTATGTACACAGAGGAAAGCGGTTGTTGCCCTACCCACCACGCCGATGCTGCATCATCAGTAATCATATAATGCTTGAGGGGGGGAAAAACATCGGGTGGGAAAAGAAATAATGGCCGGGGATGACGACGAGGAAACATGCCCTAAGAAACATAGAAGTAGGTAGATGGGTAGGTACCTTGCGCCCTCCCATGCATGCACTGCGGGTATGATGCAGCGTGGAGGAGCAGCAGTCGCTGGTGGACTGAAGTGCATGGTCTCCATGTCGTCTTTTCGCACAGCTGCCCAACCTTGGTAAGGTGAGTTGAAGAACGGATATGACGTACGGATATAAGGATCCGACGTGATGCAGATTGATAACATAACCATCCATCTGTGTGTTCGATATTCGAACAGAAGCGTCGACAACGTCGGCGGCGGTCCCTGCTGTAGCAACGGCGACTCTTGCGTGAGATGCTGCGTTAGCCCTGATATCTCACGCCCACGAATAATGATACCTCGCGTCAAGACCACACCGCTCAGTCGCGTCGCTGCAATTGTTTGACTTGTGACTTGCGGACGTTACGTCCGGTACGCAGAACGGTTGGGCGGCAATCTTGATTCCCTCTCCCCTCACATCCCAATTGCAAATACCTTACCCGCCTGGCCCTGGTCTAGCCCCATGTCTCAGACACAAAGCCCAGGGGCAAGAGACAGCAGGCACCCGTATAACGGCTGAAGGGCTGAGTGGCTGGCCGGATGATTGGCACGTTGTAATCTCGATATGATGCTGCGATGCGGATCCAGAGGGGTTGTCTGTCGGTATCCAGCTGTCCAGGTAGGTAAGTATTCGTACTTGGCTTTGGCTCTGGCCCTCGCCGGCTCAACAGCTTGCCCACCAACAAGCATCATTGGGGGTGCTTATGGAGTCCTTGGCGTCCCCATAATCGCATGCACTCTGCTTACGGCTCCAAGCCTAGGTAGTAAATTGGGAGCGCTGGGGTCACTGGTTTGCGCTGGGGGGGGGGGGGGGGGGG